AATTATAACATCCTACATCCAGAAGCTCGTCCCCTCCCCAGGGTAACTTGATATTGTCTGCGTTTGTTGATGTCTTTGGCATCAGACTATACGAGCAGCTCTGATGCACGGGGAAAAAAGCTGCCTTAATGCAGGTTAGTGCTACCTATCACTATATAGCATCCTATAGCTACCTACCTTCCAAGCGTACTCACCACAAGCACTAAGTACTTGCAACGATGTTTGTTGCCCCGGTCTCGATACATAATGATAGGAGTTAATACCCCGCAATCATAATGACTAGGGACCTAGAGGGTCATACCCTACCCGTCGTGGGGCACCTAGTTTCCTACACAACAGGTGCTAGCCATAGCTCACCTAGGTACCCTCAGAAAGGGGTAGGGTGAGGGTATAACCCGTATAGCAGATGTTGTAAGACCTTAGCGATTAGAATCGGTTTCCTTTAAGGGTTCCGAAAATGCGTTGCTATACTGGTTTTACAAGGGTTCCATGATGCAGGGGCGTTACAATTAGAGCAGTGTTTGGGGGATAATATACCACAAACTATACGGTGACTAGAAGAGCAAGGTATGTTATTAGTTACTTGTTCTTCCGAACTCTACAGTAGGTTTTAGGGCTTGATATGTACGGGTTTGAAGATTTTGGGGTTCTGATGTTGATATAGACTTGGGATTTGGCTTTACGCGATAACACCAACCATTTCAAATCTTCGAAACTAGGATCAAGCTACTGATGGCAGCAGCCGCGGTTCAATGCCCGCTCATGCCCGACAAAATCACGGGACCTCAACAGCGCTCGCCCTCTAAGGAAGAAGAATCAAGACCCCGTTCTCGAGTGCTGCAGTCAGAAACCCCACGAAGAGGGCACCAGAGTCGAGCGGTTGGTTGTTGACTTGCAGACATCTAGGCGATTTGAAACCAACCGACGAGGGAGGCAGAGAGATGGACCAGAACCGGACGTACGCGTCAGGAGATAGCAGGGGGCGCAGGCGATACTTTAACCCCTATCCTTTGAAGGACTTGAAAATGAAATCATGATAAGAAACCATAAAAAGGGAGGATATGTAGGGTATTAAGTAAGGCTTAAGATTTCAAGGGCTGCTTCTTGCTTGCACAGATGAACCTCGACCAAACATTACGGAATAGCAAAAGTGGCCTTAATCATTAGAATGGGGTTCCTTTAATTTAAAAGGGGTATACATAAGAGCTACAATATGGATCTATAAGGGTACTATATCATGTATATATATATATATATGGGCCTTGATAGCGGCCTCAAAAATTAGAATAGGGTTTTGGGGCCTATTGCCGATAATAAAATAGTTACGACAAGGAAGCCCCCAAAATAGTAGAGGTAGTTATTTAGGCCCCTACATTACATGGTTACGACTCCTATAATCATGGCGGCTTTGACTAATTAGTTGGTTGTTCGGTCGTCGGTCCACAGGTATTTACACCCCGAACCCTAAGCCCGAACTCAGCACTGTGCGGGGCTTGCTGTTGAGACATTCCGGGGAGGAGCCTCAAACTACAGGTTCAGCTGCGAATTTGCAGCTGCCTTCGCAAGTCCTTGCGCGCCAAGAAATATTCGCAGAGCAAAAGCTACGTGTGGGGTTTAGGGTTTGGTCAGTGATTTGGTGCTTCGCCCACGGTTTTTGGAGCCAACAAGCCAATCCAGGTCGGCGCCGCGCGCAAGCGCTCACGAAGCTGTACATGCACGAAACTAAAATGAAACGACTAAAAGGCGTCACCACCCGAGATGCAAAAGCAGGCAGCTAGCTACTCTACTGATGGGGCCCGAAGTATTTCAGAACCTGACTCAGAAACCTTGCATCTTTATTAGAACTCTTTATCTGGGTGGTTGTCAAAATTATGGTCCTTTTTGGGGTCCCTATTATAGTAGGGGTCCCTATTATGGTACTGCACCTATTATTTAGGGTACCCCAATAGGGGCCATATTTTTGACAACTACCCATCTGGATCCTACTTCTCTGGGGTTCTACGGCCAGGGTTCCTCAATGGGACAGTGCAGGCTCCTAGGTGCCCAACCCTTAACCCTAAATGTGACACTAAACCCTGAACCTTCAAACTCTAAAGCCCTAAACTCTATCAAGCCCTGCAGGCTTAATTGCCCATGAAAACGTCAAGTGAAGCCTGAAGCACATGCGTAGTCCTCTACATTAGGGTTCCTTTTCAGGTCCCCCCCAAAATAGTACGGCACCCTTGTATCTAAGGACCCGACCCTAATTTAGAGAACTGCCCACATGGTTTCTTGTCAGATTTTCCACGGCGATAGGCTCTGGCACATACTTCGAGAGGTATGCAAGATGCCCTTGTGGTCTACAACCCTAAACCCTAAACCCAGACTACGTCTAGGCCTTTAAGAACTGCTCTGAGCTTTGCAAGATGCATATAGAGTTTGGTGATCATGAAGTTCGGATATCCTGCGTGAGTCCGTTGCAGAGTATATTTAGCTTTAAGTGGGCTTGTTTCTGAGTCGCGTAGGATTTCATCGAAGTAAGGGTCCTAGACAGTCACCAAACTAAACCCACTAACAGTAATATAGGGGCCTTAATAATAAGAATAGGGTTTGGGGGCCGACTATACTATAACTATAACAAGGAACCCCCAAAATAGTATGGGAAATTATTTGGGCCCCTATAGTAGTTCGTTTCATTCAAGCTGCTAGGACTGGGGAGTCGGATTCAGCCCAAAGTAGGTAACCTAAACCCTAAACCCTTGTACCATTGATAGAGTGTACCCATAGGCTCCATAGTAGTTCCTTTTTGGGGATTACCTTACAGGACTCTAAATATGAAGCTCAATAAGGAACTATATACTATATCGCCTCTAGGTAGGAGGTGTTATCATTGGTCGGAACCTGCTGTCCAAATGGCCCTAAAACTAGGTACCATTTATAAAGTCATTAACGAGTTTAGGGAATAGTATCATTGGGATGGGGATCGTGGATTATGTACGTCAGTATTTGAGAAAGCATATGATTGGAAGGTACTTGGACCCTTTTGGCTACAGTCAGAGTCATGTACGCCTACTAGAACTGAACTAGTTGTTGTTCGCTCATAGACTTGCCTGTTTGACGCCGTACCCTAACCAGAATCAAGTACTACTGCTTTGGAAGGTACAGGTATGGCTTAGCAAACATGTGAACCATACTGAGTCAGACCACGTATCACCGTAAAGTTGTTCGTTCCTGCGTCTCGGACATTGTGCGTCTGTGCAGTGGCATTATGACATCTGGCTACGCTGCGGCAGCCCTGATTCTCGCAAAGCAGTGGCATCCATCACTTCTCTGTTTAACTTCAAGCCTAGCTCTTAGTGAAACCCTGCACTCTACATGAACCGACCATAAAATCTTTCTACTCAGTGTTTCGGGTTTACGGGGTTTAGGGGTTTCGCATGGGTTCGCTACCCCCCGGAGAACGTCCACCTGGAATTTGAAGTGTAATGTACCTGGACCCAATATAACCTACATACCTTTTTTAGGGTTCCCTAATATGACTTCTTTGTAGAAGTCCTCACAAAGGTAGGTCATCTTGGCTTAATGTAGACCCTTGATCTATATAGCCCCCCTTGCTCCAACCAGGCTCATACTTGGGATCCTAATGCGACTTCTCTTAAGGGGGTTAGGGGTTTGTGTATCCGGAGCTAAATGGCTTTGGAGTCTCGGGGAGGCTTCGGGATGAAGGATTAAAGTCTACCCTAGCCCATCAAAACCTACTCTTTTTTTGGTGAAGGTCTCTTCTTGCAAACCCAAATATGACATGTAGAGGGACCCTACACACCCTGAACCCGAAACCCCTTATCCTTCAACCCTCACCAAATATGAAATTTAGGGTTAAGGAAGGCTTGTAGCCAATTGGAGTCCACATCCTTCCGCAGGAACTGCGGCAGCATAACCTGGGAGGACGGGAGCAACCAGGATGTCTGCTTTGTTTTTGTGCAAGACAACGGGTTCGGAGGGCATAAAGGGTTTTGGAGGGTTTGGTTTTCTTTGGAGGGCTTTGAGCTTAGCTTTCGTGGTTCCAAATTTAGAGGGGTTAGGGGATTAAGGCATTGGGGTTTTGATTTACGGAGTTTTTATGGGATGGACCAGGGTCACGTGACCTAGTTAGATGGACTCCTCTATCCGAAGATGCGGTTTTAGGGTAAGCCCGGTAAGCCCAAATCCAAACAAGATCACAGGGTACTGCAAACCTTAAACCCAAATCCCAAATCCCCACCCAGCCTTCTAAAACCGTTCCCACCCTAACGGTGCCCAAACATTGAAATGCCCACAGCCTGTACACCAGCAATGGACCGAAAACTGGGAGAAGCCCACTAAAAATCGTCGAATACAGCCCGCCTTGATAGGAACACCGCAAACACCAGATTTAATATCTAACCCCCCTGAAAAGGCGTGCCCCAACCCCCCAACCCTAAACCCTAAACCCTAAACCCTAAACCGCTTCAAGCAGTAGATTTCAAGAAGACCTCAGGGGCCAACTGGTCCCTGCCCTGCTCTGCCCTGCCCTCCCTGCCTACCCTGGCCCAGGCAATGCGGTAGATATTGCGCGCGGCCCCCATCTACTATTTGCTTAAGAACCCCCAAAAAAGAAAAGAAATATATTCCTTATGGGGGTAATATAGGGATTATTATTTTTATTTTTTGGGTGTTCCTTAAGCAAGTAGTAGCCATACGGTACGAGTGTATCATAGGGCTACTATGAAGGTCCTAATATATGTCTATATTTTGAATATTATTCACTATTACTGCGTGGGGGCCGTACCTAAGGTAGATAGAGCTTCCGGCTTCGCCGAGTTCTACCACAACACACGCCCTTACCCTCATCGTCCGAAGAAAGCTAAACCCTACAAAAGACATCACAGAATTAACAATCCGCCCCCCACTCTCGCCCGGCCCCCGCCTCAACCCCCCCCCTGGTCCAAAAAAACAACGACTTACGTAGATCCCTCATCAGCTGAAGAGGCCCCCGCCGCTCGTCAAGGAAGGCCTGCCATATCATCGCCGTCAGCCTGGCTTGCTTGTAGGTTTAGAGGTTTAAGCGTATCGGGGCTGGGGGGTTTAAGGGTATAGGCATAGGCTATAGGGTATTGGGTATTTAGATCCTTTGGGATTATAGTAACTTCATTATAGGAGCTAGGGATTTGAGTTGGGATGCAAGCCAGTCTCCAGTCAAGCGTACATTGATTATCTTGTTTCCTGTCGTTGGGAGCCGAAACCAAAATCGGTTATCCAACACCTCTTGATTGAGGAATATACCTGACATTTTATCGGACCATTCTCATACAAGGTCTGATTTCGGAATTGTTGCAGGGTTTGGGGGGCTTTGGCACTTGGGGCTTCGACGTTGAGGGAATACAGGGGTTATGGATGAGCTGCTCCGGATTCAGGGCTTATCAAGCTTTAGAAGGAAGAGTCACTATAGGGAAACCAGCAGGGGACCCTGACGTATCCACAAGGGAGACCAAGTGAGACCATACCCGCCCAACTCGGAAATCTAACCCCTTCACGGAAGTGGGCCCTGAACCCTGAACCCCAAAACCTTAAACCCTGAACCCTGAACCGTAAACCCTAAATTACTAAACCCTAAACCTTAAACCCTAAACCTTAAACCGTAAACCCTAAACCTTAAACCCTAAACCTGGGGAGTAATGAAGAGTAGCGTAGCACCGGAGTCCTGACTCCTACAGGCACCGTCCCTCCTCTGCTCATGATTGAGCAATCCAACACTGTAATGAAGTCTCCTGAAAACGATAACGTAGCAGAAAGTAACACCCCAGAGGGTTCATATATACTACCATCATGTTATTCGGTCCCCAAAAGCCTAATTCCATAGTAGTAGTGTATATGGACCCTCTGGGATACTTTGCATAGATTCGACCAATCAACCCACGACAAACCCCAACGGTCCAAAGGACCCAATAATTAGGTACTCGGTTTTAGGATAGTAGTTATGTAGGTTAGGATTTTGGAGAGTATATGATTATTAGGTACTTGGATTCTTGGGGAAAGTACAAGACTACGGTTGATGGTATAAAACCTGCATTACCCACAATAAGGAATATACAATAATTCCCATACTTTAGGTTCCTTGAGGTAATGAAAGATTTATATCATCAACCGTATCACAACAAGTCATGCAACACAGGTCCCCGCAGGCGCCTTGCGCATATCTGCTGCGGCAAACGGCGTCGACCTCGGTGAAGTTTCAGGTCCCGGGGCACAAAACGGTCCGTTTAAGGTTTACCTGGACCCCATATAACCTGCCCTTTTAGGGTTCCCTAATATGAACTCTTTAATAAATAAAAAAATATATATGTATATATATATATATATATATATGTCCTTAAGAAGGTAGATTATTTGAGGTTCGGGTCGGGCTTGAGGCTTAGGGAAGGCAGTCAGGCTGCAGGTGTAGGGTTCTAGGTGCAGGGCCTAGAACGAGAGCACATGGGCTGGGCCTTTGCGATGTCAGACCGGAAAGAATGCCGGCAGGACATAGCCAGACTTCAGCAGCATTATTATCAATATGCAGTGCCTGTAAAGTGTATAGTGCCAGGGACCGAGACACTGTCCTGAATCCCGTCGTTTACGTGGACTCCTCATCTGCGTTTTTGATACGAGGCTCACCCTCATAGACCAAAATGTCCGCTGAAGCATCCGTACGGCGGATGGACAAAATCCTGCATTACCCATAATAAGGAATATACCATAATTACCATAGCCTAGGGTCCTCAGGATAATGCAGGATTTATATCATCAACCGTTGGGGAAGCAGGCACGAAAAGCCCGGAAGGCCCACCAAGGGAACTTGCAAACTCAAATCCTCGAAACCAACACCCTCAATGCTCACAGGAGGGTGATTAGGGCTTAAGGGTTTAGGGAAAAAGTCATGGGTCTGTCTCGCAGATCCCCTCAAAAGTACTCCACCTACATTAGCAAGGGGTGGTTTCAATAGTGTCTGCTTAGGTCTATTCGAGTCTATTCTGGTGCACAACCCCAAACCCTGAAACACAAGCCCTAACCAAACACGAAGAATCCTAATCCCATACTCTCTGCAACCGCAGCACGTGAGCAACGTCGGTGCGGGAGATGTGTTTCTTCCTCGGTCTCGTGACTTCAGGGTTGAGGGTTTTAGCCCAAAGGGTCCAAGGTACCGTTATAGGGGATACTTCCCCAAATCATAATAGTAATCCCTAATATAGAAAGCCTACATTCTACTATAAAGGTACTTTGGACCCTTTGGGTAGGTAAGGTTCAGAGGATTGAAAAACGTGCTCAGGGCTTTCTTCTGGGGTGTGGCCCCTAAACCCTCAACCGCGCCCGGGTTTCGGAGTCCCTGAGAATGCATCGGTGTGTGGCGATCCCCACTTCGAGCTCCCGCTTAACACCGCCACCAACTTCGGGTTTAGGGCTATTAAATCACGGTTTAGGGTCGTAGGGATTCGGGGTTTAGGGTTCTACTGTCTCGAGTGTAGGGCTTAACAGGGTCTAGGGTCTCAGGTTTCACAGGATTCTGGGGCTTTTGGGTTGTATGGCTCGAAGGCTTAGGTTTCTGCTTCAAGGTGTTCTACAGAATGAACTTGCCGTTTGGGCTCGATGGAAGGGCGTCCTGGACCGGGCCAGGTCAGCTTCACCCTACACCACCAATCTCGATCGCATCCCGAAACATCGGAAGATGTCTCAACAAATCCCTGACCAGCCGTTCGTGCGACGGCTCACTCAGCAATTGCCAGTGGAAGCGCCACGCAACAATTGCAAGGCAGTTTGCCTGCAGCAATCAAATACCGGGAGCAAAATAGTGTTGGCGTGAGGTCCGCTTAGCAAGCCAACCACCGAGGCTCGCTCCCGGCCGCCCCTGGTTGCTGTACAAGTCCCGTAGCTCTTGCTCCATCGACTTGGTGTTCTTCCTCGATGGTCCATATGCATTCCTCACCAAACCCCTCACATGGACGATATGAGCGCGGATGTGTATAGGATACGTAGGAGCAGGTGTCACGACTGACAGCTTATGGGTGAACCCCGATGGAAAATTCTTGCCACGATCGTGGCCCCTGTTGAACTCGAACGTAGAACCACTTAAGGTAGCATAAAACCGCTCGGCTACAGCAAAGGAATTCTACCTAAAGTCAAATTCGGAACCCGTCTCAGTCTGTACGAGGCATATGCTGGAATGAAAGAATATTGGGATATCGGGAAGAGACTAGGATTGCGGGTCAACCCGGGCATTGCACCCCCTCCGAAGCTAAAGGCGGCTAAGCTTTAGAGTTTGGGGTTTGGGGATTCATCGGGGATGTGAGGTGGGGTTCCCTCCTCAACATTTAAGTTCTCAACGTTCGAGGTTGTAAACAAAAACTAGTGCCGATAAAGGTACGCTGGGTGCTTGATCTGACGACTCTATCATTCACGGTACATACCCAGACCCCCGGAAGGATCTAGAAACCCTATAGATCCCTTTAGGGAAACTTTAAAGGAACCCTAGATATTCCTTAGTGGCTTAGTTCGGGGCCCTACCAAAAAAGTAGGTTTTGGTAGGTTTAAGGTAACCCACAAACCCTATAGTCCCTAATCCTAGACCCTAATCCCCTAAACCTTATAGTACCCTTTAAGGAGCCCGGTAATTGAAGGTATAGGAACTAATAGAGGGGCCTCAATAATTAGAGTATATAGGGTTTTGGGCCCAATTATGCGATATCTATAATATGGAACCCCCCAAATTATACTAATTAAGGCCCTAAGGTATCGGAATCTATCTTCGTGCCCCAAACAAGCACATAAGCAAAAATAAGCATGGGGATATCCCGTATATACCCCCTTATACTGAAGTCCATGTCCCTATTGGGGCCCTAATATGGGAGTTTCCGAAATAGGCGCCGAATATAGTACCCCCCATTAGTAGAATCCCTATTAGAAGGACCCCAAAATACGGTACCCCTAATTTCGGAAACTCTAAACCCTTATAGTAGCCCTCTCTGCCCTTATTAGTATCCCTTTAAAGGAACCCTGAGGTAGCACTAATTTCCGGTCCCTATAGGCCCTAATATCTCTCCAGGCAGTGGCTGCTGAGACCCGGGCGGGATCGAGCGGAGGGGCCTCGCTCCAGCAGGTCCTGTGCTTTCGAACTTCGTTTAGGGCTTCCTTTTAGGGTTCCTTTTAGGGTTTAAGGTTTAGGGTTTAAGGGTTCCTGTTAGGGTTCCTTTAAGGGGTTTGGGTTTAGGGTTAAGGTTTAGGGTTAAGGGTTCTTTTTAGGGTTCCTGTTTGGGTTCTTAGCTTCTTTGAGTTTAGGGCTCCTTTACGGGGCTCCTTAAGGGATCCATAAAGGTTCTAAGAGGCTTTAGGGTTTAAGTTCTGGGGGTGTAGGTTTGGGGTTTAGGGCATATACTAGCTGATCAAAACTTACCAATTGTCATAGAGTTTGGGGCTATGTCAAAATTGAATTGCACAGGGACTAGAGGGGGCTACCGCAATACACTAATTCCACCCCCCAATGTCACTAATCAGGAGCCCAGGCGATCCTGCTTTTCGGGTAGAACGGCAGCTTTGCTACGGAAGCTTACGGTTAAGGTTATAAAAGATTTTCCAGAAGAACGGTTTCGGTGCTTCAGGTTTTGAACGGCGCTTCTGGCGGCGATGAGAGGCTTATAGTCGTACAGAGTTCAAGATCTGTGAATCTGTGGGCGTTCCAACGCAGAATGAACCAGTGCGTTCTCCTGCGCATTCTGGAATTTGTACCTACGTATGCAGTACGAACTCTTCCGCGTCCAAACATTGGGGGAAAACCGAAAGCGCTCAGCTTTAGCCACTGCTCTTGCTGCTACGGCTGCTTACTACCGCTACTACTAACTGCTGCTGCTACTACTACAACTACTGCTACCACTAACTGCTGCTGCTACTACTACAACTACTGCTACTACTACTACTCGGCCCCAGTAGCAGAGCAAGGATTATATGTTTTGAGGAGATGGATTAGACATCTCCAAGAGCTAGGTTTGTGGGAGCCGACAACAGTTCGGTGCCATCCTTTCAGCCCATATGGTGCTGAATTGAATGGCCGGATAATATCTGTCCCTACGTCGGATGCGCTGGACCGCAAGACGATGGCAATGCAATACTACTACTACTACTACACTACTACTACTACTACTACTACTACTACTACTACTACTACTACTACTACTACTACTACTACTACTACTACTACTACTACTACTACTACTACTACTACTACTACTACTACTACCACTACCAGCACTATGACCACTACGACTACGACTATCGCTAAGACTGGGGTTCTGCTACTACTGCGACTACTTCTTCTTCTCCTCCTCCTGCTCCTCCTACGATCATACACTCCAACTCCTCCTACTGCTACTCCTACTGCTGCTACTCGTACTGCTACGACTACGACGACGACGACGACGACTACTACTGCTACTACTACTACTACTACTACTACTACTACTACTACTACTACTACTACTCTTACTACTACTACTACTACTGCTGCTACTACTACTACTACTGCTACTACTACTACTACTACTACTACTACTAATACTACGACTACTACTACTCCTACTCCTACTGCTACTGCTACTGCTCCTGCTACTGCCTCTGCCACTGTGCCTGCTCCTGCTCCTGCTCCTGCTCCTGCTCCTGCTCCTGCTCCTGCTGCTACTGCTACTGCTACTGCTACTGCTACTGCTACTGCTACTGCTACTGCTACTGCTACTGCTGCTGCTGGTGGTGCTGCTGCTGGTACTGCTGCTGCTACTACTACTACTACTACTACTACAACTACTACTACTACTACTACTACTACTACTACTACTACTACTACTACTACTACTACTACTATTACTGCTACTATTACTGCTACTATTACTGCTACTCCTGCTCCTGCTGCTATTGCTACTGCTACGACGGCGACTGCGACGACTACGACCAACCACCACAACCCGAAGCACACTGAATCCCAGGTTGCCGTCCTTGGCGTCTTCGAGCTCCTTCAGAAACTAAGATTTCTTGTTTGATTTTGAGGCTGGCTATTGTACAGCTCTGTGCAGTGAAACCCATGTTAATGAGGCCCCTAGTCTTCTTTCTGCCCCAACTCCTAAACGCTCAACTTTCCCTGAATTCTGCATTGACTTATCACCAGAAGAACATGGCAGCTTTGCGGATTCATGTAAGAGCCTGAATATACCTAGAGGCTCTATAGTAGTTCCTTTTTGGGTCATATATAGAATCCTTGCAGGTAGTCCCGAAAAAGGAACTGCATGGAGCCTATGGGTAATTATGCAATAGGGTTTGAGGGTTCCGACACTTCAGGCGTCACATGTAATAGGAACACCTCACGAGCAGTATTGCTGAAGATTCAGGTCAACCCTGATAAACCTCATGAAGCTGCGCAACGAAAACAGCATTCCACCACCCTTTGCGGCCCTCATAGACTCCAAACGAAATAAGCGGCGGGTTTGGGACTGGCATTTCGACCAGTACTCGAGAATTAAAGCGGAAGTAACTGTATGTAGAGCCACTTGTTGGGAAGTATACAATTTGTAGGTGTGGGCCATGTGCTTTCTACCTTCAGCTCCAAATGCCGACTGCCTGGGAGCTAGACCCGGCAGTTAAGGTCAGGGATTTGATATAGGCCTTGAAAGTTTAAGATTTAGGGTTAAGGATCTTGCCACATTTGCCAAGGCACCTCGCGCACGGCGTCGCGTATCATCAAGGCGAGCTCATATTTGCCTGGGCTGTCGTGTTGGTTAAAGGCCTCCCCAAACGTATTTACAAACAGGTACCTCTTTGAGCAACTCGAATCGAATTACTAGGATACCCAGTAACCTAAGAATAAAAAGGCCTCTCTTTTTGGTATTGGGTAACTTTATAAGGAACCTGGGACTACAAAAAGGGAATAAGGGTACTACTGGGCATCCTAGATTAAAAGGCCCCACAAGTGCCACCTAGCTGCCCAGGTCCTCCAGGCCCCCGGTGGAAGAGCGCAGCATCTGTCGGAGCTTTTCCGTTGGGCTTCAGTAGTAGAGGGTCTAAACATATCTAGCATCGGTACTCCCTTGTTATCCTTTCGTAATGCTACAACATACTCCGAAAATCTATGGAGGCCCCTATATCAAACCTTGCGTCAGAAAACAACGCTCAACAGTCATTAATGAAGCCTGCCTGGTTTCAGGCGATACTATATGAGGCCTCTAGATATATTTGGGCCGGGCCTAGACAACGCGCGTATATCGCTTGAACCGCCTCATGCAATCCTCATCTATGCTCCAAACGTGGGTGACTTGTAGTAACAGTGGGAAGAACCCTTGTAGTAGCCCTTTCGGTAGCCCTGAAAAGAACCCTTTCAGTAACCGTGGAAGTAACCCCCTATACCCTAACCCCCCAAACCCGCAAATCCTAAACCCCTATACCCTAAACCCCAAGCGCGGCCACTTAAGAGTTGTTCAGGCTCTCGCTCGCTCCTTTCCTTCTCTTCCCTTCCTCCCTCGATCCCTCTCGTAGTCTATCTTGCTCTTTCTCTTTCTGTGGGTTTCACTGTTCGACCAAGGAGGAGAGCCCTGAGCTTTCCTTCCTCTCCGAAAAGACAACATCAGTCTACAAGGCACCTTGTGGCGAGTTTAGTGAGGTGCTGTCCAAGCCATGCGCCAGCTCTGTACAGGGAGCCCATAACGGCAGTCTCCCAACAACTCACTCGCACCTATACACCCCCTGATGTTGTCAGCGCCTTGTCGGCATCGTCGAAAAGCATCGATTGCGATGCACCTCTGGTCAAAACTGATCTCGTAGTATCGAGCTAGCAAAATCAGCGCTAAACAAACTTTCAAGAACCCTAGTGGCCCTAGTTGGAGCTCAGCTACTACGCATGACCCGGTGTGGACCTAAACCAAAACACTGACCTGACCCGTGGAGCAAGCCGGGGGATGTAGGCTTGGCTGCGGCTCCGGGTACGTTGTCCGTGCGGTATCTTTGACGGAGCAAGCCTTGCATCCCCTGAGGTGCCCAAACCGGATTCACTGTACAGTTCTCATAAGTACGTAATGCACATTGCTTTTCAACAGAAGGCTGATGGCTTTGCATCAGAGCTGTAGGATTCAACACTGGGCGCTTTCAGGCGTCAGGTGTCAGGGTTTGAGGTGTTTGTGCGGGTCATCGTTTGCCTGAAGGACCAAATGACCCTTAAAAGTAGGGGCCCTATACCCATATACTATGAATTCCTATAATGGTTAATGAACCTTAAACCCTTTTAGGGTTCATTTCGTCCTTAAGGTAAGGACTCGTCTATTAAGGCTCTTGGGCCCAAAGACCATACTATATGAGGCCTTTTGGGCTATTTTGATGCCCAGGGATTGTCAGTCGAGGAAAGTTGGAATATGGATTTAGGATGCTTGGTGCTGGCATCCCGAATGCCTTACCTTAAAGGCAGCAGGAGAATTATGTTCCCACTTTCCGGCTTCTACTGTAAATCTTGACTGTTGTGAAACATGTCACTCATGCTGAACTTGAATATTGACTCTGAAAGCTAAGCACGCAATACTCGACAAGCAACCTTAGGGTGCAAGGGAGTTTAGGTAGACAGGTTAAATTCATGTTGTATCCCCGGGTTTAGGATTTAGGGGTTTAGGGCTCCGTACCCAAACGACCTGCTTTTCAACGGACTTTTATAGCGCTTAGGAAGAAACCCACCGGTCTGTTGGCGTCACCGCCAGACCGCAAACTTAAACCCTGAACTCTCAGCCCTAAATCCGAAAACCTCATACCCTTAAAGGGAACTCCAGAAAGTTGGAATATGGGTTCATGGTAGGATACCCTATAATTTACCATAGAAGGGTTAGGATAATCATATTCCAACTTTCTGGCTTTTACTGTAACTAGAGGGTCATACCCTGCCCTGTTGCAGGGTACCTACTTGTGAGAAGAGCTCCCAAGCACAAAGTATGGTACCCTCGAAACGGAGTAGAGTATGACCAAATCGGTAGGGTACCCTTGTAGAACCCCTTGAAGGGACTCTATCATAGAAGCCTGTAGGGAACACCCCCATTATGGAAGCGTATAGTACTCCTGAAGACGGGTACCCTTGTAGAAGCCCTTAAAGGTTACCCATAATAGAGCAACCCTGAAATGAACCTTTATAAAACCCTTAAAGGAACCTTATAGTATCCTTAAAAAGAAACCCTTCCAGACGCCCCTTGAAGTAATATACCCTCCCAACTAGTCACCTACATAGCTATTCTCCGAAACCCTAGTCCCTAATCACTAAACCCTACATCCCTAAACCCTAGATCCGATCCGAAACCTAGGGGCCTAAGTACTGGGTCCTTTGGACCCTGAGGGGCAGGTCTGCTGGGTTCCTGTTAAAACATTTGAACCAAGTTAACATAAACAACCACATTATATACTTCCTGTTATAGTAACTGAATCCTGAAATCCTGAACCCTTAAAGGAACCCTTATATATCCCTAGTATGGTAACTTCAATCGCCTGGAGCCAAGGTGCGACTTGGTGCCGCAGATCCCTTGCCGCCTTTTGGGTGCATGATCTCCTTGGCAAGCACTACCCTAAACTACCAAACCCTGCTTTTTTGAAGGTTCTTATGATAAACCTTAATATGGAATTTAGAGGGAGCTTACAAAAAAGTGGGTTTTGGTAGGTTAAGGTACCCTAAAACGAGGCCTCATGGTACCCCAAACCCTAAACCTCCAAGTGCCCTTTAATAGAGGCCTGCTGGTCCTTCATAGGGGTTTAAGGCTCAGGGTTCAGGGGTGCATGATCTCCTCGGCTTTTGAGCAAGGCTTAGGGCTTATGGGGCTTAAGGCTTATGAGGCTTAGGGTTTGTGGGGCTTAGGGTTTATGGGGCCAGGGTTTAATGGGCCTAGGGTTCCGGGGTTTAGGTGGGCAGCTAATTTAATTATAAATGGAGTTATAGATGCCCTAGATTGAGTTACAACGCTCTTCGGCTTCAAACCGAGGGTTTAGGGCTGATAGGGCTCAGGGCTTATAGAACTTAGGGCTTATAGGGATGAGGCTTGACAGCGTTTTAGGGTTTAGGCTTTATAGGGTTTAAGGCTTATGGGATGGCATTGGTATTTGATTGTTCGGGCTTCTGTTGCCCGGTTTAAGGGAGTAGGGGATAAGGGTAAGTATAGAGGTTTGGGTCTAATTTAGGGCTTATGGTTTTCGGCTTAGGGTTTAGAGCTCGAAGTTTCATGTGCATTGGCTGGTTCAGAGAATGATCGGCTTTTCTTCGCGGTTGTTCTGAGTACTGTGACATGCGTCTTCTTACAAAGGAGGCTTGCGCTCGTTTGATCTGCTGGGCTCAGTGTCTACAGTTCTAGCAAGCCGTAAACCCTAAGCCCTAAACCTAAAACCCTTATCGAGCCCTGAACGGAACCCATTCGTGAGCCTCTGCTGGGCGTGTCCTTCTCGACATGCCCTCTTTCACTTCTCGAGACTGTCTCTGCATAAGCCAGGGCCGAAGCACCAACCTCGCTGACAAAGGCAGTCCATCCGGCAAGCGCGACGGCAACGCGCAAAGGGCTCAAAGGACACCTTTGATAAATGCCGTGTGTAATGGCCTGCCATCTGCCTCCCAAGACTCCAGAGGAACTCATCACACGGTAATGCTCCCCCTAAAAGGAGGCAACCAGCTATCGAAGCTGCGAAGGAGCCCCCAACTTGGTGAGCGCCGCGTCAAGCTCCGGAACACCAACACAATCAAAGAACTTGGCAAGGTCCCGCCCGATGACAGTCTGAACAGTACGCGCGGCATGAGTGACCTGCGCAAGTGCCTCACGAACAGATCGGCCAGGAAGGCCCCCCAGCAAGCGATGGTCCACAACAGAGTCGATCCAAGGTCGCAAAGTTGGCAACAAGACTTTGGTGCCAAGTCGCCACGCAAGCGAGAGAATGCTCAGCGGCTGGTATCCTCCAGTGGCTTTTGGGATGAACGACACCCGGGCGCGGCACCACGGAGAGGGAACCTCAGCAGATGCCAGCACGACATCCCATAACTCAGCAAGTCTGTCCCAAAAAGCAGGAGGAAGCAAGATCCAAGAGGAAGCTCCCCAATCATCGGGGCCAGCAGCCTTGTCCACCATGCGTTTGGCAGCAGCAAGCAACCGACCTCCAGAGAAAGAAAAGCACAGCTTGTGCGCGGCGATCGCAGGGAGCGCCGAAAGTACATGATGAACCTCCTCCTCATCAAAGTCGCGGGCGCGAGTCCATCGAGGTATCCACTCCTCGGCAGCCTGTCGAACCGCAAAGACATGCCATCGAGACGAAAGTGTGGCTTGGAGCCACTTTCAACGACGGAAACGGTTCCCAGCAGTAGCTTGCACACTACTTGCCCCTCTACAATGGAGACTATAGCTATTCCTGAATTTGGGGTGGATCTAGTTTTCGGGGACCCAAAAGTACAGCATCATAAGGTCTTCATTTTGAACCCCAACCTTGTTGTTAGCGGATTTGACTTTCGGGTTTAGGGTTCTTCAGCTTAAGGCATAAGGTGGAACGGCCAAGGCTACAGAAGTTAAGCCTTTAGGGGTTAGGGGGTTTACCTTGACTCCAAATGACCTGTTGTTGTTAAGGACTTGTATCAAGTGCAAATCAAGAAACCATATTCAAGAACCTAAAAAGGTAGCTTTCGTAGGGTCCAGGTAGGGTTCGTTCAACGTCTACATACTGTTTCCTGAGAGCTTCATCGAAGCTGAAGTCGCTTATGCTGAAGGCACCGAACCACCGGGCAGGAATCCTCCAAACAAGGGTTTGGGGTTTAGGGGTTTAGAAGTTTAGGGTTTAGGGCTTAGGGCTTGTAAGGTTTAGGGTTTCGGGTTGAGGGTTTAGAGGTTGAGGGTTTCTTGAAAGAGCTGAAAAATCGAAGCTTTATCCCTTAACAGACCTTCCCCAGGCAAAAGAACCCTTAAAGCCTTAGATCAATGGAAAAGGTCCGGGCCTAATATTCAAAAGCCCCAATAAACCTTTGCAAAATCCGATGCAACCCTTCATACAGCCTCTATAAACGATTCGAAGCCCTGCTACGAACCATGAATAAGACCTAGACCCGAAGACCTCCAACTCGCGACCGGGAGACTTGGTCCCGGGGCTCACAAATCCAAAGATATCTCCTTGGGCTTACGCTTTCTACGTGTTGCTGGGCCTCCTTTTTCTCTAGGGTGTTAGGGTTTGGGTGCGGCGTGTAGTTTTCAGCTTAGGCTTTCGGGTTTAGGGGCTTTTGGGGCAATAGAGGTCTTTGCCCAGACCTTCCAAAATCCCTTAATTAAGGAATATACCTTAAATTTTAATTGGATCCCTAATATGATTTAAGGTATATTCCTTAATTAAGGGATTTTGGAAGGTCTGGGTACTTGCAACATATACGGTTTACCGGGCTCTTCTGGATCCAAGAGCGGACCAGCTTCCAAAATCCCTTAACTAAGGAATATACCTTAAATCATATCAGGGATCCTATTGTAGTTTAAGGTATATTCCTTAATTAAGGGATTTTGGAAGGTCTGGGTGGTTCTGTGTCGTGCCGTGTTTGTAGAATCTGATACAGATTAATGATAAATACGCGCGGGGCTGAATAAGGATTAAGATTACTGGTTAATACTCAATACGGGTATCTTGAATACTGGACACCTCTGATGAATAAACCAATCTCTAAGGGGCTTTATATTAGGATCCAAACAATCCTTCCAGGGCTGTAGAATGTGATTTTTCAGGTACATCTTTGAGGTCTGGGATGTGGTGCTTGCTGGGATATTGTAGCGTTTGGGCAAGGGTTGCTTTTTTGTTGACAATGTTTGCAAGCGTATTATTGCACGGGGTTCCACTGTGGGCCCAAACTCGAGCAAAGAGCAGTTTCTGACGAGGTTATGACCGAGTCGAACAGCCTAACCCTCAAAGCAATGGAATATTGGATTGCCTCGGGGTCATAGACGATCCTAGGTTTGTGTCAAACCGCTACACACCCCCAACCCATGAACCCTATGAACGCTACACCCTGAGCCCAGAAAACCTAAACTCTAGCATCCTGTCACTCATAGGGACTCTTAGGGGGGGAGGGGCCGCAATGCCCATAATAAGGACTTCATAATCTTCATAAGCCCTATTTAAGGAAGCCTTTCCCCCTACCCCCCTTAAGAGTCCCTGTGACTCTAGACCCTAAACCCTAAACTCTAAGCTCTAAACCCTAGACCCTACACCATAAACCCTAAACCCTAATTATCTCGCCCTTTGCTCCCCTCATCGCCGATCAAGGGGCCTTTTGCCGCCATTCCTGTCACCAAAGAGGCGAAGGGGATTGCAGGGTCATAAGGTTCCCAGAGACTCCAATATCCCTTAATTAAGGAATACACCGTAAATTATGGTAAAATCCACCAAATTGATTTAAGGTATATTCCTTAATTAAGGGATATTGGAGTCTCTGGATTTCCTTTAGAGCTCTGTAGGGTTCAGGCTCGTACACCCAGGTTCCCTGATAGTCAGACAGCACCTTGATCATGAGAGGTACCATTGTCTAGGATACCCAGTAACCTAAGAATAAAAAGGCATCTCTTTTTGGTATTGGGTAACTTTATAAGGAACCTAGGACTACAAAAAGGGAATAAGGGTAGTACTGGGCACCCTAGTTGTTCTACTATTCGAGCTCAAGAAGGACACTCCCGAACAAAAAGGGCAAAAGGGTACCCCTGGGAGACCCAGAAACTTCGCATTTCGAATTATTCAAAGGGCAAAAGGAGGGACCCTTAATGGGGACCCCTACCCTATAAAGGGGCTATGTAATGGGTATATAATAGCTATATTAAGGGTATATACCTAGGGGTCCTTATTAAGGGTCCTTCCTTTTCCCCTTTGAATTATGGGTTAAACCCTAAACCCTTGTGCGGGCGGGGAGACCCATCGCTGAGAGTTCTTTTATTCAAGTATCCTTAACGACTCACTTGCTTCGGCTAGTGATTAATGCATTTGCTTGTTATTGAGCACGCTAAACCCCTAAACCCCAAAACCATAAACCCTGAACCCCTAAACCCCTAGACCCTAAACCCGATAAACCCTACTATACCCTAAAACCCCCTAACATAGTTTCAAAAAGGGCGCCCTCAACCGCCCTCGCAGGCCTCGTGCCCACGGGGACATACCCCGAAGAGTCCACCGACCTCGACTTCGGATCACCCTTGTCCATTTAGAAATGGTTTAGGGTTTAGGGTTTAGGGGACAAAGCCCTATACCTATATCCCTTAGTAGGAAGTATTTAAGAAGGTCTACTAGCCGGTCTGTTTGTTCTTCTGGGGGAACCATGAAAAAGAACAAGGCTGCTTCAGATTAGCTTAGGATCCTCAAGAGGGTGGTTCAAGGCTATACTGAACTTAGAACCCTAGCAAAAATTGTAATTTTAGCTGTTTCTTAGGGATTATAATAACCAAAAATTAAAAACTATTTCTAAGTACCCCTAAGGAGGGTGGGAGGGTACAAGGGAACCTTAAGGGAACCACAAGGGAACCTTAGGGAGCACTAGAGTCAGATTGCTCAGGGTTTCGACTCGATGGGGGCCGGGGTTTAGGGTTTAGGGGTTTAGGGCTTCGAGTGAGAATAGAAGAGCCAGCTTCCAAATAACAAAACAGACCCAGTTTAAGCCGCACATCCCCTCCCATCCACACTGTCTCAAAAACAAAGTACACACCGTAAAACCCTGCTGGTACTAGTACATCTCCAAGCCCTGAACCTTGAACCCCAAATCCTCAACCTTAATCCTAAAGCCATAAAATCCTAAACCTTCTAATCCCAAAAGCCCAAACCCTAAGTTGCATCTCCAATGCACGCCGGAGGCGCTCCGATGTAGAAGAGGCCTGTGAATGACACCAGGTCCGATCCGTCCAAGGAAAATCGCTGCCCTTGCACCTGAGGTTTAAGGCGGGCTTAAGGTCAAGATTAGGGTTTGAGGGTTTAGGGTTTAGGGTTGTAGGGTTTTAGGGCTTTAGGCTTTAGGGTTTTAGGGTTTAGGATTTTAGGGTTTTAGGGTTTAGGTTTCAGGATTTAGCCCTCTTGCACCTGAGGTTGAGGGCCGGCTCGAGGTTCAGTTTGGGGAATTTAAGATTTAGGAGTTGCAGATGTTACATAATGTAGGGGCCTTGGAGGTAACCTCTGCATTTGTTTTTTTTTGGGGGGGTCCTTAAAAATAGTTAGTCTTACTATAAGGGGCCCCAAAGCCCTATTCTAATTATTTTGGCCCCCATGCTCTAGTACCCTACTATAGATCCCCTATTCCCCTTTAGACCCCTGTAAAGATAAAGAACCCTAATTAAGGCTCCGATAGAGCTTCTTTGATCTTCCTGATCAAGCAGAGGGTTCAGGGAGCAAAAGCAGCACCCTCAGAACCTTTCAATAGATTCCCCCCTAAACCCTAAACCGGGCATGTCTGCAAAGTTCCTGCGTATAGCTTGGAACCGCAGGGTCACTGCCTTCTGTATTGGCATTGGGGTTGGCTGCACTTGGGAACGTCCAGTCAGTTCATGGCTGCCGGCCGGCATGGACCCTCAGGGCTTGGGTGAACAGGGTCCAAAGGCTCAAAGAGAGACCCGAAGGGTCCGATGTACCCAAATAGGGTTCCTGTAAAGGGGTTCCGTTTAGGGTTCTATAACGGTACCATCAGGATTTAGGGGATGTTTTGGGTAAATAAGAGTCCATGTACTCAAAGGGTAATACTTCGGTTGGGGACATGGATCCTAAGAAGCTACCTGGATGAAACGTATACCGCCCTGCGACACATACTGCGGGGCCCCCACAAGCAGGTATTGGGGTATGACTGTATAATCAGCATCCAAGTGGCTGAATCGTTGCGATGAAGGTAATCACCTGACCTCAAGACACAGGTTCTCAGCCGAACTTGGATTCAAACGAGTTCTTCCTTATCGTGATTATACAATAGATCGGAACGCCCGCGTAATATATGGGACCAATAGGGGCCTTAACAAGTAAGCTCATCTTCGGGCATATTGTTTTATCTAGGGCAGGGACTGTTGTGGGATCTCGCTTAAAGGCTTAACTCATACGAAGACGCCCCTTCAAGGATGGCATGTGCGAGACGCTTTATTATGACGGAGGAATGTGCAGGCCTCTCGCACCCAGAACTTGTGACTAGGATACCCAGTAACCTAAGAATAAAAAGGCCTCTCTTTTTGGTATTGGGTAACTTTATAAGGAACCTAGGACTACAAAAAGGGAATAAGGGTACTACTGGAGATCCTAGGTGACTATGCGGTCGAAGTCCGTTCTAAAGTTCGGAGGTCTTAGCCAAGCGTTGAAGCGTTCCGACCTGTTCATGCCACCACCCAGACCTTCCAAAATCCCTTAATTAAGGAATCTGCCTTAAATTATGATAGGATCCCTAATATGATTTAAGGCAGATTCCTTAATTAAGGGATTTTGGAAGGTCTGGGCATCACGGATACGACGGTTCTCCGCCTGCATTGGAGTGGCCTTGTTGCATTTTGCATCGAAATTGCGTTGCCCACGAATGCCAAGCATCTAGTCTCAGGCGAACCAGATGTTTGGAATTCGTGGGCAAGGCAATTTTGGACCGAAATTGCGTTGCCCACGAATGCCAAACATATGGTCTCAGGCGAACCAGATGTTTGGAAATCGTGAGCAAGGCAATTTTGGACCGAAATTGCCTTGCCCACGAATTCCAAACATCTGGTCTCCGAAAAATTGCCTTGCCCACGAATTCCAAATATCTGGTCCTCCGAAAAATTGCCTTGCCCACGAATTCATTAAGGTGTAAGTTTCTATATGATAGAGAGGGTTTAGGGGTTTAGGGTTTAGGGGTTTAGGGGTTTAGGGTTTAGGGGTTTTGGGTTTAGTGTAGGGGCTGTACTGGGGGAGAGCTTACGGAAAAGTCGGGGCTGTAAGATTATCTTAAACTGTATTTGCAGCCGAACCCCCCACCCGTTCAGACTCTTTGGACCATTTCCCCAAAGCCTGAAGATTGACTCATTCACCTTAAAACCCCGCCCAAGTTGGAACAACCGAAGACTTCAGCAAAAGTTGGAACCCTGCTGTAGAACGGAAATAGCAGGATCCTCCTCATAGGGATGCCAACTTGCACAAAGACCCCTAAACCCTGAAAACGCCAAACCCCTCCTTGACCCTAAACGCCTAGACGTGTGCATCCTAATCTAGCCCCAAAACCCTAAACACCTCTGAGTCACAAAAAGCCGACCAAGGAGCCCGGATTTTTAAACCCTATAAACACCTAGCAGCACTCTATTCAAACCTTTTTAATGCCTACAAAACTTCTAAGTGTCCCCCCAAAGAGCTCTGAAGCCCAAAACTCTAAACCCAAAACACTAAACCCTGCTAATGAACCCCCAAACCCTAAACTACCCATAGGCTCCACAGTAGTTGCTTTTGGGGATTACCTTGTAGGCTTTCTAAACATGAACCCCCAAAGAGGAACTATTATGGAGCCTCTAACTATAAACTCAAAACCCCACCCAATATAACTCTGAACCCTACCTTAACCCCAAATAACCTACCTTTTTAAGGACTTAGATAAAGAAGTCATATTAGGGAACCCTAAAAAGGTAGGCTCTTCAGGGTCCAGGTACACCCTAAACCCTGAATCCCCAAACCCCTAAACCCCTAAACCCTAAACCCCTAAACCCTAAACCCTAAACCCCTAAACCCTAAATCCCTAAACCCCAATGTAACTTCAGAGCCCGGCATGCCACGAAGGCGAAGAGCTGCAAGAGCCCCGGCAGCTGCCTCTCCGCGCTTCTCAGAGGGTTTTGGGTTGGGGTTTCGAATTTTTGGGTTGTGGGTTCAGGTTTCGGATATTGAGTTTAGGGTTTGATTTTTTTAAAGGTTTGGGGTTTAGGGCCTCGGGCTTGGAGTTAAGGAGTGGGGTTTAGGGTTTGACATTTCGGGTTAAGAGGGCTATGTCTGTGGAACCCCGAACCCTACCAGTTTAGGGGTTATACCCTCCCGGTAGGGCACATGATCTACCATGCTGGCGACCTGTGGTGGATATGCGCGAAACAGGTGGCCCCCTAAAACCCAAGCGGGCCTGTAAGTTGTCTACTGCCCACAACTAAAAATAATTACAGTTGGTCAGTTCCCTGAAGCTTCAAGTGCCCGAAAGTTCTAACCGTACCCACGGCTGCAGATACCCCCTGTCTTAAGGGGCTTTCCTATTCATCTGCTCCTAAGCCCGCGACAGGGGGGAGCCTGAACCGCTAAAGGTGTAAGGCACAGACTTAGGGCTTGTAGGATGTCAGGCTTAGGCTGGACACTGCCTCCATGTCGTATAGAAATATGAGGCAAAGAAGAGTAGCCCGGTTACCTTACTTCCCCAATAAGCTACAGAAATGAAAGGTTAAACTTTCCGGTTCCGACTAAACCATAAGACCCAAAAAAGTTTAAAGGCTGGGTATTGTGGGATCGAAGTTCGATCCCTTAAAGGAACCCTTATGGATCCCTTTAAAGGAACCCTGTTCGGGTATTGGGGATCTAAGTACAGGGGCTCTAAGTTACAGATTGTTCCTGTAATGGGGGGGGGGCAGCAATCAAGGCTCGGCCTGAAGGCGCGGGGTCTGTGGCTGTAGATTTGGGGTTCGGATTCACTTTTTGAGTTGAGACCAAGAAGAAGCGGCATGCCGGCCTTCAGCCCGAACTTCAAGGTTTGTGGTAAGCCGGATAGTTAGATAGATGTGCAGGCAGATAGATAGAGTGATAGGTACATGCAAGCATGCATCTCTGCAAACATGCATGTAATATATGTATGCATGCATACATGCATGTGTTGGTTTGTGTATGCATACACGAAACACAACCTCCACATGTATGTATGTACGTATGTATGTACGTATGTATGTATGCATGTATGTAAGTATGTATGTATGTATGGAAGTACATTTATACACATAAACAGGCATGTATGTATGTCTGAATGTATGTAGGTGTGTGCATATGCATGTATGTGTGTGTGTATATATATATATATATATATATATACACATACTCATACACGTGTACATATGTATAATAACTTACAGACATACATTGTTACATGCATGCATACATACATATATATATACATATATATATACATATATATATATACATATATATATATATATATACATATACATATACACACACACACAATCTATCCCTCGCTCTGTATATATTTATATATGCACATATCTATGTCTATCATTCTTTTCACATGCTTATATGCGCATGTATGTGCATCTCTATGTGCATGTTTATGCAAACGCGCATGTATGTTTGTATGTTGCCTGCATGCCCCTATGTCTGTCTCCCAGTACTCAGACATACTTACAAAGATGGCAGCAGTAGAGACTTACAGCCACAGCGCTACTCCCGAAATGGTGGCCGAACCTGTGTGATGACCACTCAGAACTCAAACCATGACCTTCAACCACATAATCCTGAAGACCCTATGCCTCAACCCTAAAATCCACCGAAATCATACCACACCTAAACCCGAAAAGCCAAGACCCCAAACCTCTGCAGCCTTTTAAACTGAAAGGCCTGCCGAAGAAGAGCGCCAAGACTTGGAGCGTCAGCGTGGCAAACACACAGACGCCTCCCTGGCGGTGCACAGCTCTTGGGTTTCAAGCGGGGGTTTTGGGGCTTGATGATTTTCCTCCGCTTTGATGGAAAATTTACTTCAGAAGGGCAACAGGGTGTAGTGTGCCCAGAGCTATACAGGTGCCCTTTTCCCATTGCTCAGTTCGAAGATCGGAGACCCTTCAACACCAGCAAAGGGGTTTTGCTGCAGGACCTATTGTAGGGCCTGACTATGAAACCATTCTACAACCATTTAAAAACCCTGCTCGAAGACAAAATGCCAACCACTTTGCAAAACCCAAAAGTGCAGACCGGGGCTGCCGACAGGCCACTTCAGGTCTTGCCTTGCTAACAGAAAACCCGATAAACCATCCTTAATTTGGGGCCCCAGACCCTGCAAGATAGCAGGCTACAACCCATACCGGAAGAGTCGCGGCGGTTCAGGTCGAGACAGTTGAGCTGGGGTTTTTGCGGGTCTTGCTTCCTCAACATACATTCGAGAACCCCAAGGCCCCAGGACAAAGTATTGGTACTTCTCCCGACCCCTATACTCGACCGTGCAAATCATCCCAGGCTGCAAGGTTTGTGGCGGTCTGTCGCCTAGTTCACGGTTGGGATAGGATTAACAACTTAAATTTGTATTCCTTATTGGGTTTAAGTACCCATAAACATGTAAAATGTTACCCAACTATGACAAAGTTTCGCAGAGGCTTACTTCGGACTTCCAGCGTTTCAGGAAGGCATTTGCCGAGCGGCCACGATGGCAGCAGTGGTACTTGTGACCAGATTGCCTGAGTGGGCAGCCAGAACATAGCTTGAGAAGAATTACAGCATAAACTATTGAGGTGGTATGCATCTTTTAGCTTAGGGGCCTTGAAAAATAGAATAGAATTTTGGGCCAAATGAAATGAATTATACGAAAATTGTGTTTGGACTGTTGGCGGACTGCACAGTGTTACGCTTCAGGGCTCTTATGCAGGGGCCTCGACAACTGCGCAAGGGTTCTGGTAGGTTGCTGCAATATGAAATGGCAAAGAAGCCGAATCAATCATATGTCTCATCACTCAAGGCCCTGCATCAAACCAAAAGCCTGCAGCTCTTGAACCGTAAACCCGAGGCCCCTAAACCCGAAACCTTTAACCTGCAGAGTTTTAGGGTTCTGGGCTCTGGGCTTCGAGAGTTGAGGCAGCCCCAAGGCTAGGGGTTTAGAGTTTAGGGTTCCGGGTTTCTGAGCGCATGAGGTTTAGGGCTTTTAGGGTTTAAGGGTTTAGGGTTTTAGGACTTTAGGGTTTTAGGATTTTAGGGTTTAGGGTTCAGGGGATTAGGGTTTAGGGGTTCAGGGCTCCGGGTTTGGGGGCATGACGGACTTTGCGGTTCAAGGTCCTTCCTAAGCACAAGGAGAATCTGATCGGCATCTTGGATTTGCAGAGAAATCACCCAAAAAGTAGGATCCTTGTCATGCCAAGCGAAAAAACGGTCCTGAAAGCGGCAACATTCAACATGCCCAAGCAATTAAAGAAACATGGCACCCTTTAAAACCCTACATGTGACTCCAAACTCCTGTACTCCGTCTGATTCTGCTGCAAATGTCCCTACTTGGAGGTTCAAGGGTAGCTAGAAAAAGGGGGTATATGTCCCCTAATATGGGTTATAACTATAGTTACCCTACTTACAACTCACTTCTAACTACCCATGAACCTCCACGTAGACGCTACACCTAAACCGCAAAACTGTAAGGTGTGCAGAATACCCAAACCTGCAAAGCGAACCCCCAACCCTAACCTCTAAACCCAGTCAAAGCCTAGCTTAGTGGCTGAGTACTCTAGCCCAGTAAACGTCAGCCTTTTCAATTATGGTCGGGATAGGGATATAAACCCCCAAAAGCAAAAGGCTACCTGCTCCCCTACTGAGGCTAGGGTTTAGGCCTTAGGGGTTTAGGGTTTCCAGAAGGACCCGTGCCAAGTTGCAGGGAAAAACGTGGATGCGGAGGAGGTAGGTGAGGCAGGAGGATGCCTGGAGTCCGGTGGGTAGTTCTCTAATTTGGGTCATGTTTTGGGAGCCCGAGAAGAGGCGGCACCCTTACAACAAAGCCTGAAAGGGACCTCATGTAGAGCACTACCCCCTTATGGCTCAGTAGAACTTGGAGTAACTAGAGAGAACAATGTATAAACTTTCATTTCACAGTGGTGCCTTTCAGCACCAGATCCAAAACCAACTATTTAAGCCTGGTACTCCAGAACCCAATTCAAGCTTTTGTAACAAATCGCAGAGTTGATGCGGGGCTTGGGGTGCATGGAGGTCTACTAGGCCTATCGGGTTCATCGGCAACTATTCAGGCCCCTATAGTCCTTCCCTGGTCTCTTAGCTCATCGTGCTTTCGGCTTCGTCCGATCATGGTGGACTTTTGGGGTCTTGGCTTAGGGCTTAGGGCTCCAGCGAATAAAAAAAACAGTTTTGGAAATTTATGACATGTGCTCAGATGTGATCAAGGATCAGACCTGCAGTTTGGGCGTAGGTTCTGGGTAGTTTATTTAATAGAAACAGTATAGCATTCGAAGTCGAGAAGCAGCGATCGAATCGAAAAGCGGCAGGGCTCCGGGTAATACAGGGTCTAACTTATTAGAGCGGGGTTTTGGGGTAGATTGCACTGTAGAGTTATAGGATTTAGGGTTTTTGGGGGGGGCCCTCCGTCCCATCACGAGCTGTAGACTAGGAACAACCTCACTCCCTAACACCCCCTAAACCCCTTGGACCCCTAAACCCGTCAAACCCCTAAACCCCTTAAACCCCTAAACCCTTAAACCCTAGACCTTCAACTCCTAAACCCCTAAACCCTAAACCTTAAACCCCTAAACCCCTGAACCCTAAACCTTAAACCCTTAAACCCCTACTAAACCCTAAACCTTAAACCCTTAAACCCCTACTAAACCCTAAACCTTAAACCCTTAAACCCCTACTAAACCCTAAACCTTAAACCCTTAAACCCCTACTAAACCCTAAACCTTAAACCCCAAAGCTCCCAAACCCGAAACATTAAACCCCTATAAACCTTAACCGTGGCGCAACAATGGGCTGTTCTTGGAGGCCCATGAGCATCGTTTTCAAAAAACGGCCTAGCTACTATAGGGGCCTTGATAATTAGAACAGGGCTCCTTTAAGGCATCCTTAAAAGAGATCTAAGCGGATCTATAGCAGGGTACTATACTATGGGTGCCTTAACAATTAGAACAGGGTTTTGGGGCCCATTATACGAGAAGTCTAAGAAGGAGCCCACACCAAAATAGTATTGGTGCTTATTTAGGCCCAGGAGCCATGACGACGTAGACTACGGCTTGGGGGACTATCCTACACATATGGGTGGTTGTTAAAATTAGGGTCCCTTTTCGGGTCCTCAATATAATACGGCACCTATTATGTAGGGTACCCCAAAAGGGATCATAATTTTGACACTACCCATATAGTAATAGGAGCCGCCGGGTCTGAGGACTAGTACTACGAATTATTCAACCACCCTGCTCAGGGCGCAGACCCGAACGCTGATGAACATCAGGCCGACCTGTGCCGCGATGTCGATCAACCCGAAACCCCAATTCATAACTCGTATTTCCGCCAAGGCCCCAATTAAGCACCGGCATCTAGGACTGTTTCTGCATGTGTACAAAAATACATATATATATATATATATATATAATATTCATGCCTTCATATGAATATGAGTGACGCGTATATACATATAATCCAACGGACATGCAGCCATGTGTATACACATGCACATGCAGATACACATAGATCTACACCAATGCCTAAGTACAACCATGCCTATACATATCTCTATGTAAATCTCTATCAGTATAATGTGGGCCAACGTCTAATTTTAAACCAGCTTCTAACTTTGTCTCAACTCTTAGCCAGTACGTACCAACTATGTTTGATTGTGTTTGCATACATATATATACACACATGCGTATGCGTGCATGTACACAAACTTACAAGAGCATACCTGCAGAGATGTATGTGCGTCCGCATGCATGCTTCTTTGCATGAACGCAGAAGCCTCAAAGGAGCTTGCAGGGGCCTGAAATATTCGAACGATGTCACAGACTGCTCAACAAGACCATTGCCATAGCCATCACGATAGTTCATGCTAAATGCCGCACCGGTATATTATCATATTGGCCCAAATGTTTGCAGCAAGCCCTCTGGATCCGAAAGGATCCTAAGTATCAACTACATTCAACATTGGTTCTGACTAACACGTTGGGCATGTGTGTGTGTGTGTGTGTGATTGTGTGTGTGTGAGTGTACATACATGTATACAGACTTATAATGACATAAGGTCGTGAAATTGCAGGGGCTTCACCAGAGGGCTCAAACGACGCTTTAATCACGGGGTGTTGTTTGTTTAACGGGCTTTTCAATGTGGATAGTTCTCCAACTTCGTGTCCGTTCTACGGTCCTTTTTGCAAGGGTGCCGTACTATTAGGGGACTCGAAAAGGGACCCTAATTTAGTGAACTACCGGTATGATTTTATGTGTAATTCGTTCTCTGGGGGTCTTTGGCCTTTCCGTGCAAGTACTTAGAATTGGCCTCTGGCGCTCGGGCTTGGTTTTCCGGCTTCCTCTGTATAGCTTGCAGAGACTATCTTTGACAGTTTAAGGCTTAGTTTCAATTTCGAGGCGTAGGGGGTTGATGCTTACAGAGTAAATAGATGTATACAGCTCAACAACTGAAAATCATTTAAATTCCAACCTTGCCTTCTTCAAAGCTCCACTTCAAGCTGTTTACGTCGCTCATCGTAGCTCGACAAAGGGCACACCAAGCACACACAATCCTTCTCAGTAGCTCCACATTAGCCCGCCGAAGCATTCACCACCCTAGCGCTCAAAACCCAAACACCAAAATCTTAAAACTGCAACCTAACCCAGACGCTGAACAGCTCGGCGTCATGGCACGTAGACTCCTGTCTAAAAGTTCATATAGCTGTACATACGAACCCAAAGGAAATCAAACAAGTTTAGGGCGCAAGGTAAGGTCCTAGCTAAGTCCCAAGCGGGATATGAACGACAAAAAATACCTGAGCTCTGAACCCTCCTCACCTCAACTCCTAAAACTAAACTAATCCCTAAGGGTCCATGTACCCAGATAGAGATACATGAGCCCCAAAGTACCTATGTAAGGACTACATTAAGGCCAATGTATATACTATATGAGTACATGGACCCTTAAGGCTTTAAACCTGCGTTAAACACTAAACCCCAGATACCACACCTTCATGCTGGAACCCTTAGCTAAAATCTTCCACTGTTTGCCTTACCCAGCAAACTAAACTAATGAGCACCCTTTTAGTAACCCTTATAGTAACCCTTAAAGGAGCCCCCACGAGCGGTGCTTGGGCCTGATCCTTTTCTTTCGAGTACTGCTCGCCGATCACGCCAATGAAGATGTTCAAAACGAAGACAGAAAAGAACAGCACGCCTGACGTTTGCTCATGACCACTCTTCGCAATATATCTATCTATATATATAGATAGATATATATAGATTATATAGTACTAGTTCCCTACGGTTTAGGGTTTTGGATTTACGAATGAGGGTTCAGGGTCCTTTGGGTTCGGGATGTTAAGGGTATATAGGATGCAGAGGCTCCAGGGGTTTCGGGGGATTGATGCTTTAAGTCTATGCAAGTCATATGGGAGTTTCCGAAAATAGGGGACCCTAATATGGTACCCGAAATAATAGGATCCTTATTATAAGTACCCCTAAAATAAGGTACCCTAACTTTCGGAAATTCCTATATGGGAGCACGAAGACCTTACTAACATAGAAAACCTCAGAAGGCGGGCTGTTGGCCGGACCGCAGGGATCAACCACGAACTCGGGTTTAGGGTTTAGGGCTTGGGGTTTAGGGTATGATTAAAAGTAATAATGACAGTGAAAATAGTCAGTATGATGACAATGGTAATTACAGTAACAAAAAATCAAACAACAATGGTAAGCGCATCCATAGCTGATAGGCGAAAAAAGAAGAAATAACTACAAACAAACAGGAGCACTGGTAATGATAGCAGTCGCAGGAGAAGGAATGCCTAAACCTAAGGGTCCGCGTACTCATATAGTATATACATTGGCCTTTATGTAGTCCTTACATAGGTACTTTGGGGCTCATGTATCTCTATATGGGTACATGGACCCTAAAAGTAATCGATCTCGGCATCCACATCCCGCGGCGTATGCTTTCACAGCAGGTCCTGAAGCCCTCTAAGCCGATCCTGAAGCCTTCCGAGCACCCCAAATCCTGAACCTTGAACCTATACCTCCCTGAGAATCATAATAAAAATCATATGTTTAATATTCTCTTGGGTTTTATGTGAACAAAAATTAAAAAATAGTTCCTAAGGGGACTATAGGAACCTAAACTTTTGTAAATGCGATTTCTCAATCCCTACCAGGGTCTTAAGACACCTGTGTTTCTAGGGTTCCTTATAGTTTGTCTTGCATATACGAATCCTCTGAGGGGGTGGCTTTTGGGGGGCAAAGGTTAAACCGTAGACCCTGCAAGCCTAGATCTTAGGGATTCAAGGCCCTAAACCCCAAAACCATATAGCTCTCTTAGGGCCTTAGTTGGGCCTAACAACCCGGAACCCCAACGCCTATCACTCTAAACCCCCCAAGAACCCAACCCCTACAACGCTTGACTTTTCAACCCACGGCCCTCATGTCAAGGCCCTAAACCCTAAACGCTAGAACCCTAAACCCTAGAACCCTGAACCCTACAACCTAAACCCTAAACCCTAGAACCCAAACCCTAGAACCTGAACCCTAAACCCTCATGTCAAGACCTCCGTAGAGCACCAGCAGCTCGAGAATGTCGTCCGGCGGCTTCTCCGGTAGGCCCTGCAGTTTAGGGTTGAGGGTTTGGGGTTCTAGGGTTTGAGGGTTCTAGGGTTTAGGGTTCTAGAGTTTTAGGGTTTAGGGTTCTAGGGTTTAGGGTTTTAGGGTTTAGGGTTTTAGGGTTTAAGGTTCTAGGGTTTTAGGGTTCAGGGTTTAGGTCTCCCTTCCAGAGGCTTGGAGAAGCTTTCAGCTCCCTGAGCCCTTCATATAGGTGGAACAAACTGTCCCGGGTTTGGGGCTGAGGGCTTGTATAGTGTCCATCGCTTGGGGTTTGGGCTTTAGGCCTTGTGGTTCTCCAACAACCGCGGATCTTTCAAACTTGTCGAAGAGTACTCCACAGAGCATTAGGAAACAAAAGGGGTTTGAGGCTGGAGGCTTGCGGCTAAATGCTTACAGGCTTTATGCCGTGGTTAAGGACTTACTGGAAGGACACCTGGGTTTATAATGTAAACACATCTACAAGGATGGCGATTTGCAAAATCCTTGTCGATCCTTCTTAGAAATCTGCACTTCTGTTAAGCGTGTAGGGCCAGTTCAAGACCCATAGAAGAGAAAGCCTGGCCATATGGCTTACAAACTGCAGGAGCAGTTCCTCCCTACGGAATGATGGGGTTTCTGGGGCGTACAGGCGGGCGCAAATTGGCAATGATAGCAGATTTACTATTCCACCCACAACAGCCTTGATAGCAGCACTGGCAATTTCAAAACTCAACAGCGCAGTTGCCGTTGAATACGTGATTATAACAAACATGCAGGGTTTGGGATCGGAGGAATAAATGCTGCGGGACACGGGGTTCGGCAGTGTCGGAGCTTTGGGGTGTTGAAGGGGTCGGGGTGCTTCGGTTGAGGTCAACCGTGACGTAGACCAATCCAGTATCCTTTATGAACTTAAAAGCTCCCAACTCCAAAAAAGACAAAACCTTTTGAAACTTCACACCTATAGGCCCCAAAGTAGTTCCTTTTTGGGATTACTATATAGGATTCTATATATGAACCCCAAAAAGGAACTACTTTGGGGCCTCGGGGCAAGCCGTCTTAGCCCCAAAGTCTGCCTGGGTGATCAGCGTGGTGAACGTGTTGAAAAGCGTGTCTGGCCAGAGATGATTTGCCTCCCTCAGCGGAGGGAATCCGTGGGCTGCGGACAGCGGGGGCGTGATTTAAGGGTTGCAGGGTTTAGGGCTTGGGGTATAGGGCCAAGGGCATGGGATGTGGGGTTTAGGGTTTAGGGCCAGGGTTTAGGGTTTTGGGTTTGCCACCCTGAATAACTTACCTTCTGAAGGACCTATAAGAGGAAATCAGAATAAGGAGCCCAACCCAGGTAGGTTCTTTTGGGTCCATGTGCGCTCTAGGGTATGGGGTTGAGTGGTGCTTGGGGTTGAAGGTTTGGGTTTGGAATTGAGGGTTCAGGGTTTAGTGCTTCGGATGTCAAGTGTGAACAATTAGAATGAGGGCTTTGGGGTTTCCTGCTACAGCAAAAACAGTGAGAACCCTAGCGTGTAGGGTTTACGGACACTTAGAAATCCCTAGGGAGAGGCATTACTAATTACTCTGGCTTCTATAGCGTATGTCCCTTTCAGTGGGAGTTTCCGAAAACAGGGGACCCTAAATAATATGGTACCCTAAATAGTAGGATCCTTATTATAAGGACCCGCAAACTAAGGTAACCCCCATTTTCGGAAACTCCCAAGTAGGGCTTAAGGCAGTGTTTCAGGCTCAACCTGAATTTCGGATCAACCTGCGGCCCTACGCCTACAGTCCAAAACGCTCGGCCTACTTCAGACGACCTTTTCGCAGTGTTAGGTGGGGTCCGAATTTGAAGGCAGCCGACAACACAAATTGCTTCTGGTAGTTTTGACGAACCTAAACCCTAAAACCCCAAAAACTAAACCCTAAAACCTGTAAACCCTAAAGCCTAAAACCCTGAACCGTAAAACCCTAAACCCTTGACGGGTCGATGCGCCGGAGGAGGTCCTCGCCCCGGATCATGCGGAAGAACTCCTGCGGCATCGTCAATATTCGCTATCGTCGAGTGCATGGCAAGCTCATACGTACGGCGGTCGCGACGTGCGTTCGGCCTTCGCCGCGGCGCAGTGCGCCAGGGCACCGTGGCGCCGCTGCAACTCGGCACGTATGCAGATTAGCTCCCTCCTATCACATGTCGCTATACAGATGCAAGTCGCTTGTCCGGATGACGGTTTACCGACCAAGCCCCGGGCCTGGGCGAGGATCTCCTGTGGGCTCTGCCTGTCGTTGGCCATGGCGCAGGCGTCGGCGATGACCTCAGAATGCAAGCTGTGCGAGGGCGAAGACTGGGCTTGTCTGGACCCCGACCAGTTGGACGTAGGACATGGTGTCGCCTCGGCCGACGAGGATTCACGCCGCGTTGTAAGACCCGAATCGCGTGTCGAGTCCCAGACTTGGGGAAGGGCAAAGCGAGTTCGCGAAAGGAACGAGTTGCAGCTGCCGGACTGCGAGCCGACATGTTAACCGGACGAAGGTCGACGCTAGCGTGAAAGCGGATGAGCCACCGTCGAGGGCATGCGACATGCAGAGGATATCCACACAGGAGGCTCCCTAGGCTGATTTGCTCACTTCCGAAGTCTTCAATTTCTGTTCCTCACAACCGCGACGGGGTGAAGCCCGGTCCTAGTCGGCGGTTGTGAAACACATGAACTACACACGTCTTCTGGTAGAAGAGAAGTGGTATAGGAGGTGCTGGTCCTGACGCCATAGGCAACAAAGAACAAGAAGTCTGTCTGTTGCGTGCAAGACATGCACGCTCCTTGCCAACTCGAAGGCGACCGATTACGCAGAAGCACTCCGCGGGCCACGCCAACCAGGTAGTGTTGGACCACGCAACCTGCACGCTCGAATTGGTTGCTCGGGAGAGCTTCATACTTCAGATCCACAGCGTCGAGTTTGCCCTGCCTTCAGGTCGTCTACCGTGGCTCTCTCCTGCAACAGCAGCACGACTGGTGGTCCGAACTCGCTGTGGACCACCACACTGAACCCACCTTAGCGGATGTATCTCGTCAGGCACGGTCGGAGGGGGATGGAGAAAGGGGCTTGTCTCGCTGAGCCAAGAAGCCTTGCACCATGGAACGCATGGCTGCTGCGCCCAGGGGTCGAGCCTGGGCCGATGAGGATTCGCACTGAAATGCAGCGACTTGCGTATCTCAGTCGCAAACTTGGAAGGGGTCGAGGAAGTTCACGCAAAGGACGAACCGCAATGCCGGACTTGGAGCCAACAGCCTACAAGACCGGAAATGCAGGCGGACTCCCACTGCATGCCAGTGCAGGATGATAGCACTCATAGCTATGCGTATACTGCAGATGCGCGTGCAGGTTTATTCATCATGATAACAACCGAGGTCAGCAGATCATCATAGAGCAAGGATCGGCACTGTGGAGGCATTTATTGTCTTGAACGCCGTCGAGATCGCTTCGGCAGCTCGGGACGGCACCTTACATCGAGAATTCATGAAAACTCTTTCTGTACCCGGAAACATGTACAGCCTAGCAGTGCGAGTCCATGCCGTTGCGTGCATCCCTCCCTCTTGAGCCGCTCTGAGGCCCTGACATCCGCAAGACTTCAGCCGCCTCCGAGAGCCGTTCTCTCCGCGGCGGTAGACCTTGGATTCCGGCAAGGACACTGCCAAAGCGTCGTTACACCAGTGTCCGTACGAGGCACGCTGTGAAAGATATGATGGTGCCTTGCGTCGGAGCCGTTGCCTCGGAAACCGGGGAGACTCGACGACAAGCCCTCTGACGACCGCGACAACACGCTGGAGCAAGAGAAACGTGAGGACATGATTAGTGAAGCCTAGGAGCCGTTACCGCGATCCAGAGCGTTCCTGTGTTGTCCTGAGATGCGCGTCTGGCAGCGAAGCGGCGAAGCGTCGTCGGAGCGACGGGACGACGCGGGTACAATGACAAGACTGCATGCTCAACTGACAAACGCCAGGATTCAGCAACGCTTGCGGGAAGCTGTGCCGCGTGAAGTTGCTGTAGTGGCTGTTGCGGCAGGACCGTGGCCGTGGAATGAATCATGCCCGGCAAACTCGCCATGGCCTCACCGAGTCAGTTGAGTCGGTATCGATTCGATCTGAACGCAACACTCGAAGTTGGAGACCGAGTGGGAGGCCGTGAGGTCGGCCACCCAGGCAGGAAGAAAATGGGGCCAGGTCTAGTGTCTCTCAGAAAGTAGAAAGGCTTCCTACGCGAGCTTCATGCCTCATAGCAGTGTCATATACGCTCGTGTAGTTCGATGTTGTCGTTCTGCGTTCGTGCTTTCCGAGTGTGAGGCGATTCGTGCTGGTCTAAGGTCTGATGATTAACATGAGATCTGACGAGCCACGCAACAGCCCGAGAATCTTTCCGTGGCACTGCGACGTCATCGACATGACGGCCAGAAAGGTACACACAGTTTGTCTAGAATATCAAAAAACCGGACTCGGCACTGCATAACGGAGACGCATGTTATGTGGCGCCACGCCGCGGATGTCTCGTCGCGACCTCACTCCTCCGCCGCTAGGCATGCCCCGCATCCGCAGCGACTTCCTCCGGTTCGTCTTCGACGTCCCCTGCCTCCGACACCATCATTCTTCCCCCGCTCACTCACTTACATCCGAAAGAGTTTCTGGCTTCGTGTAGTTGTCTAGGCTGTTCAGTAACTCACTGGGAACTAGTATATTAATATTTTTTTAGGGTTGTTATTGATATTTTCTAATTATACAACCCCCAGGGTCTAAGTACCCAATAATCATATACTCTCCAAAACCCTAACCTACATAACGACTATCCTAAAACCGAGTACCTAATTGTTGGGTCCTTTGGACCCTTGGGGTTACATCCGATAATATTTCGGGTTCGTGTAGTTGTTCTTGTTCTGGGACAAGGTATCGTAGTGGTCTAGGAACAAAGCACCTAAAGGCAGTCCTGAGTAGGGGTTATGCCAGAAACGACGGTAGCCATCATGATCAATAAGATGTCGCAGTGTCGGTCTAGCTTACTTGGAGGGTCGGGGGACTTAGTAAGTAGGTAGTCAGTAGACTTATAAGTATCCTAGAGGGGACCCTAATTGGGTTATGGTACTTATAAGTCCCTAAAATAACCAGTTACTAAGTCCCCCGACCCTCCAAGTAGGGCAGTGCTATACTCTGCCGGTCGGACAGCACTAACCGCCTCACAGCGTCTAATTCGGCAATGTTGAGAGGCGAGATGAGATGTTTGGGCTTTATTCCAGAACCTAGACGGAGGCATTTTACTAGCCCTTACCAGCAAGTACATAGGCTGCAACAAAGCCTGCACTAGAGTGGAATTGAGGTTCTGAACCCTGAAACCCAAAAACCCGCGTGTAACCCAGGATGCCCTCGCTGCTGCCCATCTGCACTTGCACGGCGTACATGGCATGGGTCAGCGCGCAGAACCCCACCAGCGTGAAGGTCATGGCCTCGTCTCTAGACACTTAAGACCCATCCTAACCCCGACCCTGCTGACAAACCTACCCTGTGGTGATAGACTTGGGTTTGGGGTTGGGGTGTATAGGGTTGTGACCCCATAAAACCCCACGGAAGCCAATAATTAAGGAGCTGATTGGCTTCAGAGGTTCCCCATACGGGTCCATGCACCTAGTAATCCTCTACTCTCCAAAAACTGCTCGCCTACAAGGTGTCCACCCGAGACTATCCTAAGCCCAGGTACCCAATCATTGAGTACGATGGACCCTCGGGACATCTGCAGCCCCGCAATTATCTTCGAAATCCTGTGGTTCAGTTTAATAGCGCATGCAAACGAGCTCCTGTGCATCGACGTAAATACGTAAAGCAGTATGACAGGGGTTTGGTGCTCTTTTTCATGCAACTCAGTGTAGCTGGTCTGCCAAGGAATGCGATGAATTGCTAACCCAGAGGGTCCAAGTACCCAAATAGTAGGGTTTTAGATCCCAAAATCCATACCCTGAATGGTTTTTGGACCTTGAACCCTACTATTTGGGTACTTGGACCCTTAGGGTAAGTCTTCTGGCCACATTCCGGGTGGAAGAGTCAAGTCTGCAAGCTAGAAGCACAGACCCAAACTTTAAACACTAAACCCCAGATACCCAGAGAGCCCAATACCCCTTAAACTTAAATCAAAATATTAAGGCCTCGATAATTTAAGGTATATTCTTTAATTAAGGGGTATTTGGATCTCTGGGTACCACACCTTCATGCTGGAGCCCTTAACTAAAATCTTCCACTTTTGCCTTACCCAGCAAAACTCGCACCCTGAACCCAAAACAAAATCCCCAGACCCGTCAAGGGCAAGACTCAAATCCCTAAAAAGAAACCCTTTGGCCTGTAGAGTCAGAAAACCCTCTTCGTAACCCTGAAAGAAACCCTTAAACCCTGAAGTACCCTAAACCCTAAACCCTAAACCACTCTGCCAAGGGACCGGGAGGAGCCCAGTGGCAAGCTTCTGCAATGGAAGCAGGGCGTGCCCGATCTTCTCCGAGTATGTCACGCCCTGCCAGTGCTGCGTTAGGGGTCGGATCTGAGGTTTAGGATTTCCTAAACCCTAAAGGGAACTCCAGAAAGTTGGAATATGGTTTCATGGTAGGATACCTTATAATCTACCATAGAAGGGTTAGGATAATCATATTCCAACTTTCTGGCTTTTACTTTAAACCCTAATCTGACTTAGTGCTAGAAGCTAAGGCTAAGAACAAGAACTTACCCGGAGGCTCCATATATACACCATTATGGGAGTAGGTCCCAGAAGACCATGCAAAATTATGGTTTTCGGGGCCTAATTCCATAATGGCAATACATGTGGAGCCTCTGGATTAGGGTTCAAAAAACTGAGGGGTAGTGTTGCGTAGAATGTCCTAGGATGCCCAGTAACCTAGGAAAAAAAGGGCTCCCTTTTTGGTATTGGGTAACTTTATAAGGAACCTGGGACTACAGCAGGGAAAGAGGGCCGGCCCGCTGGGAGGCCTAGACGTAAGGTCGAAGGTCCCGGATCATACCTGCTAATTAAGGGCCATCGTGCACCTCTGCTCTTACGAGTCATGTACCCAAAACCCTAGACCCTAGACCCTTATAGACCCTTACCTAAACCAAAACACCGTCATGTTCAAGATCAAGGATTCGCGCATTTTTCGGAATTCGGGACCTAAGGCCTATAGACAATACCTACAGTCTCAATCGCAGTTACTTTATGGGCTACCTATACAATTAAGGATGCAACGCTTGCAATGTGCTAAACCTCATTAAAGGGTTTAGGGTTTACCTTGGGAACTTGAAGTCAAACTTGAGTGGCCTCCAGCAGACGCATCCAGTAGATGAGCACCTACGCAAGCGTGCCGCGTGGTATCCCACTGGATCCAAGTACCCAATGTTGAGGTGTTCCTTAACCCGGGATAACCTACCGTCTTAAGGACGTATAATATAAGGTAACCATAACAAGGAGCTCCTAGAAGGTAAGTTCTTGGGTCATCAGAAATGTCTAATCGCTCCATTTCCTAGGAGAACTAAAGGCTATCCTCCGGGGTGATGTAGGGGCCATGAAAAAACCCTACTCGACTGCTAGCAGCGGTAGACATTCGTTGAAGGCACAAGCCTCTCAGAGCCAGGCAACTTTAAAATAGTATGCCATAAAGGCCACCGGGACTCAAGGACTCATATTTGAGGTCTAGGGTGTATTTGGGTGGTTGTCAAAATTGTGGCCCCTTTTTGGGTATCCTAAATGATAGGTGCCGTACTATAATAAGGATCCAAAAAGGGACCCTAGTTTTGACAACCACCCATTTGGATTAGGGTTTCTTGAACAACAGGCATTCCGGGGCCCGAAATTGCCTATGAAGGGTATTTGGGCTTTGGTGTCCAGGGCTTGGGAACCCGAGTTGTGAATTTGGAGGTTTATGCTAGGATCCTGAGAAGTTTACAGCTTTGAGGTTAGATGCTTAGACCCGTTCCTCAGAAACTGCCCGAACTACTAGACATCCCTCAACCAGAGATCCACTCATCACTAAGGCTTAGAGCTCTCTGAGTGGTGTTTAGGGGAGTAATAGTACTACACTAGTTCTGGTGATTACATTTTGTACAAGAAAAGGCACTGTAAAGATTCTAGGAGGGTCGTGGCTTGTACTCGACGATACCATTTACCCCTAAAGATCAAGCCCTGCCTGCCCTCCTTGGACACTACTTGTCACAAATCTAACTTCGAGTTTTGCAACCCCAAACAAATCTGGTCTCATTTGTGTTTTACTTATCATTCTTGCTTGCGAAACCCTCAAGCAAGATTTCTCTCATCTTCAAGACAAACCCTATACCCACAAACGGCACTAAACAGAAGATGCCTCTGTCCACCGTAGCCGCTCGGATATTGAAAATCCGACTGGCAGCTTCGCTGCGGCCATCTGAAGTGCCCGGGCCATGAGGACAATGGGTTTCCTGAATCGGGTCGAGATGAACCCGGTCCGAGCTGCTGGCTTCGGGATGTGCACGGCCTTTCCTTGGCTGTAGCCTTGGCCTTATTAGCCCTCTCGAAGTCTGCGAACAGCTCCTTTTCTGAGCCAGCTTTGATCCAAAGTGGCACCTGGTCCGCAAAGAGCACAGCCAGGTTCTGTCGCTCCGAGATGAACTGCTCCGATTCTGTCGTAGTGTTTCGCACAGATGGCGGGTTAAATCGCACCACGGCCACGTGGCACTTGCATCAACCAGCTGTAAACACTTGTACATGCACAGCTTCGCTATTTGCCTAATGCTTGTTCTAGTTCAATTATTTAAAGTTGTTGAATTCCTTCTGCCTGTCATGTTGGTCTATGGACTTATTTCGTGGTATGTTGCACAAGACTCACGGAAGCCAATTACCGACTTCATTCCGCTTTCTAAGTACGACAAATCGGCTTGGCATGTTCGAGGCATGTTCATCAGCGTGTAGTTTGGTGCGTGCCCTGTGCCCCTCCTAGACAACAGTGACGGCCCCTCTACAGTGACATAGGGGCCGTAACACACACATACACACAGATCTACCTACTTACCTACCTACCTACCTACCTACATAAAGACATACATACACCTATATGTATATGCGTGTATATGTACATACATATATGTAAGTTAGAAGAAGGTTTAAGGGTAGATGGTGCTGGCCTGATATTGGGACGATACATGAATAGTCTTACATATGATTCCGACCGTAGCGCTCTTATCGGTCCTATCGCGAGCCCGTCGCCAAGGCACGATTAGCAGGTGTAGCAGCCGGCTGTCATGGAAGAAGAGGAGCCTGACACATGCCAGGACACAGGCTTTGGTATACTATGCTTGCATTAGGAGCCGTATAAGAAATAGCATTAATATACATATTGGGAGTCTGGGAGCCCATATATCAGTCAAAGGCATAGATGCGCCACCGCACATCCGAATTCCGAATACTACGGTTGATGATATAAATCCAGCATTACCCATAATAAGGAATATACCATAATTCCCATACTTTAGGGTCCTTAAGTAATGCAGGATTTATATCATCAACCGTAAGTTCCCTCTTTTCTGCATATTTGAAGCCCTACACCTTAATCACAACAAGGCGGGCGGGGCTTCTAGTGAGACCCAGACCTTCCAAAATCCCTTAATTAAGGAATATACCTTAAATCATATTAAGGATCCTATTATAATTTAAGGTATATTCCTTAATTAAAGGATTTTGGAAGGTCTGGGGAGAAGCAGCTGTTAGGGCCGGGTTTTCACGTCTGAGATTTGGGGAAGCTTGGAAGCAGGGGTTTGGGATGTCTAAAGCCCCTGAACATCAGCCCCCTAAACCCTAAACCCTAAACCCTAAAGACTTAAAGCCGAAACGATAAATCCTAGGATGGATGGGCGGCACTAAGATTCCGCCTCATCTCCTGGACCAAGTCGGTATCAGGTCTCTGAAACACCAGAGATCGCGTGTCGGGCTCGAGGTTCTGCACATTACCCAGAGGGTCCATATGTACTACTATTATGACTGTTATGGAGTTAGGTCCCCAAAACCATAATTTATAGGGATGGCCTTTTTGGATCTAATACCATAAGGTTCTGCAGATTAGAGCCTCGTACGCAGATGTTATGTTACGCGAAGGGTCCATGTACTCATGTAGTATATACATTGGCCTTAATGTAGTCCCTATATAGGTACTAAGTACTTCGGGGCTCATGTATTTCTATATGGGAACATGGACCCTTAGGGTTAAGGCTCTAGAAGGGTTTTACCGGCTCCTGTGTTCAGGATGTTACCTCACATCAAAGAACTTGGAGGTTCATGGGGAGTTATAAGTGGGGTTATAACTAATGTAGCTATAGTTATAACCCATATTAGGGGACTTATAACTCCACTTCTAACTACCCATGAACCTCCAAGAAGGGGTACTTGAGAGGACTTGAAGCAAAATTTACATGCGGGCAGGGGTAGAGCTATGTCACCGTACTTGATATGTGACTGCGGCTCAGGACAGGCCAGGAGTATGTACACTCGCTTCCCAGCAATTCGACAACCTTGCACCGGCTACGGCCATCCAGACAAGCCGAGTTTCGACACGCAGCGAATCTACTCCGACGCATCCATTCCAAATTCTGACTAGACCCTTATCCCTGCTCCATTTCGATTCATTCAACGAAACCATCAAGGAGTCCCAGAGACCTTGAGACAGCTCAGCAAAGCCCCGTATGCCAAAACGGGGATGAACTACACATGAACTTGAACCCCCAAAACGTGCCAGCTGCTCATGATCGGAACGATGCTGCGCGAAAGGTCCCAGACGTTCCCTGCAGCTGGGAGGATATTCCTCAATTAATAGGGGCCCTTCTATAATTTAAGGAATATTCCTTAATGAAGGGGTTTTGGAGGCTCTGGGGCCCGACGATCCCAGCATCTTCTAACACCAAGAGGTATGCCTTGACCCCAGGCGCGAAAGAGAAGCAAACTGCATTAAACCTTGGAAGGGGCCCCCACCCTGTAATAGTAGGATAATAGGAAGTCATATTAAGGAGCCCAAAAGAGGTAGGTTTCTTAGGGTCCTGGTCTATGTTATATCTTAGAAGGGGCTCTCACCCTGTAATAGTGGGTATAATAGGAATATAATAGGGCCCTATATAATCCTTATAGTCAATATTACAGGGTGGGGCCAGCTTCTAAATTAAACCCTAAACCCTGAACCCTAACCTCACTGTTGGACTACAAAGTGCCGACCGATTTAGGGCTTCAGCGTGGATATATAGGGTTAACAACTTAAGCCTACCACGCATTGACTTCACCAGTAAGCGGGCATACGGCTTCGGGTTACGTCTCAACTCAATCAACATGCAGGCATGAGCCACCCCTAAACGTCCATGTACTCATATAGTATATACATTGGCCTTAATGTAGTCCCTATATAGGTACTTTGGGGCTCATGTATCTCTATATGGGTACACGGACCCTTAGGGTAATCGAGCCTTCGACTGATCGTTTTTCGAACCATCCCACCAGGGCTTGGGGATGTGCCGGGTTTAGGGTTTAGGGGTAAAAAACGCCTTCCGCCTTGAAAGCCTTGGATCCCCTGCCCACGCCCAGGCAGCGAAAGGCTGCCCGGCCTAGGTCCCGAAATCCTAAAGTCCCCAAAGCCCGCAGCCCCGAACACTAAGCCCCAAACCCTAAACCTTGAACCCCGAACCCCAAGAACCCTAACCGCTACTGCTACACCCAAAGCCGGAAGCCCCGAACCCCAAGGCTTCAACCTTATCCGTGAACCTCACAACCCCAAGAAGCCTCACCCAAAGCCCCAATCCCCCGAAACCCTATAGTAGAAGCCAGAAAGTTGGAACATCAGACTCCTCATGCCCTTAAGGTAAAGTATAAGGGATTCTAGCACAAATCCTCCTAAAGCCATGTTCCAACTTTCTGGCTTCTACTATAAGCCCAAAGCCCCTGCCTAGGTTCAGGTAGCTGCTAACCTCGCCGATCATGAGGCAGCCAGAAAACTGGGCCACTTCCAGCAGCAGATCGACCATGCCTTTTCAGGGTGCTTAGGGTTTAGGGTTATAAGGGTTCCTTTAAGGGTCCCTTTACAGGGATCTATAGGGATTCTATAAGGGTAAAGGGTTTACGGTCTACTTGGAGGTTCATGGGCAGTTATAAGTGGGGATATATGTAAGGTAACTATAGTTATAACCCATATTAGGGGACGTACAGCTCCATTTACAACTACCCATGAACCTCCAAGTAGGGTTCAGGGTGTGGGGATTCATGGCAAGGGGCGCATGTCCCCTGCCTTGAAGGGTCCCAATATTTTTTGTTGATGGGTTTTGGTACCCAAATAAGCCTAAAACGAGAGAGTTATTTTGGGTTTAAGGTTGATCTGCTTTCTGCATTTTAAAAGGTACAGGCAATCCTCGTTTCTGGGTTTGGGCACCCCAAACAAGCCCTAAGTCCTACAACGAGAGAGTTTTGGATCCAAGGTTGACGGTGTAGGGTTAGGATCGGCGGTGCCTCACCACAAAACCCAACTTATCCAGGCTTAGAGGCTTCCAAGGGGAAGGCTCTATAAGGGTGGGCGGGTTGGAGTGGCAGGATCGCGCGAGAGTCCAACATACCTAATAGTTAGTTAGACAAGTAAGGTTTTGATATGACATGATATTTCATAGGTCTAATACCAGATACTGCACTGAAGTATGATAAAGCAGAAGCACAACATGACTGACATCCTGGGAAAGTCTGCGCGCCCCAGCAGTAACATGAGCTTATGCACGTATACCGGCTACGCACTCCACAGACAACTCAAACACATCCCGCACGAACAAAGTGCTGGGGCTATCCCGTCCTGCCTTTGGCAATGATCCAGTCGGCGACCACCCCGTTTCGATCACTCCGTGCCACGAAGCTGGGCTGGAAGACACCTCACACGTCTTAGATTCCTACAACTACCCAAAGAAACTCTAAAGCCCAAAGCCCTAGCCCTTAAACCTCAAAGAACAAAGCCCTAGCCCCTAAACCCTAAAGCCCGAATACTAGTCCCTAAGCCCTAAAGCCCAAAGCCCTTAGGCCCTAGCCCCTAAAGCCCAAACCCTAGGCCCAAACCCTAAAGCCGACAACCCTAGTCCCTAAACCCTAAAGCCCAAGCCAAACCCTAGGCCCTAAATGACCGAAAAGTTCCACACCATTGGTCCAGATGCCCGGAAAATCATGGGACTTTTTTCGGTCAACGAGGTTGACCGAAAATGTCCCACAACATTGAATCCGAATGACCGAAAAAAGTCCCATAACATTGGTGGCCAAATGGTGTGGAATTTTTCCGGTCAACGAGGTTGACCGAACATGTCCCGACACAAGTCCCAAAATAGTGGTCCGGATGACCGAAAGAGTCCCAGAACAATGGTCCGAGATGAACGAACAGGTCCCATATATAGGGCTTCAATCACATAGGAGAGAGGGTTTCTGGTTTGGCTTGGGGTGTGGGCTTTGTGCTTCAGGGCTTACGGTATGGGCTGTGGCTGTGGGCTGATCGGGTTTAGGCTTGGGGCTCATGGGCCTCACCGGGCGCAACCAAATTCAATGGAAAAGGAATAAGCACTACAAATCCCCAACAATGCGAAGGCTCGGTCAATTAGCAATACCGTCCAGGCGCCGATACTAAACCCTCTAAATCCATCTATAGCATGTAAAACCCTGCACTCTAAACCCCCAAACACCACACCCCAAAATCCCTAAAACCCTAAACCCGAACCCCCTAAACCCCCCAACGCGAAGTCACCTTCATTCATCTGCCAGTCCAGGTAATGCATCTCCCTGCCAACTGCTGCCTGCCCCGCGGAGGATTTAAGGTTCTGGGTTTAGGGTTTTGGGGTGTACCTGGACCCTGAAGAACCTACCTTTTTAGGGTTCCCTAATATGATTTCTTTATCTAAGTCCTTAAAAAGGTAGGTTATTTGGGGTTTTTGGGGTTAGGGTTTAAAACATTTAGGGTTCTGGAAAACCGGTTGTTCTTTATGAGGGTTATTGGATTGTTGGGTTTGGGGCTTTTACGGTAGCCTACGTACTGTCTCGCTAAGTTGCTATCAAAAAATGGATGGCTCAGATTACAAGGCATTCTATAACCTGCTAGTAAGTCCCGTGCTCCACGAAGTAAACGCTAAACCCTGAAAGCCCCAAAGGCCGAAGGCCCTAAACCCCCAAAGCCCTACTCCCTAAACCCCACAAAACCTTACAGGAAACCCAAAACCCTAAATCCCCAAATCACCCTTCATACCTACAAACCATACACAAACCACACAAAATTCATATCCTAAAGCCCTAAGCCATGATAGAAAGCCCAAGCTCGCCAACATTATTACTAAACCCTACACCCTAAACCCCAAAATTGAATCCAAAAAAATCAAACCTCTAAACCCTAAAATCCCAATTCCCAAAATTAAAGCCACAAATCCCAACCTCTAAACCCTAAAACCCTAAACCCAAAAGCCCCAAACCTCTAAGCACCAAAATTATATCCAAAAATCCCAAACTCTCAACCCTAAAACCCTAAACCCCCAAAATTATAGCCAAAACTCACACACGCACACACAGACACCCTAAAACCCCAAACACCAGAATTAAGCCCAAAGATCCTAAGTTTCTATGAGCCGCCTCGTGCTTAAAGCAGGTCTCCAGGACCAGGAGCGTCAATCCCCAGAAGGAGATGAGGAACCTCAGCACAGGTTTAGGATTTAGGGTTTAGGATTTAGGGTTTAGGGTTTAGGGTTTCTACTTTTAAGGGCTCCTTTAAGGGATCCTTTGGATCTCTAAGGGGTCCTTTAAGGGCTCCTTTAAGGGGTCCTTTAAGGGATCCACAAGGGGTCCTTTAAAGGCTCCTTTAAGGGATCCTTTAAGGGGTCCTTTGAGATGAGGAACCTCAGCTCTTTTCAGGGTCTTAGGGGGCGTTTAGGGCTTTAGGTTCCTATAAGGGGTTCCTTAAAGGGGTCTATAGATCTTTGGGGTTAATATAGGGGCCTTAATGATCAGAATAGACTTTTGGGGCCCTTATAGTATAACTATAACAAGGAAGCCCCAAAATAGAATAGGAAGGAGACGAGGAACCTCTGCTCTTTTGAATAAGGGGCCTTAATGACTAAAATAGGGTTCCTTTCCAGGGGTCTGTAATTTCTACTGGATACTATAAGGGCTCTATGCTATAGGGGCCTTATACTTAGAATAGGGTTTGGTGGCATATTGTACAATCGTAAAGAGAAACCTCAGCTCTGTCTAGGGTCTTAGGGGGCTTTTAAGACTTTTGGAGGGTCTTACCCTAGGGATCAAAATAGCCCAAAAGCCTTATATAGTATGGTCTTTGGGCCCAAAAGCCTTAATATATGAGTCCTTAGATCCCTAGGGTTAGGATCTTAGGGGTTGTAGCGTTTAGGGTCTGGGATCTTAGAGTTTAGGGCTTCGGCTTTAGGGTTCCTTAAACTACTATTTGCTTAAGAGCCCCCAAAAAATAAAAAATATATTCCTTATGGGTGTTATATAGGGATTTTTATTTTTATTTTTTGGTGGTTTCTTAAGCAAATAGTAGTAAAGTGTTTGCGGGATTTAGGGCTTTGGGGCTGTTGGGGTTCAGGACGGGGAACCACAGCTCGTTTAGGGAGTGAGCCTTTTTAGGGTTTGCGGCGTTTGGGTTTCGGGGTTTAGAGTTTTTTTTTTTTTTGTCGCCCCTTTTCCTTACCGCCACAAGGTTGGTCCAGAAGGCCCGTTAGGCTGAGGCACTGGTGCCGGCTAGTTCCAAGGGGAGGGTTCAGGGTTTTGGGGTTTTGAGGACAAGGGTTTGGTTTTTCGGGATTATCGACTAGTTTAGCTCTTTTGGGATCGCTGGGCTTCAGGCTTCCTTAAAGGCTTCCTTGAAGGGATCTACTAGGGCGTAGGGCTTTAAGTTTTAGATTCTAGGGTGGTAGGTTTTTGGAGTTTTGGGTTTTAGGGTTCGGGATTTAAGATTTCAGGTTTTCAGGGTGTTGTTTTTGTTGGATTCGGAGGATGTGTTTCTCTTGTTTTAAGGCTTAAGGTAATTAGGGAGTCTGGCTTGTTTTTCGGAGTCTAGGGTTTGGGTTCGGGTCTTAGGCAGTTTGCCTGATATTTTGTAGGCTTCCACAGGATTCCCATGAGCCTCTAGCAAGTTTGCAGGGTTTGTCAGAAAGTATTACGAGCGCATTCGTTGACAAAGTCTTTCATAGGGTTGCATAATTTTGAACGTAAGTGGTACTGAAGTCTCCTTATAGAACGATTCTCATGTGTTAAGGCCCAGCGTGAAGGCTTCTTCGTGCTTGTAAGGCATGCACAACTGTGGACTAATAAGGTTTGCAAAGTTTGCTTACTCATGCCCTAAGCCCTAAACCTTTCCTGCTACGATATTGGACCCACAGGTAAACCCTAACCCCAGAACCTGTAGAAACACAGCACCCCAAAAAGCCTGAACAGCCAGCCCATGTAATATAGGAACCTGATTAAGAAACCCTGGGCCTATAACCCCAAAATAGTAGGATTCATATGAGGAACCCTAATAAAGACCCAGGGTTTCTTAATCAGGTTCCTACATTAGACCAGACACTGGAGTACGTCCACCCAGATTGCACCATTCCAGAAGGTGTAGGACACGGCCTTCCCAGAGAGCCCGATACCCCTCAATTCAGGAATGCACCTTGCATCTTGAGGGGCCTCATATCAATCCAAACCCTCAACCCCCACACCCATAAATCCTCATGCTATGATTCTAACACTTGCCCCTCAACTAAGGAATATCTTGTAATAGAGGTGCTTCTTACTACAATCTTAAAGCTAGATTTTCAAAATTACAGGGGTCTTGGGCTCTCTGGGCTCAGATTTGGCAAACTTCGCAAGGCTACCTAGGGCCTTTCTGGGGCTTCATGAGAAGCGGGTTTCTAATTATGGGGTAGATGGGAGTTTCCGAAAATGGGCGACCCTAAGTAATATAGAACCCTAGATAGTAGGATCCTTCTCATAAGGACCCCGAAATGAGGCACCCCTAAGTTTCGGAAACTCCCATATTATTGTGCCAATTTTGCTTAAGTGCTTTTTGGGGCTCGAATAATCGATTACCAGGCCTTTGAATTGCCTGTAGTAGTGGTGTCCTTGTAGCCCTGGGCAGCTGGGGTGATCTAGGCAGGGTGTTGGGCTAAACAACCGAGGCTCTCCACAGTAGCTCCTTTTTGGTGTTCATGTGTAGAATCCTACAATCAAAGGGGAAAAGGAGGGACCCTTAATGGGGACCCCTACCCTATAATGGGGCTATACAATGGGTATATAATAGCTATATTAAGGGTATATACCTAGGGGTCCTTATTAAGGGTCCCTCCTTTTCCCCTTTGATACAAGGTACTCCCAAAATGGAACTACTATGGAGCCTCTGGGTGTAACGGCCTTCTTAGCCTTAGAGTCGGGTTTTGAGGCATCGTACACTATAATCACTTGATAATAGAGCCTAGGCAGGTACATCATTTTAAGTGTGTTCCGACCCTCCGATGAGACCATAAAGTAGACCCGAGAGTAACCTAGGAATAAAAAGGGTGCCCTTTTTTGAGTTAAAGGGGGTTATAAAAGAACCGACACCTTAAAAAAGGGAATAAGGGCCTACTCCAGGTCCGAGTGGGACTATGAGGCTTATGCGTTGACCTCGTGGTCTCGTCGGGTCATACACTGCAGGCTTTCATGTATGGGTTGGAAATATACTGCTTAGGGTTTAAGATGGTTTAAGATTTAGGATGTTAGGGTTTAGGGTTCCGAGGTTAGGGTTCAGGGTTTGGGCTTTCGGTCGTAGGATTTCAAGTTCATCCATGCATCCAATGCAAACTGTCTCGAAGCAACCACGGACCAACTACGTTCACCACTGCGCCTCTGGTTCAGGGCTTAGGTTTCATATAGGACCTACACGCCTCACTGGCCTAAGTATATACTTTAAGCAGAAGAAACACAGGTTAGGGGGATGGATCGAGCAAACCCTGCCCTAAATCCTAACTCGCTGGGTGGACAAGGCACAGCACGCACTGCCACGGAGTCGTACAGGAAGAGCCTGGAGCATGTAGACTTGGTTCACTGGTAAGATCGGCCGCTGGAAGTGCAGTGATGCTTCTGGAGGGGGTATGCATAGTACAAATCTATAGCGACAAACTGGTGCATGTATGTACGCATCTATATATATATATATATATGTATATATATATATATATATATATGTATGTATATATATATATGTATGTATGCAAACCTCATAAACATTACCACAAATTGATAACATGATTACACTAAGTAGAATAGGGCTTGGGATATATTGTAGTGCAATCGTATAGGGCTATGAGGGGATCAGGCAATACAAGCATTGGAATTACCCTGCTGAATATAATTACAAAAAATGAAGAGCTTGGGACACAGGCGGTATACCAAAACCCTTTCTACCAACTCTACGAGAACTTGCGTAAGAACAAGACAATATGCAACAGACTCTGACGCCCTTAACCCAAAACACTAAACAATCAAAACCTTCAGGGCTGAAGAAAAGCTAAACCCTATTCACGCTACCTGCATACAGCCGAAGACACCTCGACAAACTCTAAACCCTAAACCCCACGCCCCCCCCCCCCCGCCCGCAAAAGAACAACAACAGCTCTAAACCCTGATCAAACCCTACACCACACCAAACAACAACAGAAGACAACTATAATTTAGAAGCTGCCCCCACCCTGTAATAGTGACTATAAGGATTATATTAGGGCCCTGCTATATCCCTATTATACCACTATTACAGGGTGGGGGCAGCTTCTAAACTATAATTTATAAGTTCTAAGGCCAGGGAGCGCCGGATCCTCGCCTCCCGTGCAAGACCTCGGCTGCTCAGAGTTTCCCGCAACCTACTGTAGGGGTACCTTTATAGGGGCTCCTTTAAGGGATCTATAGGGCTTAGTAGACTTATAAGTACCCTAAACGCGACTCTAATTGGGGTTATGGTACTTATAAGTCCCTAAATTGTCCAGTTACTACTGTTGATGGACGAAATCCTGCATGACCCTAAGGACTCTAAACTATGGGAACTATGGTATATTCCTTATAATGAGTAATGAAGGATTTTGTCCATCAACAGTACCACCCAAAGGCTCCATGTACCCTTAGAGTAGATGCTTAAGCCTTAAAACCAACGGTTTAGAGTTTAGGGTTTAGGGTTTAAGATGCTTAAGCCTAAAAGAAGTCCCTCTATAGGCACTTGAAGGCCTAAGTACCTACTATATGGGTACATGGAGCCTTAGGACCAGGGAATAAGAACCCACAAAAAAAAGGGGTTCCCCTTCGGCAATTCAGAGCCCCTAAACCTTAACCCTAAAGCCTGAGCCCCAAACCATGTACCCTGAACCCTAAACCCTGAAAGCCCTAAAAACCCTAAAAACCTTAAACCCTGAACCCTAAACCCTAAACCCCGAACCCTAAACTATCAACCCTGAACCCTAGACACCCTGAAAACCTTGAATTCTACACCCTGAACCCCCAACCCTAAACCCTGAACCCTGAACCTTAAAAACCTTGAAGCCTAAAAAAATTGAACCCTATACACCCTAAGCCTAAACCCTGAATCCTAAAGCCTGCGTTCAGAGTTTAGATTCGGTTCGAGGGGTTCTGGGGTTTCGCTCTGGGGTCTGGTGGTTTACTGCTTTAGGGTGTGGGGGGTGCGGGGTTTAAAGATTATGTTTCAGGGTTAGCCCTCTTTGGGTCTTAGGCTTTGAAGACAAACGCCGGCTGCAACCCAAGCTCACGAACATGATTAACAACAGCAGCAGCACCAGCAAGCATAGGATATGGCCATGAAGCAAGATGTGCTACTTGGTTCAGAAATCGACATGCTTAGCAATGACCACGACTCGGTGACAATGATAACGATAACAGGACTCGCTTATGAACTTGTATATATACGCAGACAGACACGAGCACATGTATCTGTGTAACTGTGTATATGTATATATACACATACATACATACATACATACATACATAGATACATACATACATACATATATTGTGTTCATCAATTCTTGGTCAACAGAACGGAAGTAGAATCTTCAGGTACAAAGTTCTGGGTGTCACAAGTTGTTTCAAGGGTTTCATGGTTTAGCACTTTAGGACTTAGAGCGCCAGGGTCCTTGGGTTTAAGGACGAGGGGACTCTAGTGTGTTAGGGTTAGGGACAAAGTTGGGGTTTTGGGCCTTGCAGGGTGTTAGGATGCTTTAGGGTTCTAGGGTTCGCAACCACTGGTCTGGACGAAGGGACACCAACGCCGCGAAAATGTTGGCCGAGACGATATTGGGAATGTAACACACCTGCTTTCTCTCTGGCTTAAGGCTGAAACTGTATAGGGGTTGGATGGAAGCCAGCTATAGAGGTCTGACTGCTTGGTTTTTGTGACCTACGTAGTCATACGGCTATACTACGCTGTAAGCCAAAACCCAAGTCGAACTAGGCACCTGGGTTGTCGGAAAATTCAGGGATCTGATTCGTGGTGCAAAGGCTGAAATTGAGGGTTTCAGAGCAACTGTGGGGCCACAAAATGGATCCATAGTAAAGAATAAGATGGTTCCGTATTATGGTCACTTAAATTAAACCCCCAACCTTAAAGGAACCCTCCCAGAGACTCCAATACCCCTTAATTAAGGAATATTCCTTAAATCATATTAGTCATCCTACTATAATTTAAGGTATATTCCTTAATTAAGGGGTATTGGAGTCTCTGGGCTTATAGATCCCTTAAAAGGAAGCGGTATAGGTCTGGGGTCGCTCCAGCAGGAGAAAGCAGAGAACTCTAAACAACATGCAGACGTCTGATTACCAAACCTCCTTTGCTTTAAGGGCCCTAGTGGTAGGATCCCTACTATTTAGGTCCCTGCAAAGGGAAGGTGGTTTGTCATCAAGGGAAGTGCAATACTGATAATAAAAACGGGTCTTGTGAACTGCTGTGGTCGACCATTGTAGTCACCACGCCACCAGCAGAATATCCAAACGGATCAGAGTGACTAGCTCAACTCCGACACAGTCGGAAATGTTCCATGCAGACGGTGCCATCTCGTATAAGTAGTGACCTAGCGGTTCTAGTTACTTGCAACCGTTGGGTCTAATTGTACTCCAAACATCCGAACAAGCCCAAGCAGCTCTAGCATCCTAAAACCCAAGAGACTTTACCTGTGGCTTAGAAGCTGCCCCCACCCTGTAATAGTGACTATAAGGATTATATATAGGATTATATTAGGGCCCTATTCTACTCCTATTATACCACTATTACAGGGTGGGGGCAGCTTCTAGCCTGTGGGAGTAATTCACAACGAAGTAGCAGGATATGTCGCCAGTGCAAGTGCAGCCCTAAACCCGGATGAAACCCCATAGGTGACAGATGCAGGCCCTGAATAATTGAAGGCGCACTACGCAACAACAACACTACTTGCCAAAGCCTACCTGTGGATCCAAAACCTTATTATGCAAGGGGTTCAACCCAACTGAAACATCGACCTGCTATACTTACTTCCCCAATAAGCCGCAGAAATGAAAGGTTAAACTTTCCGGCTCCTACTAAACCATAAGAACCTAAAACGTTTAAAGGTTGGGTATTGGGGGATCGAAGTTCGATCCCTTAAAGGAACCCTTATGGATCCCTTTAAAGGAACCCTGTTCGGGTATTGGGGATCTAAGTATAGGGGCTACAGGTGAGCCCTAGACCACCGCAAGAGACCCCCGGATCCGGCCTGGATGCTCGCATCGACGCGTGGTGGTTCCTGAGGGAATGATGGGAGGCCAAAAGGGGGTTTAAGATTCTTGGGGTAAGGATTCCTTAATATGAACCCTATTATGGGAACCCCAATCCCTACAAATCCCCTCATAGGCTAAAGCCCTTGTTGGCCCCCTATGAGGGAAGGTCAAAGGTGAAGTAGTCCGGGATTCGGCAAATTATCTATACCCCCTTAGAACCAGAATAAAAAATAATGTGTTTAACATTCTCTTGGGTTTTAGATTTTATATGAACAAATATAAAATGTATGGGGCTAAGGGTTCTCTAGAGAATTTAACTTTTCTGCCGGGGCCACAGGTTCTCTACAGAGTTTAAGCTGTATACAAAGCACTTGTTTTTTGTAGGGTTTGGGGCTACGGCTAGAATTAGGGTGTAGGCGAAGGGCTTTGGTTTCGATTTGGGGGGAGGACCTGAAATCCGATGCCTTTGCATCAGACTCCGACTACCTGGTGGACCTCCGACAGAGTGAGCCAAAGAATGCAACCCATGCACAGACCCGGACAAATGACCCTCACCCTGTAGCTTTTCAATCGAAACTATTGTGGAGATTATGCTTGCCCCCGCCAAAAATAGTGAAGCCTGAATCCTGAGTCCTCCAGATACTCTAGAATCCAAGAACATGGACAGCTTTGAAGCCTTAAGCACTCCACCCGAAGAGAATACGCTGCAAACCCTGAAACCCATAAACGTCAGGGGCTGAAGACCCTGCACCGCGAACACAGCTCTCGGATCCTCACGGGCCGGAAATCCCCAAGCCCCTATGAACTTATGAACCCTGAATCCTGGACCTAAACGCATGAAAGACGGGTCTGAACATCAGTGATTTACGGCAAAACCCAAGACCTGAATCCTGAAACTCAAAACCGAAACGTTCAGTCCCTTCGTTATGCCACGCAACACTCGTCGATGATGATGTTCGAAGTTGGGTATATACGGCCATTTACGGTGGTTTCGCTGTTCATGAAGTACAGAAAGCAGTCACTTCCCAGGTCTTGATTTGTTATCAAATATTAAAACACGGTGCGCGAGACGCTTTTCGAGATGTGGTGTAGCAGTTTAAACTGTGCTTGAAGGCTGACATGGCTTAGAGTCTTGGAGTAAGAATGCAAGGGTCGAGGGATGACTCGGACGCGCGGCAACATGAGGCAGAACAGTTGCGTCATCGTCAGAACCATCATCATCGTCAATATTGTGAGCATGACCAGCAAAACATGGACGTTGTCAGCCTGCCCTGCAGGCATGCATGCTGCGACACTGTAGCATGGACGTTCTCATCTTGCAGGCACGGACGATGCGATGCAAGCGAGCAATGACGCTGGACCCGAAAGGTTTTGGGGCTTAGGGCACAACCAGTCAAACCCTAAATTATAGGATCCTTAAGGGGGGGTGGTTCAAGGGGGGAGGGTACTAGGGAGCTTTGGGGAACCTTAGGGAAGCCCCCCTTAAGGACATCCTAACTAAACCCTAAAAACTCGGAAGCCCGAACTCCCACGGCCTACACTTTACGGAACTTGCCTTCAACCCTACAGTACCCAGAGGGTCCAGGGTTTAGGGTTTAGGGTTTAGGGGATCCCAAAATCCATACCCTGAACGGTTTTTGGACCTTGAAACCCTACTATTTGGGTACTTGGACCCTTAGGGGTACCTAGCGCCTTGAATGCCGCCCCACCCAAAACAAAAGCCAGCCAGGCTTCCACGTCTGTAACCTTCGTATACCCTAAACATACCCTGAACCCTGAAGCCTAATACTGAAGAATGAAGTTAACGAAACTGTTTATATAATAACTGTATGATTTCATTTTCTACACGGCTTTGACGTCTGTGATCTTTCGCATATACAGTTATGACTCTGAAACATGAGCTTTCTGAACATACAAATATGCCTTATATATAGTTTAGGGTTTGTGATGGTTTAGGGGTTGATGTTTTTTGTACATGGCCTTGACGTCTGTGATCTTCGTGTGCCAGGCTGGGGCTTCGTACGCTTGGTCGTCGAAGCCTGGCTTCAGAAGCCCTAAACCCCCAGCCGGTTGTTTAGGGTTTAGGGTTTAGGGTTTACCTTCACCCCAAATAACCTACCTTTTCAGGACTTAGATAAAGAAATCATATTAGGGACCCCCAAAAAGGTAGGTTCTTCAGGGTCCAGGCAGGGTTTAGAGTATAGGGTTTAAGCCCTGGCATGGTTTCAGAAGACTTGTAATCAAAAAGGCGCTTTAAGAAGGCCCTCAACCCTCAGCCCTGAACGACCGTAAAAGACTGTCGCATAGGGTCCCTGGAAAGAAGCACCTAAACACGAATCTGTTATCTCGAAATCCTCTCTCTACCCAAAACAAAAATGTGGGGTTTCATGAAAGTCTTCCGTGGGTATAGGCGGGGTCTTCACGGACCTCACAGTTGGTACACGCCGTAGTTTAGGGCTTCGGGTTTTAGGGATTTGAGTTTTAGGATTTAGGGGCTCAAGGTTTAGGGTTTTGCAGGGGAAACCGTCTGAGGGGCCTGGGGTTAACCTTTAACCAGACCCCGGGGAGGATCTAGAAAGTAGATCCCCTAAATTTGGGGCCCTATACTACTCAGGGTACTTTATTTCTGGAAACCCCCATGAAGGGATCTACTTTTTGGATCCTCCCGGGGTCTGGTTATGATGACCTGGACCTAAACCCGAAGCCCTAATCCCCATCTTTCAGGTTGTTCATACTGCTTGGAGGCTACGGGATGCAATATGGGGGGGGGGGGGCTTTCATGACTAGAATAAGTCTGCGGAACATGGTACTGTAATATTATACTGTATACTGTATGTTTGTCATAGGGACTGACAGGGGGGAGGTAATTATTTGCTAGTATATTTACAAAAGGGGGCATGAGGGGACACGAGCAACAATAGAACCTCCTAGAGGCGGTATCGGGCTTGGGGGTTTACCTTGGATTCTCGGCGGCTGTGTTACTAATTATAGAGCTACATGATTCCGACGTGTTGGTTGGAGGTTGCACACAGAATCACAAGGACAGGCTTGTATACCTTGGAGACGTCATGTTAGTTTGTCGTTGTCGCGGTGGTCACGTTGGCTTCAAGATTCGCTTTGGGGTGAAAGCTTGAAGGTAACTTTAAACCCTAAACCCTAAACGTATAAGTTGAGGTTCAGGTTTCGGCTTGAGGGTGTAGGGTGGAGAATAACACATATTCAACTCTGCCCCCCCTTCGCCTCTCACCCTTCAAGCCGAAACCCTTCCTGGGGCTCCGGTCGGTACGCAAGGAATCATTACGCTGTTGCTGACCCAAAGGCTCCATGTATCTTTGCAGTAGATACTTAGGCTTTAAAGGGGTCTCTATATAGGTACTTTATAAGGCCTAAGTATCTACTATAAAGATACATGGAGCCTTAGGGTGAGGAGGCAGCAGCATCAGCAGGACTAGCGCGAGTCGGAGTCGGTGCAGGAGCAGGGGCAGGAGGGGAAGCAGGCAGAGGAGTGGCGGAAGTGAGAGTAAGAGTGGGTGTAGAGTAAACTCCTTAAAGTTGGAAACCTGATTAAGGCCAAATAGTGCTGGAATTCCCCATACCTTACTCTTAAGGATTGAGGCTATTGGGTTTCCAACTTTTGGGCTTCTACTGTAGAAGCAATGCCCGAAAGCCTGAATCACAGAGCCACCGAGCTAGATCTAACCGAGTTCCCGGCTCCAACTATACTCGGTCTCATAGAAGCAAAGGAAACCTCAGGCCACCGTTCAATGCTTCAGGAGTTGGAGCCGTAGCCCCAAACCCTGTTCTGCTAAGGGTTTAGGGTTTAGGGCTTAGGGTTGAGGGTTTAGATTTAAGGTTCAAGGGTTTAAGGGTTTAAGAGGGTTTAGAATTTACCTTGACCCTGAATAACCTACCTCTTCAGGGCTCCTTTTTCTGATTTCCTTTTACAAGTCCTTAAAAGGGAAGCAAACTTTAAACACCAGAGAACTGGTGCTTGAATTGCTTTGGGACGGGAGTGCTGGGCCTTTGGAATTCTTGGTGCTACCTTCGACTTTTGCGGCTTGAACTTCGGGCACCTGCGCCCTGCCACCTCCATAGAGGCTCCAAAGGCTCTTTGAGTAAATGAAATAGGTCATAAATGTAGCCTGTTAAGATGCTTATACATTGGCTTTCGCTGGGTTTATTGCCCTTTTCCCCCCACGTCTTGCAGCTTGTGTACGAAGCCACTCTTTAAGAGAGTCCATATATACTACCATTATGGAATTAGGTCCCAAAAGGCCATCCCTGTTATGGTTTCGGGGACCTAATTCCATAATAGTAGTATATATGGTATATATGGAGCCTCTGGGTCCATGCTTCCAAAGCCCTAAACCCTAAACCTCAAACCTAAACCGTAAACCCCAAACCCTATAAGCCCCAATGCTACGGCCAAGCTGCAGCCGAAAGCCCCTCAACGGAACTTTACAAACAAAAACAACGTGCAACCCTAAACCCCAACACCAGCAGCCTGCCAGCACCCCCCAAAGCACCCTTTAATACAGCCCTTATAGTCCTCATTCGGGTATAGTTGGGGGCTGGGGGGGTGGGGGGGGTGGTAAATACCACCCTAAACCCCTGAACCCCAAATCCTTGTAGAACCCTTGTGGATCCCTTGAACAGAAACCGTCTCAATCCTGCAGCCTCGCTGGAGAAATCCTGGAGCTCAAGCTCTGAACCTTAAACCCTAATTAACTTAACCCTCAGGCCCCGAAATGCCCATACGGGTGATACTTACCCAAACCAGAACAGTAGTTCAAATTGGGAAGCCCTACTGTCTACTACCAGGGAACTTGCCAAGTAGGTACACGTAAGTTTGTGCTTCTGACTCTGCTCTGCTTAAAAACTGCTCACAAAGGCCCCTGATACTTTAAGTACGCCCAAAAATACAAATGCAAAACCCTGAAACCTCAGCTTTTTTGTGCTGAAGCAATGACTGCCTGAGGGTTCATGGTCAGTTGTAAGTGGAGCGACAGGTGCGGGAATTCAAGCCACACACAACCACAAGTCCCACCCGGGCACTCAAGAGAAATTGGCGTCCTAAAATTCGGACCCTAACACGCAGACATCGAAGCAATCCCCGAACACCCGAAACCTTACATGTTGTGAAACCGAGGCAAAACCACAAACCCGGCAGTCTTCTGTAAACACAGACAAAACTGTCGTTAAACACTCGTTAAACCCAAAACCCTAAAATCCGAAATCCTGGACCCTAACCCCTGTAGACCCTTCTAGAGGTAACACGTACAGTCGCCTTATAATTCCCGACTAACCCCGAATTATAGTAGCCTCAAACCAAGGCCTCGTCAAAACTCTTAACTTGCAATTGCCGGCCGGAGTGCGACGCGTCGGGAAGATGTTTTTCAGAAGCCGCCTAGCTGTGAATTCTGTGAATCTTTCGGGCTATAACTTTTGCAGACAGTAACACAGCTGTCCCTAAAAATGTTACTAATATATATTAATTATACAACCCCAAGGGTCCAAGAACCCAATAATCATATACTCTCCAAAATCCTAACCTACATAGCTACTATACTAAAACCGAGTACCCAAATATTGGGTCCTTTGGACCCTTGGTCAAACTATGAGTACTATCATTTATGTTGCATTTATGATGCTGGTGATGATGATGATGATGATTGTGATTTTGGTTTGGGAGATTCGGGTCCAGTTATGGGCATCGAGTTTCAGGCCAGCGTGTTGAACAATTAAGACTTGCCTTCCTTATATTGATCATGATAGCTTGACCAACTTCTTACGACAGGACCGCAATAGTAAGGTTAGGCACCTCAATAATTAGAGGCTTTTGTGTGAAGTTGTACTACAACTACACAGGACTACAGTATGAGGAGATGCTGTATAGTCCGGCTTGAGGAGCCTGCTTCCGAATAGGGCAGTACTGGCAATAGCCCTATGCCCTAAGACCCTTTACAAGTTGCCAGCCCTCAGCCCTGAAACTTTGAACACCTGCCACAGATCCCAACGTCGCAAGCCCTGCCTTATTCTGAACAATCCTAGGCCCTACATTATAGGGCCCTTAGTAGATTAAATCGCCAAATCAAAACGCTGCGATTTAGGGTTCGCAAGTGCAAATCGCTTCTTATTCGTTCTTTTCCAACGGTTGGGAACGCCAAACCCGCGATTGGGTTTTCAGTGCCAGATCGCTGCTTATGCTTCTTTGGACGAGAAATCGGTTCGATAATTTTTGCGAGCTTTGGAAAACTCATTCAGCCGGGTTGCGCCCTACGAAGTTGCCACTATTTGAGAAGTTCAAATTCAAGGTCGTTCTGGAAAAGCCTCAGACAGGGCGCGGCGGTGCTCGTGCAACCCCGGCCGGGAACGGAACGGAACGCGAACGGGAACGGAACGGAATAAAGAGTCTCAGAAAAGAAGGCCAGGCAAGTCGCAAGTTTACTGAGATCGCCTCAATGATTTTGGGCGGTTCCGGAAAATTCATTGGTGAGTGTTGGGATGCATGGTAATGGGCAAGAAACGCAATTTCTGCATTGGGTGCACAAATGATTCTTCAAGGCTCTGCAAAACTCATTGGGGTGCCAGGGGGGGGGGGGGGCGGGCGGGCGGGGGTTGGAGGTGGGGTCGCACATGAATTTTCCAGACTCTGTAAAGATAATTGGCGGGGCGAGGCTTTCGAGTGGGGTTTCGGGAAAGCGGGGATTCACAAATGATTTTTCCAGGCTCTGTAAAACTAATTGGCGGGGCGAGGCTTTCGAGTGGGGGTTATTTTTCCCACGGCTGTTAAAATCATTTGCCCTGTCCGGTCAATCGCATCAGGCCTCCATATCACAAAACGGAACGGGAGAGAACCAAGGCAAAACAGTTCTTGTGGAGTTCGTCAAAAATCATTGAAGTTTGAGAGAAATTAGAATCTCAGCTCCAATGGATCTGAAGTTGAAATACCCTCGTCAATCCTCATGGGTTCGTTCAAGCACATCGGTCAGTTCAAAAAGCTACCGGATTTTTGAAGTCCCAACAGTGATGTTCTAGATCACATCGGCAACTCCTACTTTACACGCTCTATACATACCCATCCAAATCGCGGCGATTCGGCTGAACCCAAAACGCGGCGATTTGAAAACGCCGCGATTCTAACATCTAAGTCAGGGCCTCTTAGAAAAGGTAGGGGGTTGGGGGGAATAGTTGGAATAGGCTTTTGGGCCCACTATACTAGAATAATAACCAGTATGTATATATATATATATATATAATGTAATAAGGAGCCCCCAAAATAGAATACTTAATTATTTAGGTCCCTACAGTGGGTTCCGGGGGTTCAGGCAACTCCAAACCTCTAAGCCCAGCAGAGCCAGGCTGTGTCTGTGGCGCTCTCGGCAGTGTACCTTAACAGCCCCTTTACCTGGGATTTCATACGGCCCTTGTAGGGTCTAAGAGTTGCCTGAAGTGTCTATAGGGTTTTTCAACCTATTTATGCATATATATATATATATATATATGTATATATACATGCCCGTATATACCATAGGTCGCTCAGATTTACGGCCCAACAAGTTTAGGATTCAGAAGGCAATATTGCATAGTACCCTTCCCTTTTTGATAATAACGGTCCCAATGCATATACCATTTCGGGTTTGAGTATGCAGCAACCAATAGAACCAAATTGCCCCCTGCACTGTACCCCTGGCGATGAATCCTATAGCGGAATGGAGCTATAGCACCCCATGGATGCCTCTGCTGTTCATGCGGTACTTACAAGAGAAGCTTGCCATGTGGCAGGTGTAGCACAACCCTGAAACCTAAACTCCCAAGCGTAAACACTCACAAGCTGTTGGCATTTTCATCCCCAAGCCCATGGAGCCAAAGGACACTATCGGAGATCGTGCTGCGAAGGATACCTGAGCAGTATGCAAAGTGTTTGGGATTTAGGATGTCTACCAAACCGAAATCCCAAACACCAAGGACTCAAAGCCTACGGCTAGACGGGCCAAGAGTTAGGATGTCGGCTTTGGCAGTCAGGACTTAGGGTTTTACGCTTAGGTGTGGGCTTAGGCTGAAGACTTCAGATGCAGAAACGAGCAATTAGGAAGAGCGACGAAGATTGCGTCACTACAGCTGCGCTTCCGCAAAATACACATACTTGTGCAGAACGTGTCTGTGAGTACAGGTCTGGCTTGGAAGTACACATTACGTAGCTGGTCTCTCACTCTTCCTCTGTCTCTCCTTATTCCGCCGTCTCTGTCTCTCTCTTCTTCATGCATACATGCATGGGCAAGTTCCCAATGTAAGTATACACAAGCGAGCAGACGGTCACCATGAAGCAAGAATAACCCTCGGCCAGGTAGTGCAGCCTGCGTGGGGTGTGAATCCCGTTCAGCATGATATACGGCCCTAATAATTGGACATGGGCGTTGGGGTATAGTATACTCGACTTAGAGTAAAAGCCCAAAAGTTGGAAACCCCATAGCCTCAATCCTTATGAGTAATGTATAGGGAATCCCAGCACTGTTTGGCCTTAACCCGGTTTCCAAACTTCTGGGATTTGCTAGCTATATATCAAGGCACCCTAAGGAATAGTGTTCGCAACTACTCAGGCTTCTCTACTTAAAGGATCATGGGACTTCGTAACTAGGGTTATAATTAGGTAACTATATTTATAACTACTTATAACCCTAATTAAGGTACTTATAACCTTACTTACTACGTCCCATGATCCTCCAAGTAGTATGGTGCGGGGGTCTCCATTCGACAGTTGGGTTTTGGGGCATAGTATGCTATGGGAATAAGGAACCGAAACGAATATTGTCCTATCTGCTAAAGACCCATAATACTGCCTAAACCCTACATCTTAAACCATCTAAAACGCTAAACCTTGAACCCTAATTCCTAAACACCCCTAAACCCTAAACCCCTAAACCCAAAACCCCTAAACCCCTCTAAACCCCCAACCCCCCAAAAAACAACAGCCAAGAAGCTCGGCTCGGCAGCGGATGCCAACCTGCCAAAAGGACTGGGCTTTGCTGGTGGCCCGTCGGGGCCAGAGGGTTCTATAAGGGTTCCTTAAAAGGGATCTATATGGATTCCTGACAAGGGCTCCTTTAAAGGGATCTATAAGGGTTCTATAAGGGGGGTTTAGGTTCGGGGATAAGAGAACCTAAACCTAAAAGGCCTTCAGGGGGTTAGGGGGGTTCGGGGGTTTTTGGTTCAGGGTGTGGGGTTTAGGATTTAGGGTTGTTGGTCCCTTTTTGGTGTTGGGTAACTTTTTAAGGAACCTAGGACTACAACAAGGGAAATAAAGGTACTACTTGGCCTCCTAGTTGGGGATAAGAGAACCTTAACCTCAAAAAGGGGATCAGGGCCTACTCTGGATCCTGGGACAGAACTGCGACAACCCACACCCAAGCCCAGAAACGCCCTTCTCAACAAACACAAACTTACTTCCCCAAGAGATGAAAGGTTAAACCTTCCGGTTCCTACTAAACCATGAGAACCTAAAAAGTCTAAAAGGTTGGGTATTGGGGATCTAAGGATTTGGTTCTGTAGGATTTAGGGTTTAGCTTGATTCTCTAGACAAATGGCCAAGTATATTGGAGTGTGTGTATACATATACTCTTCGTTCAAGTGTGTAAGAAAACGTGCTTTATGCGAAGTTTGACATATGCAATGATAAACGTTGTACATGCTACAGGTGAGCATGTTGCTCATGATACTCACGTCCGTATCTGAGACTTTAGGAAGCGGATCAAACACCAGACCTTGTTGCCGGCCTTAGCCTAAAATCCTACAAGCGAATCTCTACAGCTTAACGCTGGCCCGCAACCTCAAAACCCTTAGAATTTTAGACCCTGAACCAAGAGCCCAAAACCTTGAGAGCCCTAAACCCACGAAGCCGTAAACCCTAATTATTGTAGCCAGCAGAGAGCCCGTACAGTCGGCCCTATAGGAACCCCAAACCGCGAAAACTCCGAAAACCATGAACTATCATGGTAGCCCGTATAGCAGCCGTAGCTAGCATGTGTAAGAACCACCAAACACCACTGAACTTAGTAAATGCTGCTCCTGTCCATCGCTTGTCTTGAACCCTAAACCCTAAACTGTTGCTCCCGTCCTTCGCTTGTCACGATGGGCTTTGCAGTGACCCCGTTGAGCAGCGCCACAGCAGCCTCAAAAGGCGTCGGAAGGCTTAAGGGTAAACTTTAGGGAATAGCGGTGCAGGGTTTGAAGGTTTAGGGCTTAGGGTTCATCCCAGACAGCCTCATACGACTGAAACAGTGGAAAGTTAGTCGTGTGGCTTAATGAAGAATAAATATTCCGATATTCCTTGATTGAGGGGTATTGGGCTCGCTACGGGCGGCATAAGGCCATACTGACTAACCAGAGATCCCAATATATCCCTTTCTACCATGAAGGTCCATTAAGGGTGATTGTGTTTCGGGCTTAAATCCTAAAAGATCTGGGCTTTAGGGCTATAGGGGTGTAGGATGGTTCAGGGTTTAGTGGGCTTCGAAGGTCTCGTTTGGGGTTTCGGGGCTCCGGGTGTTGAACTTATGGGTGTGTGTTTAGCAGCTGGGGCCCTGGTCCTATGAAAAGGTCCTCTGCGTGCATTGACATACCCCAATGGTCCAAAAGAACCCAATAATTGGGTACTCGGTTTTAGGATAGTAGTTATGTAGGTTAGGATTTTGGAGAGAGTATATGATTATTAGATACTTGGACCCTTGGGGATAGTTAATTCCAAAAATCTGCAAGGCTTGTGCAACAGCGGTTTACGGGAGTCGGATCTTGCGATGCTCCTGAGGAGTGCCGCCTCTTGTTGTTGCCGCTCCTGAAGCTGCAAGCTGTTCCTGCACTTACTCCCAAAGGGTCCAAAGTACTGTTATGGGGGATATTTCCCCAAATCCTAATAGTAATTCCTAATATAGAAACCCTACACTCTACTGTAAAGGCACTGTGGACCGTTTGGGACTTGAAGCTGCAGCAGGTGCCGGTGCACCAGAAGCTGCAGCAGCGGGCTGTGCTCCGGCATGAGCTGGCAGGCTATCCAGTCGCTGATGTCGTCCGGCGTTGGTCCTGATCTTCGACAGAATCGCACTCGGTCTGACGTTTGCATCGACAGCCTGGCGACCTACCTCGTGTCACCTCCTGCTCGCTACTTGCAATACTGCATGTATGAACGCTTCCTTTAGTGATCTCCGCACCATGAGGGCTATGAATTCGGAACCAAGCACTCGTGAACCCTGAATCGTGGATCTTTATCTTGCTTCCCCAATAAGCCACGGAAATTAAAGGCTAAACGTTCAAGTTCCTACTAAACCATAAGAACCTGAAAAGTTTAAAGGTTGGTTAGTGTGGGATCTAAGCATAGCTCCCTTAAAGGAGCCCTTATAGATCCCTTTCAAGGAAGCCTATAAACCCCTCTTGGGAATCTAAGTTATTCGGTGCCGGCTTGCCGACTAGAGACCACCATGTACGATAGACCGAGGCAGCAGCTGACCCTCTAGACTGATTGTAGGGGTCTTATAGCAATTGCAACAGGGTTTTGGGGTATCTCTTGCTATAGTATGTGTGCATGTGTATATGTATATATATATATATATACATACATATATATATATATATTAGAATATTTAAGAGATATACAGACATAACGGAAGGAAGGATACTGCCACCCCCTATTCCGACGCCGATACTAGGCTCGTTGCTCACTCAGAACGCCGGGGATTATCAAGCCGTTGAAAACGACTCCATCAAAGCCTACGAAACATTTTCAATTGTGGCAAAGATGACAAACGTCAATTGGCACCTAGCCTTGCAGAGCGTGGTTTGGGGTTTAGGGTGGCAGGGATTAGGGTTTGGGGTTCAAGGGTTTGGAGGTCAGCGCAGTTCATACTATAAGCTTGGAGGTAGGGTGGAGATAAAGCGCCCTCTAGCCGGAGAGCTTTAATCTAGGATCATGGGAATCGGAGTTTAGGGTGTAGGGTAGTACCGTATGAGCATGCGTCAAGCAGGACAACCCAATCAGAATGTCTAGAACTCATCCTCTCGCGGTCTCGTGGAGTGCCCTGAACCTTGCAACTAACCCAATTAAGGAGGGCACCTATCACTCTTATAAACTACTTACGAGGCCCGGACATTAGAACACCCTAAACCCTAAACTCACCCGAAAACCAAAGATCCCAAGACCCTCAAGCTCCAGACACTAAACTCCTAAGCCCTAAACCCTAAAATTCAAGACCTACCCACCCTTTTTCAACTCTAGGCCTAAAGGTCCTTTCTATAGGGCCTCAATAATTAGAATAGGGTTTTGAGGCCAGTTATACTACATTTATGAGGAACTCCCAAAATAGTATATATATATATATATATATATACACATGTAATTATGACAGCCCCTATAGGAAAGCCATGTCCGCACAGGCCTCCGGATAGTCGCGCAAGAGGCGAGCAATGTCCTGCGGATATACCAACTTCAATTGGGGCTTGCGTCCTGCTTAGAGGGTCATGGGTAGTTATAAGGGTTCCTTTATACAGACTTCGTAACCCTAGGCTTCCAAGGTAACCCTATGCTTCCAAGCGCCTTATAGTTAGGGCCCTAGACCCCTTAAGGACCCAATAACAAGGTCCATGGAATACTAGGTTAGGCTGTATGATTTTGTCATAGTGGGGCTCTGCCGATCGTGTCTTCGGGTGAATAGAGGCTTTATAAAGGCTCTGCACGTGTCTGGCAGGCGTTTTTCGGCGCAGGCCTGGTATTTTGGTTCAACCCATAGCTCAAACCATGCAAAAGAAGCAACTATACTAGAACGATTGTAGACGCTACAAAGCCGCGTCTTGTAGTTCAAGCTCTGAAAAGCCAATTATACTTTGTGAAGCCAATGCAAGCACCGTCCGTGACAAAATCTCAGCGAATGGGCTAATCCGGAAGCCTACACTGAACTCGCAGGAAAACCCGATCGTAGTGTTTTCAGCCCCAAACGCTGTGAAGTAAAGCTCTTTTCAAAACTTCTTGTGGATCCAACAACCTCCTATGCAGCATTATACTTCCTGCATCATCAAACTTCCTGCTATGTATATGGGGTCAGTACCTACCTTCTTTTTGTGGCTTGGTGCTATTAGGTTTACAAACCCCAAACCCTGCACGCCGTCCTTGTGAGTGAGCTTGTCTGCAAGCCTCTTGGAAAGCTCCTCCAGATTCGACTTCAGTTTTGGGGGCTAAAAGTGTTGGTCATTAGGGTTTAGGGTTCGGGGGTTCAAGATTAGGGCCGAGGGGATATCAGATGCAATGCAGTTAAAACGGCAGCTTCCCTCTTTCGTTTTGCTCGTTGGGGCTGTTGTCCATGTCCGTGGTGCAATCGGAACCACAACACGTGCAGTCCAGAAAAAGGTCTGCATTTCCAGTCAGGCACATTGAATAAACGATCCCTCAAAGTTTTACCAGAACCCAGCGGACACGCACCTGCAAAAAGAACAATGCGGTACCTCTAACCGCACTGGCTATTCCATTTATCTTCCAAGTTAACTACTTCGACTTTTGTAGCTCCAGTGGTCCAAGTATATGCTATATAGGCGGTCAAAACTTAGTCGCCCTTCCCTCCGTCCTCGTTGCGGCAGCCCATCCGTCTCGTGTCGCGGAGCCGGCTCATGAACATTGGGATGCACTCCTTTGCGCTTTGAGGTTTGGGGCACGGGGCTTTGACCCTGCACGCCATATCTAAAACCTAGACCCTCAACACTAGATTCCGCCACCCTAAACTCAAAAGACAACACGAAAAACAAACCCTAAACCCCAACCTCGAAACCCCAAAACCTGATGCCTAAATCAAGGCTAGCTCCAAAGACTCTGTAGAGCCTGGACTGTTGGAGAAAGCCTAATCGTCAACCTCAGCCCAAACCCGAACTAACACCAAAACCCTGCAGCGATCCCAGTCCAACATGGGTTTAGGGTTTAGGGTTTTGGGTTTAGGGTTCTGGGTTTTGGGTTTAGGGTCTAGGGGAGCTTGACAAGATAAGGGACCCGAACACAGACTCCGACTAGTGGGATCCTCTCCGAAAGTGCTCTCAAAAAAGGGACCCTTAATGTGCAGAGCTGGCAAAACTATTAGTTTCAGGGTGTGGAATTCTTAAAGTTCTGTGACAATGACTACGACGACTGCCAGTCCCACTACCCCTATTACGACTACGACTGCCACGACGACAACAACTGCTGCTGCCACGAGTAGCCTGGCCACCACCACCAACACCACCACCAACAACAACACCGCTAACGATGATGATGATGATCGTCATCATCATCATCATTTTCATCATCATGGTGACGGCAGCTCACTTACAACCGCGGGGCTGCAGGCTCGTTGTTACGGGTCATGTACTCCGATAGTATACACTTGGACAATGTGTTGCCGGAGTTGATGTTTTAACAAGGGACTGCCAGAAGATATCGCTTCCTAAAGTGTCATACCCTCCCTGCCCTCACCGTTCAGGGTAGCTACTTGCCTGCATCACAGCTCCTAACCAAAATACTAGGTGCCCTAAAAAGCGTAAGCTGTGACCCAGTACGGTAAACCCCATAAAGTTGGAAACCGGGTTAAGGTCAAATAGTGCTGGGATTCCCTCTACATTACTCTTCAGGATTGACGCTTTTGGGCTTCCAACTTTTTGGCTTCTACTGTAGCTAGGGTTACCCATAATAAGGATTTTTTCCATAATTCCCGTAGTTTAGGGTCCTTAAGGTAATGCAGGATGTTTTTCATCAACCGTAGCTAGGGTTGAAGTCTTGGTGCAGCCGGAAGTCGGGCGCTCTGTGGATGAAGACCTGGTTTTGGGTTTAGGGTTTCGGGCTCAGGGTTAGGGTTTAGGGACCTCTCCGAAGTGGGAAAGGTTGAGAGATTCGGGTTTACCCATAGGCCCCAAAGTAGTTCCTTGTTGGGACTACCTTATAGGATTCTAAATATGAACCCCAAAAAGGAACTACTTTGGGGCCTTAGGGTAGTGACTAGGTAAGGCGGGTTAGAAACAGTGATAACAGCCTCTTTTCCTTGCATAGAGCCTGCAAAAGCCCTCCATCAAGGAACCATGATCAAACTACAGAGGTTCCGTACTGATGTGGCTTAGAATGCATTCTGGATTAAGGGTGTTTGGTGCTGGCGGCTGTTGCGAACAGTCTGACTGCTTCGATGCAACATGCCAGCAGTGTGAAGGCGAATATACCCTAAACCGTCGTATGACGGGCCTGGGTCCATGAGGCACGAGGCTTTTAGCTTTTGGCTCCGGGCGTTCGCTTTTTGTCGATAAACGTTTGGGGCGCAAGGTGCGAACGTTAGGGTTTGCACTTCACTTCAAGCACATATGCTTGCATGCATCAAGACGGCATCTTGGAGACCTTCTAAACCCTATAGCACCTTTGACCTACAACCAGATGTGACCAAAACAACTGCTAGCGTTGATGACCAGCTGGGTTTGTATACTAACCAGTATGAAACTTGAAACAGCACTCCCCAAGGAACGCGCAGTGACAAGCCCAAAAACCAGATTGAAGTTGCGAAGTTCTGAGTGACAAACATATCAAGCTGTGCAGCCCCAATAGAGGGACCTTGACAAATAGAATGGCGTTCTACGGAATATTCCATGGTTATGTTAAAGAAGCCTGAAGAATCCTATTCTAACTAAGGTCAACATGGCTTGGCGCCTAGATCAAGAAATGCTAGGCCCATCGTACTGCACATGACAGTTACTGTAGCACTTATGTATCCCTAGCGATCGAAGTACCAAGTAAAAATACACCAACAGTCTAAACTTTCCTAAATGCGAACCTTTGGACACTACCTTATTGAATCACAGTATCAAACTATTCGTTAGTTAGGGACGTACCCAACCTACACCGAAGAAGGGCAGCATCAGCTTCATTTCCGCAAGCATTGTATTGCCAGAACAGAAATTCGAGAACCCAAAAGTTCAACAACTCCTTTCTTCAACAACGACAAACAAACCTAAAAGTAAACAACAAGACAAGACGCAAGCAGTATGAACCCAAGACGACCCCTGAACACGATGCAGCGAACACGAAGGACGTCCGTGGTAGAAGGAGCCTTGAGGCTGCTGATGTGTGGAGGGGCCGCCTTGGCCAAAGCTTCCTGGACCCAGTTAAGGGGAAAACCATTCTGAACGGATTCGGGCGATGCGATCTTCTTCAAGGCTGAAGGGTCTATGGCAAAGTGATCTTCTTTCAGGCAGTCTGGAGGCATTTGGGAGTTGCCGAAATTAAGGGGATCCTACGATTTAGGGTACTATATTACTTAAAGGTTGATCGGACTTAGTAACTAGGGTTATACTTATATACGGTAACTGTACTTATAACTATTGATAGCCCCAATTAAGTTACTTATAACCTGACTTACTAAGTCCCATGATCCTCCAAGTAGGGTCCCCTTTTTTCGGAAACTCCCATTTTTCTGTTGCCTGGCTCAGGGTTTAGGACTTTCTTGATGGGGATTGGGTAGTATATGATGAGGGAGACCTCTTAAAGGGTACCCCTTCCGAACCCTACTTCTGGCTCTCTTAAAGGGGAGCCTTATTGAGAGGGTCTATATCCCCGAGGGTCCTCCTAATCCCAACTCCCAGGCTTGGGACCTCAAGTTCGCACTAAACCCGGAAGCCAACCATTGCAGGGTTCTGGTTGTGCCTCATTCGGGACAGGGCATGATCAAGACGTATTAAGTAAGACCTTTCGGTTAATCTGGCAATGGCTTCAGGAACCAATGGCTTGAGGTCTAGCATCTCTCTCCCTCTCTCCGGTGCACACGGACAGCCTAGTACCAAGACCGCAACGCAGGCACCTCAAGTGCCTTCTTCGACCCCGAAAACCCTGAAGCCCGCACGCTGGTCCTTGTTCATTTTCCCCCACCTTGCAAGATGAGAGTTTAGGATTTCTGTTCGACTCAGAGCTTAGGGGGTTCAGTGTTGGAGTTTGGGTATAGGGTTGCGGGCGCGGAGTGTTGGGCGTGTAGGTGTACCCGAAGCTTGGTAACCTGACTCCTAGGTCGCCCATAAGCCTTCAAGCAATGCGTGCAGGTACTTACCGACTGGTGAATAGCCTAATGTGCGATACTCCCCTGTAGAGTCCAGGGTGTGGGGCTTTGGGAGTGTAGGGCTTTGGTGTCTTTGGAGTTTGTATCTATGATCCACCGTGTTTTGGCCAGATGGGAACCAAGATCGGAGTTGTGCTGCCTAAAACATATACGCAGCCAACAACTAAATTAAATCACTAGACGACATCAATCCTTAGCCCTATACCCTGTCGCGCTCGGCGAGTAGCTACCACACTTCTCGTAGTTTAAGGTATGCCGACCCTAAACCCTAAACCGGATATTCCACAGATGCAGGACTCTATCCATCAGCCTCTGTGCGAAGACTTTGGGTCCCTCTAACCAACCCCCCCCCCCCCCCCCACCCACCCCTCCTCAACTCCGGAAAACACACTATGGGTTCCCTAAACCCCTAAACCCCTGAACCCCTAAGCCCCTAAACCCTAAACCCTAAACTCCTAAACTCCTAAACCTTAAACTCCAACCCCTATAGACCCTTAAAGATCCCTTAAAAGGAGCCCCCTTTTATGGGTTATCCTAAGCCCTAAACCCTAAAAACCCCTAAGGCCCCCCAATTATCCCTGAGGAGGCGGCTGAATGCCAAGCTCCAGAGGCGTCGCCTTGTGCTCCTAGGCTGTTCAGTAACCCACTGGGAAAAAGTAGATACTTTCTTAGGCTTCTTATCTTAGAATAGGAACCCTAAACCCTAAATCCCAAACCCTAAACCCCAAACTCTAAACCCTAACCCTAAGCCCTAAACCCTAAACAAAAAACGTACCACTGAACAGCCTGGGCTCTTTGGCATCGAAATCGACTTCGCCTTCCTGGTGGAGTCTGATGAGAGGCCAAACGGGGGTTCATATGTTCAACGTTCGGGGTTTGGGTTTAGGGCCTCTAGGGTTTATGATTTTTAGAGTTTGGGGTTCGGCTCAAATCTGACACTTTCTAAACTCTAGTGATGGGAGGCCAAAAGTGGGTTTAAGATTCTTGGGGTAGGGATTCCTTAATACCTTAAACTACCAAACCCTACTCTTTTGTGGGTTCTTATTATAAACCCTAATATGGGATTTATAGGGACCCTACAAAAAGTAGGTCTTGGTAGGTTAAGCTATGAACCCTATTATGGGAACCCTAATCCCTACTAAACCCCCATAGGCTAAAACCCCTTTTGGCCTCCTATGAGAGTCTCTACCCTAAACCCTAAACCCTAGGAGTTATAAGGGGCCTTTACGGGTTCCTTTAAAAGGGGTCTATAGGCTCCTTAAATTAAGAGGGACGTATAAAGTTTGGGGTTCCTTTCAAGGGGTCTAGAGGGTTCCTCAAATTAGAAGAGGGATCTATAGGGTTTAGGGTTTAAGGGGTCTATAGGGTTCCTTAAGTTGACAGGGACCTATAGGATTTAGGGTTTAGGGACCGTCCTGATCGTCGCCAGGATTAGGGTCTAAGCGGGCACTTCGGGATATAAACCCTCTCAATAAGGTCCCTTGCAATTTTAAGACAACCATAAGTAGGGCAAAGCAAGGTCCCCTTTAAGGGGTCTCCATAATGTCCCCTTTAAGGGGTCTCCATAATACAGCCTGGAAGTCTCTGGGGGTCTTTGGACGCTTTCGGGCTTTAGACTCTAGCCGTCAGGGTTTATGGTTGTAGTGCTATGCGTTTGCAGCATAACTGTCCTCTGTGCTGTGCGAATAATACGTTGACAATAGGTCTTTCAAGAGGACTCCGGCTGCCGTTTTTTTAAAGCGGAGTTCAGGAGCTGTGTGTTAATGTTTCCGCGTGGCGTACACTGAGGCCTCAGTTGATGGAGCATGCAGGGGACATGGTTGCGGGGTTGTGGGGGCTGGCATAAGCCCAAATCCACAACCCTCAAGGTTATCGGGCCGATACTTGGGAAGTTCTGAGAGTCCTAAACCCTGAACCCTAAACCTCAGGGTCCCGGTTAGTAGGGTCTTTTTCATAAAGCTGCCGCCTTCTTTGGGGCTCCTAAAAAAGACCCTGGTTTAGAGAACTGCCCACTCGGATTGAGAATTAAGATCCTGGACCACCAGAGCCGAGCTTCGGAGATCGTTATACAGCTGATGGGCAAAATCCTGCATTACCCATAAGAAGGAATATACCATAATTCCCATATTTTAGGGTCCTCAGGGTAATGCAGGATTTTGTCCATCAACAGTATAGTATAGCTGCAACCAGGCGTCATGGGGATTGGAATAAGTAAGTTGTAAGGTTCATAGAGCAAGCTGCTTGATTGCGGCCTAGCTGTCAACATCAAACCTGAGTATTGAATTGAAAATGACGCCCGAAAGCCTAAACATCAGATAGTACTGTCTTAACTTGCCTTCAACCCTAAACTCTGTTATGGGTTTAGGGCTTAGCCCTAGATCCAGTAGAATTCCTTGTTTCTCCCCACAAACCCATAGCCAAAACCCGTGGGCGGGCGTTTGGCATTTTCCCACCCTTCAAAATGGGCCTCCCAGGAGGTTTAGGGTGCTCACATGTAGTATCAGCCTCTGGCTCGCAGTTCTCGTCGGCGTCATCCAAACTTCTCATCTTCCTGCGAACACGGCTCAGGGTGTATAGGGGCTCATAGCTAGTTCATGGTTGGGATAGGATTTAAAAATGTACATCTTAATCCTTATTGGGTTTAAGTACAAAAGTGTAAAACGTTACCCAACTATGACTAAAAGTAGGTGATTGTGTTCAAGACTGGCCTAGTACCAACACTTGCAGTTGATGGGGCTGCAGGGCTTTAGGGTCTTAGTCTCAGTCTTGGATTTGCATGTCGAGTTCTAGGCTTGTGAAGTAACTAGGTACGAGGTTGCACCAAAGACAATGTGGCGGCTTTAACTCTACAGTTTCAGTGTGGTGGTAGTAGAGTGGCGGTAGTATGAGCAGCAGCAGCGGCAGCAGGAGCGGTAAGGGTAACACCAGCAGCGGGAGAAGCGGCCGTAGCAGAAGCAGTAGGAGTAGAAGTAAGGGTGGACACAGAAGAAAACGTCGGCCTAGAAGTAAAATTCATTAGTAGTAGTTAGTAGTGCGAAACTAGAAGTGAGAATTAGTTCGTCGGATGAGAATGCATGTACTGGTAGAAGACGACGACGAGGATGATGACGGCAGCGACCGTGTCAGTGTTCTTGTCGCTGTTGATAATGCTGTTTTGATGATGGCGATGATGATAACCACAGCAGCCTGACGATAGTGAAGATGGCCACTGACATCGTTATGATGACCGGTGTCATCATCGACATGCTCAGCCTCAACGGCATGATCCCATCCTCGCCAGCTTTGAACCCTGAGGCCGCAAACCCTACCCTAAGGGTCCTAACAACTTGGGGAACCTCAAAATTGAGGGTTTCTCAGACCCCAAAGAGACCCAAGGACTCTCCCTAGGACATTCCGGACCCTCCTAAGGAGATGCCTGGACCCATAGGGCAAACCCCCAGCCCTTTTAAGTAGAAGCCAGAAAGTTGGAATATGATTATCCTAAACCCTGAGTTGTAAATTATAAGGTATCCTACCCGGAAACCATATTCCAACTTTCTGGAGGTCCCTTTACCTGGGCTTTTAAGTAACCAGGGAGAAAAAAGTATAAACTTCCATTTCATAAGGGTTCCTTTAAGAAAAAGTATTAAAGTATGGTACTCCAAAGCCCAGTGGAAGTTCATGGGGTAGTTGCAAGGGTTCCTTTAAGAGCCCCTTTAAAGGGATCTACAATAAAAAAAAATATAAGGGTATGGTACTCCAAAGCCCAGTTACCGCCAAAGACCACACAACGCAAACCCAACGAACCAGCCATAACCCCCAAGCTGCCAACTATAGGGCTTAGGGCTTAGGGTTTAGGGTTTAGGGTTTAGGGTTTAGGGTTTAGGGTTTAGGGCTTAGGGTTTAGGGTTTAGGGTTTAGGGTTTAGGGTTTAGGGTTCAGGGTTTAGGGTTTAGGGTTTAGGGTTCAGGGTTTAGGGTTTAGGGTTTAGGGTTACTATAGGGGCCTTGATAATTAGAAGACGGTTGATGATATAGATCCTGCAGTACTTTAAGGACCCTAGACTATGGGAATTACAGTATATTCCTCATTATGGGTAATGCAGGATTTATATCATCAACCGTAAGGTTCTGGGGCCAATCATACTACAATTAGAAGAAGGAGCCCCCCGAAATAGTATTGGACACTACTTAGGCCACTATATTATAGAACCCTGCTGTAGATCCCTTATAGACCCCTTTTAAAAGAACTCTTTAACAGAACTCTAGGTATTTATTTAAGCCCCTGCATAACATACATCCCTAAACCTTAATCCCTAGACCCTAAACCTTAATCCCGACCCCATAGAAAACTATGAAGACCCCTTATATAGAACCCTACTATAGATCTCCTATAGAGCTCTATTTTCCTTCGGTTAGTAGGGAAGGGAGGAATGGGGTACAAGTATAACTACATTTGCTACCATTCTTCCATTTCCTAGTAACCAAAGGTAAGTGTAAAGCCTCGCCTTGCATGCCGCACTGCCCGGATCGTGGCCATGTTGCCGGTCTGGAAGGCCAAGTGCAAGCCTGCTACTTGGAGGTTCACTGGGCTTTTAAGTGACCGAAGAGAAAAACGCATAAACTTTTATTTCATAAGCGTTCCTTTAAGAAAAAGTATTAAAGTATGGTACTTCAAAGCCCAGTGGAGGTTCATGAGGTAGTTGCAAGGGTTCCTTTAAGAGCCCCTTAAAAGGGATCTACAGAAATTCTATAAGGGTATAGGGTCAGGGGCCGTTTAGGGGCTACTTGGAGGCCCATGGGTAGTTTCTATACTACTATTGAGGGTTTAGGGGTTTAAGGTGTTTGGGTCGGGAGCTTCAGGTAGAATTTCGAGCTTTTCAAGCCTGTGATTTAGGGTTCTTCGTCTCCCAACAGGTTTTCGTATGCTTGCATTGAGCCCAGTTACTTCAGCAAGGGTTCTACGACCCAGACCCTGGTCTCTCCGTTTAGGTTTTACCCACTTGTCCAGTATCCTGGGGGACTAGAGATTCGCCTTCGGAAGTGTATTTGGTAATAAGGGGGGTTAGAGTACACCTAAAAAGGTTAAAGGCTACCTACTCTACTACTCGGTTTAGGGCCTAAATCTGCAAACCATGATCTCCATCAGCCCAAGAACAACCTGAAAACCTGCAGCATAGATACAGTGCTTCCTTGCACCAGGACCAGGCATTAGCAAGACACAGTGCTCAAAACCAACCACCCAAAACCCCAAAAACTAAACCCTATACACCCTAAGCCCTAAACCCATGTGCACTGCTTGCTCAGCCCAGGCCAGGCACAGGAGTAGCCGTTCGCATTCTCCGAGTCGATATTGGCCCCACGGCTGCAGAGGAGGGTGATGATACTCGGCGGAGCAGATAAGTAGGGTATAGTAGGGTAGCTATGCTTATAAATGGGAGTTTCCGAAAGTAGGGGTACCTTATTTTGGGGTCCTTACAATAAAGATCCTATTGTTCCCCAAAGGGTCCAAAGGACTGTTATGGGGGATACTTCCCCAAATCATAATAGTATTTCCTAATATAGAAACCCTACATTCTACTATAAAGGTACTTTGGACCCTTTGGGTTCAAAGGAGGGTGATGATACTCGGCGGAGCAGGGAGTCGGACGTAAGTCTGCCGGCTCTAGGGTTGAGAGGGTTTAGGGATTTTTTTTAAGAAAAAAAGAGGGTTTAGGTTTTTTTTTTAAAAAAAAGAGGGTTTAGGGTTTAGGGTTGAGGGTTCTTACCTATAGTCTCCATTGTAGTTCCTTTTTGGGTTAATCAGAAGCTCTATTATAGGACCCTAACCATAAAACTGGTTAACCAAAAACAGGAACTACAATGGAGAATATAGGTAGGGTACAAACACCATATAGTCATGTACTCTCCCAAATACTACCCTACAAAACTATCATCCTAAACCCAAATACATAATTATTTGGCCTTTTGGACCCTGAGAGTACCTTAACCTACGAAAGCCTACTTCTTGTTAGAAGCCCTAACATGGAATTCAAAGGGACCTTACGGACAAAGTAGGGTTTGGTAGATCAAGGTAGACACTAGATTCAGAATGTAGTACCTTGCTTTGGAGAGCCTGTTTCGTGGTACGTACCCTGAAGAACCCGACCTCTAGCCCCAAACGTTAAGAGACAGGATGCTTCGAAACCCATAGTTCCAGGTCCAACCCCTAATTGCTCTTACGCCCCAAATAAGCCACAGAAACGACAGGTTAAACTTTCCGGTTCCTACTAAACCATAAGAACCTAAAAAGTTTAAAGGTTGGGTATTGGGGATCTAATTGTGAGAATGGACATGGCCGCCAGAATAGCGTCAGATTGGTCAAAAAGTTGAGGGCAAATGCGCCTCTGTCTCCGGACTCGCGAATCATGTCGCGGATGATGGCCGTCACTGATTTTTACGTACCCGGACTGAGCCGTCGGAGCTCCTCAGTCCATCGAGGCCATATTATAGTCAAAGCTCCTGATTCGTGCTCCGACTCTGGCCGCCAGCTCCTGGGGCGTCGTGGCGTCGCGTACTTGATCGACCGCTCTTCGAAGAGAGACTCGCAAAAGATCAAGTCCTCCGCGACACCGGCGTCGAAGAGATGTGTGACGCAGCCTTCGTCGCCCGTACTCAAGATGAGTCGGGGCTTCTGCTTGCCCAAGGCCTCGTTAGGTCGTGTCCACATAAAGCCTTAAACCCTTAGCCCTAAACGTTGAAACCCTGCAAGCCTAGACTACCCAAAGGCCCCAAAGTAGTTCCTTTTGGGGGTTCATATTTAGAATTCGATAAGGTGATCCCCGCAAGGAACTACTTTGGGGCCTATGGATAGACCCTAAACCAAGCTTAAAGTTTAGTTGGAGCTCCAGACGGATTCGGGATGCACTTGAGGCTCCGAGGCGCCAGGAGGGTTTGAGCATCTGAGAGTTTAGGCCTTCAATGCTCAAGGCTTAGGGTTTTCGGATTTGGGGTTTCGGAATACAGGATGTTCAATCTAGTTTTCTATATAACAGTTCCTAACCATAACAGTAAGTATCCTCAAAACGGGTTTAGAGTTGCCGAAAGTTAGAGGTACCTTATTTTGGGGTCCTTAGAATGAGGGTCCTACTATTTAGGGTACTAGGTTAGGGTCCCCGATTTTCCCGATTTTCGGAAGCTCCCATACTGGCTTTCAAAGTTTAAAGGATTAGAGGTGTAGGGTGTAGCCCTGAACCCTAAACTCTCAACCCCTAAACCCTAAGTATGAAGGCCCCTGTATTATGGGAGCAGGGGGGGGGGAATTCCGTCGACAAGCGACTCGTTGGATCCGCCGCGCCCCTCCTGCGTATTTAGGGTTATAGTGTTCAGGGTGTTGGTTTAAGGTTTAGTGTCGTTTTGGTTTAGGGTTTAAGGTTTTAGTTCAGGGTTCAGAGTTTTGGTTTAGGGCTTAGGGTTTATAAGGGATTCATATACGAACATAGGGGCCTGAACACTTAGAACAGTGATTCCTTCTTAAAGGGGCCTCTATAAGGGCCACAAAAGGGATGCCAAAAGGGTACTATAATCCCTTCCCCCTAATATTAAACGGCTCCCCCCCCCCTCCCTAATATTAAAACTGGATTTGGGAGGTTTAGTTTTTATATTAGAGGGGTTTCGGTTCGGTGCATCCACGTACCCGGACTCCCAGCTGCTAGCTATCCTAAGCCTGGAGCCCTGAGGCCCTACTAAAGCCCTAAGCCCTAAACCTCGAGCCCAAGACCCTAAAGCCCTGAGCCCTAAATTTTAAGCCCTAAAGCCCCAAGCCCCCCTAAAGCTTTAGCCCTGAGCCCTAAACCCTTAAACCCTAAAGCTCTGCTGTCTTTAGTACAGCTGTAGTCTTTGGCTCTATAAAGCCCCGAGCCCTAAACTTTAAGCCCTAAAGCCCCAAGCCCTAAAGCTTCAGCCCTGAGCCCTAAACCCTTAAACCCTAAAGCTCTGCTGTCTTTAGTACTAGTGTAATCTTCGTTCAATTAAAACACATACAGATCTAGCCCCCCCTAATGTTGTCCCTTTTAAATTGAATGTGGGGCCCGAAATCGCGAAATTCCGGGGGCCGGGAGTTTTTATATTAGGGGGGGGGGGTTGAATGTTAAGGGGAAGCGATTAGTATAGAGGCCTTAAGAGTTTGAATAGGGTTCCTTTAAAAGGGTCTATATACAAGGGCTCACTAATGTAGGGGCCTAAACGGGAGGTCGGCTTTTCGACGTAGTTTTCGACGTATCTGAGTAGAATTTTGGGGTATCTGAGTAGCCCCTGTTTGTAACAAGGGCACCCTTTTTCCTACTATTCGGCTTTAAGGACAAAAGGGTCCTACTCAGGAACCTAGTTTTTTAAGTTGTTTTCGTTCAGAATGGTCTTCCCTAAGCCCCATGTTTTAACTGTAGGGGAGGGGGGTGGGGGGCATAATTGTTGGGGTATCGACTTTTGGGGCGGTTCGTGGGTTGGAAAATACACAATAAACCCTAAATCCTAGCGGTAGGGGGTGGCGGGTTTGGGGGTTTTGGCCTTTAAAATTGGGACTGCGTCTCTAGTGTCAGGGCTTTAGGGTCTCGGCGGTTAGGAACTTTGTAATTAGCTTGTACTACAATACCCAAGGCATACCCTATCCGTCTTTCAGGGTAGTTGTAGGATCTGTTATAATAGGGAAGTACTATATACACGTAGGTACCCTAAGACAACGAGTAGGCTATGACCACTACAGGTATGGTGTAGTGAGTTTAAGGAGCTTTTCAGATCCTACACCACGCCGAAAAACTGTCACCAACTATGCCTAGGCTGTTTAGTAATCCACTGGGAACCACTTGTTGGGTCAGTCATTATACTAAGAACCCAGAAACCGAGCACGTTGAAAACCTGTATCACTGAACATTCAGATTATAGTGTGAGGCTAAGCAAGTGAGAGTCTAGAAAATGACGGATCCTAATGACCACCCACGAAGGACAAGAGTTTCTGAACTATCTATAAAACGCTCAGACCTAAAACGCTTAGGAAACTCTTAAGCCATGAAGCCCCACGCAGATGAGCCCTGTGCGTCCTAAACTCTGAGCAGATTGGGTATCTGTCAAAACCATGGCCTCTTCGGGGAACCCTGTACAAATTGTAAGTTTAGTACGGCACCCTATAGTGGGGAACCCATCAACAAGAAACCCCGATTTTGACAACCGACCAGATAGCGCTCCTTGAAGACGGCGGCCTGGATGACGTCGTAGTTGTCCTTCTCATCGCGGCAGACTTTGCCTCGATTCATGCTGTGAGAAGGGCAGGGCGGGTCTAGAGATCTCTCCTTACCTATAGGGAAGTAATATCTTACGGGTGCAAGCGGGGTCCTTCACAACGAGAATAGGGCTTATGTTCGTAGTATTGCATAATAAGGAAACCCAAGCAATGGTATTAGTAATGATTCCGGCTTCTGTACGAGTGAGGAATGAGGAATAAGCTGGCATCTAATTATAGGAAATTCAGGGGTTTAAGGTCTTGGGTAGGGTAGGGTTCAGGTTGCCCTTAGGGATGTTAAGTTGGCAGAATGGGCGGATTCCTATAACATCCTTTTAGACCCGTCGATCCGGAAGCCCTATACCCCTAAACCCCCAAAACTCCAACACCCTCAGCCAAAAACCTAAACCCTTAAAGGAACCCCTACAGCAACCCTTAACAGAACCCCTTAACGGAACGCTAAAACACTCTGAACCTACGGTCCAAGCGACTCTCCACGCTGGCCCTCCGATCAAGCAGCGTCTCCACCTCGCTCGGTTGGATCGGGCTGTGGGGTTTAGGGGTTCCTTACAGGATTCCTTTCAAGGGTTTCCTTTAGAAGGATCCACAAGCATTCTAAAAGGGTAATGATAGGGTTTAAGAATTGGGGTTTAGGGGTTTAGGGTTTTGGGGTTTAGCTGGCTTTTGGGTTTATTGGTTCAGGGTTGGGGCTGCTGAACCCTGAATAACCAACCTCTTTAAGGTTCCGTCTTATGATTTCCTCGTCGACGTCCTCAAAAATGTAGGCTGCTTGGGTTTGGGGCGAAAGGTTTGGGGTTTAGGTTAGGGATTTGGGATTAAGGGTTTAGGGATATGGTTTTGGGGCTTGGGGCTTAGCGAGTTGGGTTTAGGGTTTCGGCATAGGGATTGATTATACAGAGTTAAGTGATGTTCAGGGCTAAGGGTCAGGGATGCTACGCGGGTGTCCCTATATCGGCCGCACTTTGAGGCCTAAGTACCTGCTGTATGGGTACAGCGGGTCCTGGCTGAGTTTGCCCTGGCTTCTGCTGCTCTTCGCAGCAGCTCTAAGTTCTCCCGCTCGATGTTGGCGGTTTCAGGCTCCCAGAGACTCCAATATCCCTTAATTAAGGAATATTCCTTGAATCATATTAGGGACCCCTAATGTGATTTAAGGAATATTCCTTAATTGCCTGAATTAAGGGATATTGGAGTCTCTGGGCTAGTGGGTGGGTCCTGCTGCTCGTACGCGCGTGCGGCATCGGCATGGGACACTGCACCAGCAGAGCAAGCCTGGCAGGTGCAGCATTCCGTCTTTGAGACCGAGCCTGAGCTCAAACACGACATCCACATCGGCGGATCGGCGGAAGGAAAACTGTGCGGACGCTCTTCTACCGAACTCTTCACCTACTTGCCTACTAACTAAGTCCCCGACCCTTCAAGCATTACCCGGAGCTCAGCAAGCAACTATGAACCCGCCCAGTATTATCCAGAGCTCAGCAAGCAACCATGAAGGCAGCCCTACCTTTTCCGGCATAAGAGCCCCAATATCCGAGGCTCTGAACTATGTCCTGCCACGCTAGCTATAGTTTCCATTACAGCTATGAGGGTTTAGGGTTAACCGTTTATAGTACAAGACACCCACAAAAATCCCACTGTGATTCAATACTGTCTTGCGTAGAAACCCACCTCCCTCTCTCGAACAACTCACCAGGCCGTGTGCTCAATACTACGAACTGCTGTAGAGGGCTCTTGTTAAGGCGTCACATTTAAGTTACAATAATGCGGAAACCCTTTGGTTTACCATAGACAAATGAATAATAATAAGAAGAGCTTATCATGGCTTGCCGGTAACCCAGCAGGCCTACGTTTGGGTTCCTCATCATGCAGTGCACGTCGTCGTCTGCAAAAGAAAATGGTCAAGGCTACACGTAATATACCAGCCCGAATCATCACATCCTACGTATTCTTTATCCAGCCACTATAGTATAGAACCCCTAGTAAGAGCTCTTCTAATTGTCAAGGCCGCTATGCTGCTACATTCGGGGCATGGAGTCTTGGAGTCTGCCGGGTTGGCCTTTAAACACTCTGAAAAATACGTATATATAGGGTCCCCCATAAACCCAAATGAGGAAAATAAAAAATGTCCCAAAATCCAACCTAGTCTGTTGCGATTCGCTGAGAAGTCTGTCAAACTTCGTTGTTTCCGGACTCTCGGGATCTAACACAGGGGCCTTAATAATTAGAATAGGGCTTGGGGGCCATGCTATAGTGATATATATATATGAATATATATGTATATGTATATATTGTGGGAAAGCCCAAAATAGTATATATTGGTATTTATTTTGGCCCCCCCATATTAGAACCTAGAACACAGAACTCCCGATTTGCTACCCCATACGATTTGGTGCTCTGCGCTGCAAAAGGGTCTGTTAGCTGGCGAACCATGTACAGAAACCTGAAGAGCTTACTGCAGGGCGGGCCCTGGGAAAGCTAAAAGGCTCTGGGTATAGCCTAAACCCTAAACCCCTAAACCCTATAGCCCAAACCCTAAAGCCGTGTTGACCCGGCATGTACAAACATACGACGCAGGCTCTGAAATGCGGTCCCCACCCGACCCGGTTGAAGAAGCCACTTAACCCAACTACACAATTGCAGCTTTGGTTTACAGCAAACCCCATAAACTTGGACACCGGATTAAGGCCAAATAGTGCTGGGATTCCCTATACTTTACTCTTAGGGATTGAGGCTATCGGGTTTCCAACTTTTTGGCTTCTACTGTACCCCATTCTGGGCCCAAGAGGTACCTGATCGGGCTTCTTTAAAATAACCGAGGATACTAATCACCATTTGAGCGCCTGCGTTCGGGGCTCTGAGTTACCTGAAATTATGAAACTCCCAGATATTGCATGTAACTCTCACAACCGTAATGTAGCCGTAATGTAGGGGTCTTAGTGATTAGAATAGGGTTTGGGGACCCTTTATAGTATACTTATTTACAATAAGGAGCCCTAGAATAAGATCGGTAATTGGTTAAGCTTCTATATTAGGTAACTGATTGGAGCCAAAGGTATCTGGGAATATGGCCAGGAGTGTGTGTCCGCGGCTGGCCGCGAGATGAATGGCCATACCGGTGCAGATTTGTGCCTGCCAAGAAGCAGCAATTCAGGGTTTAGGGTTCAGAGTTTACCTTAACTAACCCTTTATTATCCTACGTTTTTAGGATTCCTTATTCTGATTTGCTTGTATAAAGTTTCGGGCTTAGCCTAAATCCCAAAGGCCTGAACTCCATGGCCTGCCGGGGGGAGGCGGGGGTGGTTGAGCCAAAAACCTCAAATCCCAAATCCACCCACCAGGACCCCCCAAGTGGTTTAGGGTTTAGAGTTTAGGGGTTCAGGGTTTCGGGGTTTAGGGGTTTAGGGTTTAGAGCTTAGGCTTCATGAGTTGCCAGGACCCCCCCAAGCACCAAGTGCCCCTTAATGGAACCCTTCTGGCCTTTAATTTAATAGTGGGTAGTTAGGGTATATCAGAGGGTAGTTGGGGGGTCGAGGCTAACTTTCAGGTTTTGTTGTACGCGTGGAGTTTATAACCCCGTAACATGTGTATACAGCCGCTTAACCGGGAGGGTTTGGGATCCACACTTTTGCATAAGGGTAGCAGACACCAATGCTGCGGAGTTTCCTATCAAAATCAACTGTCCCTGGGATAGCAAAATGCATGATATTGCTGACTGGAAACTTATCTACCGGCAACTCCCGACACCCAGGACCCTAAATCAGGACCCGAAACTCTAATCTAAACCCCAAACTCTCGACCCTATCTATGTATATATATATATACTAAAACACCTACAAGCAGACCCTGAACCCTGAACCTATGCTCCCCGAGAGTTAGGATGAACTCTAATATAGGGGCATTAATAATTAGAGTAGGGTTTCGGGGCCCAGTATTCTATAATCATAATACGGAACCCCCAAGAATAGTATAGGTAATTGTTAAGGCACCTATACTGTATTACAAGCCGACCCTCTCGTCCGCACCCAAACCCGGGCTGTTCTTGGAGGGAGTTTGAACAACTCCGAACTCTGGCAAGCAGATCGGGCATAATGCCCCACACATGGAGTTCTTTGATTCTTTGCTCCACTTGTATTTATTGGGCATACGGACGAAAGAAACAAAGTGCAGAGTTGTTCATGCACAGGTCTATTGAGGCCTAAAACCACAGACCCTGAACCCCGAACGCGAAACCCTGATCCAAAGCACTGTAAAATGCTCGGAAAACCCCAGTAGTATGCTTACCGAGCCGTAGCTTACAGCCCCCGACATAACCGTTACAGAACTCTAAACCCTAAACTCTGAACCCTAATCCCTACACCCGAATATGAAAGAGCCCGAATCCCAATGCCTTCCCATTGAACTTCGTTGTGTAAGCGAAGCCTCAGCTGGAATCAACTGGAGGGCGGTTTGCCCTCAAGGTCCGCGTAACATACCCTAAGGCTCTAAGAACTCATGTTTTAAGGCTTTTGGGCCTGAGGATCCTAGTATAGAAGGCTTTTGGGCCATTTTGAGCCTTGGGGATAGGAGCCTTGGTAAATAATCAGAAGAGGGCTTTAGAGCCCATTGTAGTATCATTCCAACAAGCCTATAAAAAAAACGATGCTAATTGTTCTGACCGCTTTGGGTGCACAGACTGGTTGGGCTGGGCAGAGATTTCGGGTCCTGGGTGAGGGACTCGGAAAGGGCCTCAATTTTACGGTTTCAACAGGTTGCGTAAGTTGGGTACTGCCCCCATACAGTAACAGTCTATAATAGGGCTACTATTAAGGGCCTAATATATCTATACTATGAATATTATCCAACTGTTACTGAGTGGGTGCAGTACCCAATGCCTAAGGGCTGAAGTTTAGGGTTTAGAGCTCAGGTGTACAGTCATTTACTGCTCGAAGGCTCCAGGAAGCTTCGGGCCGCTCGACGGCATTGCTCAACAGCATTCTTGAAGGCTCATGGGAGTTTTGTGATAAGTGGGGTCCCTTTAGAGGGATCTACAGGGAATCTATAAGGGTACAAGATTTAGGGTTTACTTGAAGGTTCATGGGTAGTTATAAGTGGGGTTATAAGCCCCCTAGTATGGGTTATAACTATAGTTACCTTACTTATAACCCCACTTATAACTCCCCATGAACCTCCAAGTTCGATCGTTGTGTGAGGAAGCAGTGAGCTTTTGCGGTTTCGGGCCCACAATCCCTTAACCCTGAACCCTAAATCTGCGAACGAGGTTCGGTCCTCCAAATGTGCCTGGCCTGAGAGGCGAAGCGTTGAGGGTTCCTTTAAAGGGCTCCCTGAGCGGGCTTTTAAGTAACCGAGGAGAAAAGTATAAACTTTTATTTCATAATTGTTCCTTTAAGAAAAAGTATTTAAAGTATGGTACTTCAAAGCCCAGTTAAAGGGTTCCCTTAAAGGGTTCCTTAAAGGCTTCCCTCAAAGGGTTCTATGAAGACACTCAAGGGCGTTCAAGGCTTCTTTTCTAGGAAGTTCGCGGGGTCTAGGGTCTTAGAGTTTAAAATTATGGGGGCTTTAGGGTATTTAAAACTTGGGTTGAGGGGTTAGCTGTTAGCTGATGTTTAATCGGTGGTGGAAGCAAAGAAGACTTCGAAAGCAGGTTCTAGCCGCGGTCACAACCCCCTGGGGATCTAAGGACCCATATATTAAGGCTTCTGGGCCCAAAGACCATACTTTATAAGACTTTTGGGCTATGTTGATCCGTAGGGAGCGGATACCAGTGCCCGAATTCGAGGGACGTCCCGATGTAACCCTTGTAGGGTTCCTTGACGGCTTCGTTTAGTGTCTTATCCTTAAGGACGACATGAACCCTAAAAGGGCTTAAGGTTCATATACCATTATAGGAATTCATAGTATATGGGTATAGGGCCCCTACTTTTAAGGGTCATTTGGTCCTTCAGGATAATGTTTCTATCAGGGTTCCTTTGCGGGCGCTGTAAGGGTTCCCTTATGGTTTCCTTATTTATGGAGAGCTCACTGCTTTCGGCGCCCTGTTTAACACCCAGAGCATGAGTGGACAGCCGAGCCTTGATCCAGCTGTCGCAAGACCTGCTCCTCCTGAGATTCAGGTTAGGAACACAGCTTGTAGGAGCTAGGACCCTTAATATTGGGGCCTTAATAATTAGAATATGGTTTTGGGGCCCATTATACTGTAACTATACATAACAAGGGACCCCCCCAAAATAGTACATGTAATTGTTAAGGCCCCTGTATTAAACTCCCGAAACCCCGAGCGAAGCGGATTTCGAGTTCTACTGGCCTCGTAAGTAGACAGTCTATCATTCTGTGGCTTGTCTTAACTTACCTTTGGTTAGTAGGGAATGGAAGAAAGGTAGTAATAGTAGTTATAGTTGTACCCCATTCCTCCATTCCCTACTAACCAACGGTAAGTTAAACAAGAAATCCAGCTTAATTATGAAGGGATCTGTCGGATGAGTGCAAAGAGCCGTAGAGGGTTTACATAGGGTTTAGGGTTCCTGCTTAGAGGGTACCGGTGCCCTAGGAAGGGCCACAAACCCAGAGCCTCCAAAACCCCATCATTAAGGAATTTTCCTTAAATTATAGAAGGATCCCCAATATGATTTAAGGTATATTCAGTAATTACAGTAGAAGCCAGAAAGTTGGAATATGATTCTCCTAAGCCCTTCATGGTAAATTATAAGGTATCCTACCCCGAAACCATATTCCAACTTTCTGGAGTTCCCTGTAAGGGGTTTTGGAGTCTCTGGGCTTAAGGGTCCTTGTTGTCCAGCACATCCTTGTGGAAGTCGGTGCCCCAGCAGAGCCTGCAGGGTCTGAACAAGGCACCCTTCAAAGGGGAAAAGGAGGACCCTTAGGCTCTTAGGGTTCCTTTAAAGGGATCTATAAGGCTCCCTTAAAAAGGGATCTACAGGGTTTAGGGTTAAGGGTTTAGTTTAAACAAAGGGGAAAAGGAGGGACCCTTAATGGGGACCCCTACCCTATAATGGGCTATATAATGGGTATACAATAGCTATATTGAGGGTATATACCTGGGGTCCTTATTAAGGGTCCCTCCTTTTACCATTGGAACCCTACCTCAAGCGACCCATGTACCGGCGCTATCCTTTAATAGAGGTCTTATTAGTGGTTACTTACTTAATTAGGCATTAGGGTTCAGTTGTGGGGTGCTTAAGTCTTATTAGTGGTTACTTACTTAGGCTCTAGTTAGGGTTCAGTTGTGGGGTGGTTGAAGGGGTTTAGGGTTTCGGGTGCAGGGTTCATGGACCCAAAACAAACGGGTTCTAGCAATGACACGTAGAGTGGCCGAGGTACCTTAACGCAAGTGCCTAGGTGCAGCCTGACACCTGAACAAGGACTCACGGTGAAGTCCTAGACCATACCATCCAAGCCTCTGTGTGCTGAGAACCTCAACAACTGTCTGGTTCTTTTTAGGGAATTGGGGAATGGATGCCTATGGTAGCCCCTGTATAATCCCCAGTACAAGTCCCCAATGTCCATTCCCCCACTCACTACTAAGCACCAGGGAGACAAAGGCAACTTTTCTTGATCTACGGATGAGAAGAGTACAGTCGTGGTCGTGCGAAACCCTCAACCCTCAACCCTAAGCCCCATACCTTTACGTATAATCCATATTGTTGGGGACTTATACCCCCACTTATAACCCAAAGGGTCCGAAGTACCGATATAGTAGAATGTAGGGTTTCTATATTCGGAATTACTGTTATGAGTTTGGGAAGTATTCCCCATAACAGTACATAGGACCCTTTGGGTAACTACCCATGAACCTCCAAGTATTGTAGAAGAGCTGATCCCAATTCCAATCCCCGGCCTGTTGTTCCAAATGAAACGCACCATTCCGAACCTGGTAGGGTTTAGGGTTTAGGGGTTGGGGATTTAGGGGTTTAGGATTTAGGGGTTTAGGGTTTAGGGGTTTAGGGTTTTAGAGTTGTCTTGATTGTGCTTGTGTGTCTGGCTTTTGGCTATTGGGTGTGCTGCTTCGGGTGTGTAGGCGGTTTAGGTTTAGGTTTAGATTTGGGTGTTTAAGGCTTTCGGGGTTTAGTGTTTAAGCCACGGTAGAAGCAGCCATCACCTTAGCATGTGTAGAGAGCTGTATACCGGCAAGTGGGACTAGTACAGCAAGGCCAGAAAAGTATATGCGCAGTGGTCTTTGGCTCTACCTCGAAATACTAGTTTAAAACACAATTAACATAGCCATGGATCTTGGCAGCACTATTTTCACCATAATATCAAGCTGTAATCGCATGCTTCAAAGAGAAGCTGTGAAATGCGGGTGTTGATAGAAGGCGTGTCCCAATGGCTTTTGGAAAAACTTCAGCCCCGCTTAGAACCGTAATAAACAAAAAATGTGTTTAAATATTCTCTTTGGTGCTGTACGAACAAAAACAAAAACAAATCCTCAGGAGACTATAGAAAAATATTGAGACAAAAGCCAGGTCAGGGTAACCAAAAGCAGAAGGAGTACTAGCAAAGGAAGAATCCTATGTATGCCTCCTTGAGCTGTGAGGGCTCCGGCTAAAGTGCTAACCTGACAAAGTGATTCTGTGAATTCTTACAAGAAGCTCCCTAAACCATCAGAAAGGCAACATGCTCAAGAATATAAGAGGTCTACATATCATAGTAAATCGAGGATGATTCCTCAGGAAAGCGGTGCTTTACCCCTCTAACGGTTGTCGTCCCTCCGAATCCCGGATTCTGACACAAACCGAAATTGCAGAAAATCCTAGCGACCCTGAGCCCTAAATCTTGATGCAACTCTCTGGTTAAAGCTACCATAGTGGCAGGTTTAAGAAGTGCTGAAAACCCGACTGCCTGATAAGACCCCTTAGAGCAACATCCCAAACTGCCCAACGGCCCCAACACCGTAAGAGATAGGCTTCAACTCTGAGACCATAGCCTCTACTTCCTATTCTCGAACCCCGACGCCCTGCAATATGGGTGGTTGTCAAAATTAAGGTCCCTTCTTGGGTCCCTATTATAATGCGGCACCTATTATTTAGGGTACCCAAACAAGAGACCTTAATTTTGACAAACACCCATATAAGCCCAACCCTAAGTCTCGAAACCTGAGATTCGAGACCTGAAAGCCTTGGAACAAAACCCATCCGAAATCCAAAAAAGCGTGTCTGGGCTTTTAAGTAACCAGGGAGAAAAAGTATAAACTTCTATTTCATAATGGTTCCATAAAGAAAAAAGTCTTAAAGTATGGTACTCCAAAGCCCAGGTGTACAATAATACAGCTGAAGAAGGCTGACTCAAACCCAACAAAAAGATGCAACCCTGGAAACGCCAGACAACCACAAGATGAGCAAGTCTGTAAGACACCGAAGATAAGCCAATGTTAAATTGAAAGTGTAATCGCTGTGAAGCCCACAAAACCCAAAACCCTACGACCTGAGCCCTAAACCCTCGAACACAAAACCCTCGAACCCAAGCCCTGAACCCTTCAAACAAAAGCCCTTGAAAGAACACCTCAACGCCATCAGAACCACAATCAAAAACTAGTTCCAATAATCGTCTGGAGTTGTAATATACTAGACCTACATGCAAAGTAAGTTCTAAGAGCACTACAGAAAACGGGCCAAGTCGCTTCGCGAGCTCGTCTGCGGTCTCTTGCGACTCTTCGGAGATCCCGGAGAGCGCCGACAGGGACATGGTCTCGGTTTAGGGTTTAAGGTTTAGGGTTGCGGGCTTAGGTGCTCCTTTAAAGAGATCCACAGGGGTTCTAAGAGCGTTTTGGGGTTTAGTTATAGTTCTTGAAGTATTTATTGAATTTAAGGCTTACGGGTTTAGGGTTTGCTGTGAAGTGGCTTGTTCCTTCTATCTCTTAATTACCCAAGACAGGGCAGGGCAGGGAGGGGCAGGGAGAGGGCAGCAGGGCAGGGAGGACGCACCCAGAATCGATAGGCGGCCTCTACCTTCCGTGCATGGGTGTAGTGTAGGCTTTAGGGTGTGGGCTTTAGGGTTCAGGTCCTAGTTTGGGCTTTGGGGTGTAGGGGTTTCGGGATTAGGTCGTAGAAGGCCGAGCAGAACCGCTGCGCAGGTGGAATGCTGGCGGTTTGCCACCGAGGCGCAGCCTCCAAGACAACATCCCACGGATCCCCCCGAAGCCGAACCCTTCATGTTCCGAACACCTCAACCCCTGAACCCCCTAACACCCTCAACCCTAAACACCCTAAACCCTAAACCCTAAACCCCTAAACCCCCAACACCCTAAACTCCCAAACCCTTAAAACCCTAAACCCTAAACCCCAAACTCCGAACCCCTCAACCCCTGAACCGCCAACACCCAAACCCTGATCCATAAACCCCTAAACACGCTAAACCCTAAACACCCTAAACCCCTAACACCCTAAACCCTACAGTAGAAGCCATAAAGTTGGAACATCATTCTCCTCATACCTTCAAGGTCCCTAAATAGTAGGATCCTTAAGGTAACCCCTTTAGGGAGGTACCCTTTAAGGAGCCCGAACACCTAAACCCTAATCCTAAGTCTCCCAAGGCGAGGCGCCCCTCGCGACTTCCGAGATTCTTTGAAGGCTGCGCGGCGGCCTTTCTCAGGCTGCGGTTTAGGGATTGTTTTTCTACTATTTGCTTAAGAAACCACCAAAAAATAAGAATAATAATCCGTATATTACCCCCATAAGGAATATATTGTTTATTTTTTGGTGGTTCTTAAGCAAATAGTAGTTTTAAGGGTCCAAAGGAACCAATAATTAGGTACTCGGTTTTGGGATAGTAGTTGTGTAGGTTAGGATTTTGGTGAGTATATGATTATTAGGTACTTAGACGCTTGGGGTTTGGGGCTACTTGGAGGTTCATGGGTAGTTATAAGTAGGGTTATAATAGTGATAACCCATATTAGGGGATTTATAACCTCACTTAAAACCTCCCCAGTAGGGATTATGGGGTTTGTGAACATGTTTGTTGTAGAGGGCTATAGTTCAGGGTGTAGGGTTCAGGATAGGGGCTGTTGTAGCATTTGCTGGGTCCGTTTGGTGTAGTTAGTCTCGGGTTGATACTTGATTGTTGAAAAGTGCAGGGCTAGGCATTGCTTGGGGTTTACGGCTTGAATCATAAGGGCTCCACGTTAAATCCATGCCGAAACTGCAGTTGTAACATATACAACCAACGACAATTGGAGTCACTTGCATAGACCTTAAACACCAACTCCCTAAATCCTAAACCCAACACCCTCAACCTTAAACCCTAAACCCTGTATACCCGAAGAGCCCATCTCATGAACACTGCAGGGTCGTTCAGAAACAGGCAGGGGAGTTGGGCGAAGTTGCAGGGTAAATGTATTAGGGACTATATAGGCGCATCTATGGTAAACCCACGTTCGTGCTGGGTAGGGGGCTATTTTGGACTTTCTAACATAGTCTACCTACCTATCCATCTATCTACGTAACTATCTAGCTAGCTGTCTATGTATCTACGTATCTATCTCTACAAACTCCACGCCGGGCAGTTTAAAGCCCACAGGTACGTGATGCAAGCGACACGAAAGAGCAAAGCACCCGGAAGAAAGGGATGGGAGACCCCTACTTGTTCATGGGGTAGTTGTAAGGGTTCCTTTAAGAGCCCCTTTAAAGGGACCTATAGGGGTTCTATACTAAGGGTATAGGGTTTAGGGCCGTTTAGGGGCTACTTGGAGGTTCATGTGTAGTTAGAACTGGAGTGATAAGTCCCCTACTATGGGTTATAGCTACAGTTACCTTACTTATAACCCCACAAATAACTACCCATGAACCTCCAAGTAGACCCTGAACCCTATACCCTTATAGATTCCCTATAGATCCCTGTAAAGGGACCCTTAAAGGAACCCTTATAACCCTAAACCCTAAGCACCCAACCCTCTGAAAAGGACCCAAGACCCGGTATACGACAGAAAACTGTCCTAGCAAACCCTAAAACCTAAACCCGACGGAGCCGTCAGTCCCACTTTGGGGTGCCCTTACGGGTGGTTGTCAAAATTGTGATCCTTTTTTACCCTACAAATTAGGTAACGTATTATAATAAGGACCCCAAAAGGGGCCCTAATTTTGACAACCACCCTTATAGCAACCTGAAAGTAACCGTCACAGTAAAACTCTTAGTACCCTCAAAGGAGCCTTTCTCCACATCATGAGCCAACAACTGTAATATATTGGTAACAACCCTCATAGTACCTTAGCGCCTGAAACCCTAAACCCTAAAATCCCGGCCTTTCTCCACATCGTGGGCAGAACCCTCATAGGAACCTCATCGTGACCTTACAGTAGCCCTCGCAGGAACCTGCCTTAACGGTGGCCCTTTCTCCACGTCGTGGGCCAATCACTATAATGAATTGGTAAGAACACGTTATTACCCTCGTAGTAACTTAACCTACCCAGAGCCTCCAAAACCCCTTAATTAAGGAATATACCTTAAATTTTTATAGGATCCCTTATATGATTTAAGGTATATTCCTTAATTACGGGATTTTGGAAGGTCTGGGTAACTCCAAGCCCTAAACCTGAAGCCCTGAGCATCAACAAATCCGGCCTTGCTCTACATCCTGGGCCAGGAGCGACTCCTGGGCTTTTAAGTAACCAGGGAGAAAAAAGTATAAACTTCCATTTCATAAGCTCGGATACCCGGTAACCTAAGAAGAAAAAGGCCTCTCTTTTTGGTATTGGGTAACTTTATAAGGAACCTAGGACTACAAAAGGGAATAAGGGTACTACTGGGCATCCTAGTAAGGGTTCCTTTAAGAAAAAAGTATTAAAGTATGGTACTCCAAAGCCCAGACTCCTTATCGGTGCCCATGTTCGACGACGCGGCCATGCTCGCGGCGATGCCCGAGACTTCCCACGGTATGGCTTAAGGTTTTTAAGGGTCCCTACTGGCTTGAAGGATTTTTGGGTTGAGGGGTTTAAGAACCCTAAACTCCAAAACCATACGGAACTCTTTCGTCTGAACTGAAAGAACGTCAGAGCAAAGTTGGTACTACTATCTCTGAAAACAATCTGCCTGCAAAAGCCATGGTGCGGGCTGGTTCCTGTCAGGTGTGACTCATGACGGTAGGGCTTGGTAGTTGAAACCCCCACGTGGAGCGTGCCCAGGGAGGAGGGGCTACTTGGGGCAGCACTGTAGTCTGAAGCTGAAATGCTGCAAACAAACATGCAGTCTTTCGGATCCATTTTCGGGCACCTGTGGCCGGAAAAACCTACCTTTTCAGTGTAGACTAGAAAACTGACTAGGCTAACTAGGGCAGACGGGGAATATTCCTAAGCACTGTTCAGTCACAGATATTCTGCATTGTAGCAGAGTGTTGGGGTTTCGGCTTCCCAAAGGGTCCAAAGTACTGTTATGGGGGATACTTCCCCAAATCATAATAGTAATTCCTAATATAGAAACCCTACATTCTACTATAAAGGTACTTTGGACCCTTTGGGCTTGAGGTGTTGAACTTGAGGCTTTCGAGTGACTAGGGCTAAAGGTTTAGGGGTTTAGGGTTTAGGGTTTAGGGTTTAGGGTTTAGGGTAGCATCCGTATACAGCAACATGCAGTCACTGTAAAGGGAACTCCAGAAAGTTGGAATATGGTTTCAGGGTAGGATACCTTCTAATTTACCATAAAGGGTTTATGATAATCATATTCCAACTTTCTGGCTTTTACTGTAAGGGACTGGTGGCTTAGACCTCTGACCCATGACCGATACCTTCTCCCGCACGCCGAAGAAGTACAAAACATGAGATTCAGAACCGGCGAGCGTAGTGCCGGAGACTTGGACTTTGGGTCTTCAGGTGTACGTGGACCGTGAATAACCTACCCTTTTTAAGGTCATGCATAAGGAGATCATAATGGGGAGCCCTAAAACAGGTAGATTCTTCAAGGTCGATTCTTTTTAGGCCTTCAGATTTCGGGCTTACGGTAGAAAGCCTACTGAAAGGATCATGGGACTCAGTAACTGGGGTTATAAGTAAGGCAACTATACTTATAGCCCCAATTAAGGTACTTATAACCTTACTTACTAAGTCCCATGATCCTCTAAGTAAGGCTCAGGGTTTACGATTTAGGGTTGACTTGAAGATTCATGGTCTGGGGTCCATCTGCTGCCCTGCCTACCTTGAGCTACCAGAACCTGCTTCTTCGTAGGGCCCTATGAAAGCCATATTCGGGTGTATAGTAGGAACCTACAGAAGGCATAGCTTGCATTGTAGTTGCCTGTTTTGATTAGCCAGCTTTATGGCTAGGATCCTACAGTATGAAGAAAGGTTGGCCAAGAAAAGGAACTACTATGGAGACTACATGGGTAAGCCACAAAGCTCCACACCCCACACCCCAGCCCCACATCACAGCCGTCGCCACCTGCAGGTTCGGGCTTCGTCCTCAAGTGGCGGTTTGAGGCTTGGGGGTGTACTTTAGGAGCCGTAATGTTTAAAGTAAGGCTTTGGGTTTTACTTTTCTAGTATAGCTATAACAAGTAACCTTGGGACGGAGTGCATTTACTATCGTTTAAGCCTGCCTCTCAGCAAGGTGCGGATTTAACGGCCAGTTCTCTTCAAAACGGGTGTTATTCTTCTTTGACGTTAGGGCTATTGCACAGCATTACGTCCTATGTGGTAACTCAATCTCGCGATTTGCTGACTGATCCCTTCTGAACCGCAAGCCCAGAAGCACCATAAACCCTAACCAAACCCTACACTTTAGCCCTCAGATTGCGCATGGTCCAGTTTTTTTGGCTGGGTGATTTAGAAGTTGTTTCAGGAGTTTACCTTACATCACAGTGGAATCCACAAGGCCTCTACATTACCTACAGCAAAAATCGTAAGCCTGCAAACTCCTGCAACTCGAGGCGACTTCGAAACAATCGCTTCTCATCGTATCCTTATGCTGTGGATCAACAACCCCTTTCTCCAAGGGCTTTGTCTCTCGGATCCCTACTATGATCCTCCTTGACGCCAAAGGTAGCCTCGTGATAACCAGCCTGTTACATTCTCAGTTTCCATATGCCGGAAACATTCCCCCTGGCGTTGCAACAGAAAGCTTTTACCTTCTCGATGCCTAAAAGAAGACAACCTAGGCTCTCAACAGTGCAGAGCCATGCAGACACCAAATACAGATATATTGGGGCCTCAACAATTAGAATAAGGTTTTGGGGCCCATTACACTGTTATGTTAAGGAACACCCAAAATAGTATAGGTAACTACGAGTATTAAGGCCCCTATATTGAAATTGCAAAAAGCTTGAAGCTCAAGCTGCAATCCTGAACCTGAATCGCGCAAAGGTCCTATGCAGAATTCCTCAACCACTAAGCTCTAAACCCCTAAGCCCCTGAGCCCTGAACTCCTAAACCCATAAGCCCCAAAACTCTGACCCCCTAAACCCAGAAGCCGTGAACCCCTAATTAAACCCATAAGCCCCAAACTCTCCGCCCTAAAGACATAAAGCCTAAACTCCAAAACCCACAAGCCTTAGACCCCTAAAGAACTCCTTCGTGAAGTTTTCAAAATCATTTCGCGGAACCCTAACTCCTCCCCCGCCCCCCCGCTTCCAACGGCTGAGCCCAACTCTCTCTGCTTCGACGTTGTGGGGCTAGACGTCGGCGCGGAACTGAAACCGCAACGGCCTCAAAGCGCTTAGAGGGTTAGGGCCGGTTAGGGTGTAGGGTTTGGGATTTAGGGTCCCGGGTTAGGGTTCAAGTTGACGGCCGAAGTAAACACTACATGGGTAGCTAGGGTCCCTTTTGCGGTCCTTCTTTATAAGGTGCGCACTAGCTTAGGAACCTAAAATTTCAAACTACCCATATAGGTACCATGGACCGTAGGTTTAAGGTCGAGATTGAAGGCTGTATCTTGTCATGCTGCTGCAGTTTAGGGCTCAGGGGCTTCGAATTCATATGGTCAGCCATCGCTAAAAAGCTAGGTATCTGAGTGTGAGCAGCCCCTCTATAACAATACCATTCTTCTACTTTGCAGTTTTCACAAGGGGACCCCAAAATGCAAATGACAAAAAGGACACTAACAGCAGGAAATAGAAGTCGCATAGGCCACGTTGTGCAAGTCCCCAGACCCTGAAGCCAAAACACGACAGAACCAACAAACTCGTCAAACCCTAACTAGGATACCCGGTAACCTAAGAATAAAAAGGCCTCTCTTTTTGGTATTGGGTAACTTTATAAGGAACCTAGTACTACAAAAAGGGAATAAGGGTACTACTGGGCATCCTAGCTAAAGCCTAAACCGGTAAACATCAAACGACAAGGTTCAAACTTGGCAGCGTGCACGCCGCCAGCTTGGAGAGAAAGCTACGCAAAATTTCGCACGGCTAGGACTCAGCCGCGGGTTGAGGCTGAGCTTTTGTTTAACCCTGGAAGGTGTAGCAGTGAGGTCAGGTGAGCTCCATGTCATGTGACTGCAGTGCTCGCAAAGAACATAATTAGTTGATCCGAACAAACCCTAAACGCTGATCCCCAACATGCAACAACAACCAAAAGAAACCGTAGAGGCAGCAGCCAACAAGAGCTCTTTTGGTAGCCTCTTTTCATGAAACACCAGTTTCTGAACCAAGCCCGAAAACCCTAAACCCAAGACCCTGTTATTCATTACTATTCATTACCACTATGGGCTATTCGACCCTAAAGATCCCTATTAGGACCCTATTAAGGGTAGATTAAGGTACCCATAAGGTCTAATAGCCCATAGTGGTAAGCTAACATGTCATCTGCATGCCGCAGCCTTCACTGCCCCACTTTGAAGGAGCTGCCCCTTGCCAGATTTTGGTGGTTTTGTAGGGTTTTAACCCGGGATAAACTACGTTTTTGGAGTTCCTTATCATGATTTCCTTATATAAGTCCTTGAATAGATAGGCTCTTTGGGGTCAAGGTCAGGCTTTGTTTTCAGCGTTGGGCAAATTGAGAATGATTTCAGAGGAGGGTTTGCATGGTCTTCAGAAGGTGCCGTCAAGAATGGAGTCGGGTTCCGTCACTGGGTCCTTTAAAGGTTCTCTGCGACGTAAACCCTCAACCCTAAACCCTGAAACCCTAAACCTTACTATAGGAGGGTTGGCGTCGGTCTTGAAGTAGCAGGATGTGGGAGTCTCCGAAATGAGGGGTACCTGATTTGGGGATTTAAAAGGTATTTGGGGATCTATAGGGTTCTACAATAATGTAGGATGAAGAAACCTTGGGCCCGTATTAGGGTTCCTTGACAGGGCTCTATAAGAGTTACTACAAGGGATCTATAAGGGTGCTATAATAATGTAGGATGAAGAAACCCTGGGCCTTTATTAGGGTTCCCAATATTGAAGCCTACTATTTTGGGGTTATCGGCCCAGTGTTTCTTAATCAGGTTCCTAGATTACTGTAGACCCTAAAACCCTTATAGATCCCTTATAGATCCCCTTAAGGATCCCTTATAGAGCCCTTTATAGGAACCCTAATAAAAGGTTCCTATACATTACACCGGGAAGCCTTTTGCTGCCACAGTTGAGTCCGACGCTTGTGGGTTGCCTCACTGAGCCAGGGGGTGCGAGTTGCGGCCCATCCACAAGGCAGGGATCTTGAAGATATACCCAGAGCCTCCAAAACCCCTTAATTAAGGAATATACCTTAAATCATATAAGGGATCCTATTATAATTTAAGGTATATTCCTTAATTAAGGGGTTTTGGAGGCTCTGGGTACTCGATGCCTCAGCGTGCCCTTCGTGGGCCGCGATCTGGAAGTGTAGCGGTCGATGCGCTGTGACGCCTCGTCATACAAACCCACAACAAACCTTAAGGACGAAATGAACCCTAAAAGGGTTTAAGGTTCATTAACCATTATAGGAATTCATAGTATATGTATGGGTATAGGGCCCCTACTTTTAAGGGTCATGTGGTCCTTCAGGAATGGGGTACCCTCGCGTTTTGAATCACAGGAGCTTCGGGCATCGGCTAGCGATGTCTATCGCTCGTCGCCACTGGGCAAGAAGCGCCCTTCCTTCGTTCCCGAGCATCCAGCCCCTGAATGCTAGGAGTCTGCTAGGCCTCTAGACCGAACCGGCAGACCATGATGGCCAACAGGGGGGGTTAAGATTCTTGGGATAGGGATTCCTTAATATATGAACCCTATTATGGGAACCCCCATAGCCCCATAGGCTAAAACACCTTTTGGCCTCCTATGATTATAGTAGCCCTTATAGACCCCTTTGAAGGAATCCTCCAAAATAGTATTGGCAATTACTTAGGCCCCGATACTCAATCCTTATGATGGCCTCCTACCTTAAGGACGAAATGAACCCTAAAAGGGTTTAAGGTTCATTAACCATTATAGGAATTCATAGTATATGGGTATAGGGCCCCTACTTTTAAGGGTCATTTGGTCCTTCAGGTATGAGACCATCCGCAGGTACCACATCCGCATTCGGCTCGGCGAGCGGCCACTGAAGCCGCAAATCCCCAAACTTCCTGACCCAAAGGGTCCTTATGTAGGGTATAGTAGGGTAGCTATGCTTATAAATGGGAGTTTCCGAAAGTAGGGGTACCTTATTTTGGGGTCCTTACAATAAAGATCCTACTGTTCCCCAAAGGGTCCAAAGTACTGTTACGGGGGACACTTCCCCAAATCATATTAGTAATTCCAAGTATAGAAACCCTACAACTTACTATAAAGGTACTTTGGACCCTATGGGTGAACCTCTACACCTAGGCCCCAAAAGTAGATAATACTCTATTTATGAACCCCAAACAGGAACTACTATGGGGCCTATGGGTAAACCTATAAACCCCTAAAGTCCTAAACCCCTGATCCTGTTTCCTTATCCCGTAAACTCCTTAACCCCTAAACTCCTACACCCGCTAAACCCAAAACTCCATCACCCCAACCCCTGCAACGACCGTGTTATTGTTCAGGGGTTAGGTTTGGGCTTGGGGCTTGGGGTTTAAGGTGTAAGGCTTAGGGCTTATGGGGTCTAGGGTCTAGGGTTTATAGGGTCTGGATTCAGGGTTCAGGGTTTCGCTTCAGGGCCGTGGTTTAGGCGCTTTCAGGGTTCAGGGTTTAGGTTTTGGGTTTCGGGTCCTTGGTTTATTGGCGAAGGGTTTGGGATTTAGCCCTGAAGAATCTCCAGATCTGCATCACCCTACTCAAGTCTTAACTGACCAGGAGACTTATCAAAAAAACCGTTTTCGAATCCCAAGGAGACTACCTACAAGTCTCATCAAAGCTCACGCAACCGCCACCACGCAACGTTGTTAAGCTTTAGGCACATCCGTGGCTCTTTAGCTCTCAGAATGTGTCTAGTTTCAGCTGGATACTCTGCGTCCATCGCAAAGGCCTAGTGTCCTACATCCGATCGCCCCATCCCGTACGAATGTACCCAACCTCCGGCAGAAGCGTCAAGTTCCGCCCGACGTCAAGGGCCTCTTCTTTGGCTGCCGCCTTGACAATTCCGGGGTTTTAGCCGTACGGGTACTGTAAAGAAGCAGCAATTCTGCAATTGGGTATAAGACAATAGTAATGTAGGGTGGTTATTGAGGAAGTAGGTGTCTACTGTACTTGGACACTTAAGACACGAACCAGAGGGATCAAATGTAACGGTCGAGCATCGGGAGGTGACCTATGTAGGCTTGCAAGGACATAACGGTTTGGCGACAGGGACCTGGCCCCGTGATGCTTTTCCCCCCTATGTAGGGTTTTAGGCAAGTTTTACAGCTTAGTCAGGACAATCTACCAACAACAAAGGAGCCTCATTTAATGTAAGTAGGTCCGCTCTTCCAGATAATTTCTGCAGAACTTATGTACACCAACCCTATCTCTACCAGTTGAGCCACCCATTAAACCCAACACGCTGCTTCTGCCACTCTTGCACTTAGTCTAGACACTCTGTGCCAAGCGACACGACAAACCCGCCGTCAATACCCCAGCCTGTCTATGCACTGGGGCTAATGCTCAGCGCTATGCTGCTTGTACAGGTATGGTGGCTGTGTGCACCTGTACTTGGGGTATAAGTACTCGCAGTAGCGACAGCCATACAGCCATTGAGTTTCATACACACAAGAGCAGGTATTGAAACATGAGCAAATGCTTGGATGTGTTTATATAATTTATATGTATATATATATATATATAACTACGTACATGTATAAGTACATGTACATGAATATGTAAATGTGTATGTCTACATAGACACAGGTGCATACATATATGAACATGCACACACTCTCTGTGTGTGTATGCATATACCGAACTCGTCGAATCTTCCGGAAGTTTTCCCTAGTCTACTTAGATACAACCACCCATGCGCCTGCAACTATTCCGAAAGCACTACTCGTGCTGACCGGCTGACACTCACCCGCGCAGCACCTGGTGTCACAACGGCGTGCGGTCACCACACGACAGAAGAAGAGCAGCACGAGCGAGTGCAAGACCCGGATCCACATCTTGGCTTCCACGAGCCTCCCTGGGATCGCGCAACGGCATAACACCCGATACAAACTTCATTCCAGGCTCAGGCAAACGCTGGGTGCCAAAGTCACAGCAGCACCAATGACAAAAGTGCTCGAAAGCAGAAGCACTCAAAGCAGCAAAGGAAGCGGCAGGATTTCAATCTGTCCCAGAACCATGTGAATATTAGCTGAATCCTCAAAACCCAAATAAGCCCACGGTAATGGTAACCCTTCTCATGTCAAACGTGATGAGGAAACATACAATACTATAAGTCAACTTCCGATAAACAGCCCTTAGCCCAGAACTCTATACAACCTTTAAACATAAACCTGTAAAGCTCCACAAAACGTCCCACTAAGCCCTACGCGCGAACAAATCCCACGGAAATCCTACAGCCCAAACTTTTAAATCCAAAACCCCAGCAAAGCGTGCCTTACGGTACCCTGAAAGAACCCCTCAATTTAGGTACGCTGTAGAAGGAAACCCTAAGCCCTAAGCAATCCCAAAGCCTTCATCCTAAGCCCCTAAACCCCAAACCCTAAACGCCTAAACCCCTTAATCCTGAACCCCTGAAACCCCTAAAACCCTAAACCCTGTAGATCCCTCAAAGGAACCCTTAAAGGACTTAGGGGTATATCCCTAAAACCCGAAAAACCCGGCCTCATACGCTTCCTCGTCGAGAACAGCGAAGAGAACAAGTCGAGGCTCCTGGACCGGAGGACTTACAAATCCCCAACGGTTTAGGGTTTAGGGTTTGGGGGTTTTGGGTTTAGGGTTTAGGGTTTGGGGTTTAGGGTTTGGGGTTTAGGGTTTGGGGGTTAGGGTTTGGGGGTTTAGGGGTTTTGGGTGTTTAGAGTCCATAGTATATATACTAGCCCAGTTTTTTGTGTGGTCCCTATGAATTTTTGTATTAGGGTTGAAGATAAGAACCTACAAAATAAGTAGGGTTTGGTAGTTTAAGGCACAAATGTTTAGCCGGGGCCTAAACAATGAGAGCAGAGTTTAGCGTATATTAGAGTACAGTTATAGTAGGCGCTTTTCCGGATTCTTCAGAGCCGTGTATTGGGTCAGTGGGCTCTTGGGTCTAGGGGTGCGCTTTGAAAGATTTCCGGCGTCAGGGCTTGAGGTGTAGTGTAGGGCTCGCTCGGTACTGCATACGCATGGGCGCAGACCTCATGTAAGCCCAAGTGTCCAAAAGACCCCCTAATTAGGTACTCGGTTTTACGACAGTAGTTATGTAGGTTAGGATTTCGGATATGATTATTAGGTACTTGGACCCTTGGGGCAAGCTCACAAAATGACGCCCGCTGAACCCTGACCTCAAGCCCCGTGAATCCTGAAAGGCCCCAGCTACCTCTGGCAGTGAGTCCATGGTTTCTGGTGCTAGCAGTGTTTTAAGGCTGATAAGGGTTTAGGGTTTAGGGTTTAGGGTTTTAGGTTTAGGGTTTAAGGTTTAGGGTTTTAGGGTTTAGGGTTTTAGGTTTAGGGTTTAAGGTTTAGGGTTTTAGGGTTTAGGGTTTTAGGTTTAGGGTTTTAGGGTTTTAGGTTTTAGGTTTAGGGTTTAGGGTTTTAGGGTTTAGGGTACACACTATACAGGTAAGTCGCCTCATAGCCTTGAAGCCTTAACCATAAACCTGAGGCCCTAAGTTCTAAACCTTTTCCCGCAACCCCAAGCCCTAAACCTTAAACCCAAAACCAAAATCCTAATCTCTGAGAGCCCTCAGTTTAACCGGGCTATGGCGAACCCCTGAAAGTTGGAACATAGATTTAGGAGTATTCTTGCTGGGATTCCCTATACTTTATTTTAAGAGCATGAAGCTAATAATGTTCCAACTTTCTGGCTTCTACTGTATACCGAGCAGCCAATGCAAGGGCCTTACCGTGATGATGCGAGTGGGGTTCTGGTGTAATCTATTTGCACCATAACAAGAAGCCCTAGGAAGGATACCACTAGTTCTTCAGACCCCGACAAAAATTTACACAAGCCCGCGAGAAGGCCTTACCGAGTTATAGAGAACCTTAGAGAGCCCTTAACGGAGTCCGTTGAATGCCTTCGTATAACTATAGGAGCCCCTACAATAGAACCCTTAAAACCTTCAAGGACCCGTATCTAAAAAGCCTCTACAAGAACCCTACTCTAGCAGTAGTATGGAATCCCCTCAAGCAGACCCCTAAACCCTAAACCCCAAAACCCCTAACCCTAAACCCTACATGTCACTAAACTCCTAAACTCTACATGTCACTAAACCCCTGAACCCTACATGCCACTAAACCCCTGAACCCTACATGTCACTAAAGCCCTAAAGCCCTGAACCCCTAACCGCAAAAACCCTAAACCCCAAACCCCTAAACCCCTAAACCCCCATATCACTGAGAGAGGCGCCTTCCAGTCGACCTCACTTGTCTGACCGCCGAGGCCACAGCCGACCACGAGGCCCTAAGCGGCTTAGGGGTATGGGGCTTCCATAATACTGCTAGAATAGGGTTCTTGTAGAGGCTTTTAAATATGGGTCCTTGAAGGCTTTAAGCGTTCCATTATAGGGGCTTCTATAGGGGTTTAAGTTTAGGGCCTAGGGGCTTTAGGGCCCAGAGACTCCTATATCCCTTAATTAAGGAAGATTCCTTAATTCATATTAGGGATCCTACTATAATTTAAGGGGTATTCCTTAATTAAGGGGTATTGGAGCCTCTGGGGGGTAACGCTTCTCTGCAGCTTAAGGGGCTCTATAGAGCTTCATGGCATTGGGCATAGGGCTTTTAGTAGGGCTGCAGGGTGTTATGGTCTAGGGTTTATAGGGTTCCTGTAAGGGGATCCAGAAGGGTTCTAGGAGAGAATAGGGTTCAGGGGTTCAGGGTTTAGGGTTGTAGGCTGGGGTTTGGGGTTTAGGGGTTGTAGGGCTAAGGGGTTTACGGGTGTAGGGTTTAAAGGTTCAGGATAAGTTGTAGGGTTTCAGGGTTTAGGGTTGTAGGGTTTAGGGGTTTAGGGTAAGGCTTCTACCTGCACCAGAAAGAACCTACTCTTTTCAGGGTTCCTTATGATGGTTTCCTCATGTAAGTCCTTGCATAATCAGGGTGCGGGTAGGCTCAAATACTATGTTGTAACAAGGAGTATCGCAGGTATACCTGGTTCTAAGGCTTGTATCCTACACGCTAGCTGGATGAAGCGGCTAGTGTCTGCCCACGTTCCAGGCAGTCTCTTGATGAGGTCCTTGTTGGCAAAGTGCCACTGTGGTCCTCTGACTTGAAGCATGAGCGCGATTGGAATGTAAGCTTTGGGTTCATACCTGGCTGCATGCCCAGTACCCAAAGAACTGACGTGCGTGTTCTCCGGGCCAGGTCCGGTGTCCTACCTGTTGTGCTGTGAGCCTGCTAGCTCGTCTCCTGGCAACCCAGGAGTCAATGGCGCCTTGGAAAGGGTTGCTAGAGAATCTCATTGGAAAACATGGGCTCATCAAAAGCAAAGCTGTGCACCGAAGTTGTGCTTCCGCCAAAACCTATGTAGCCTCTTGACAGGCCGGGAGGAAAACAAGGCGGCTGAGCGAGAGAAGGCATCATGATGCTACCTCAGGCCGCCAGAAAAGACGTGTGCATGGTCTTGAGGAATTTATGCACTGTGGAAATTGGTCTCACTGTAGGGCTCAGCCAGCGTCACCGGGAGGCCGTCAAGACACACCCCCCCCCCCCCACACCCGAGGGGCCGAGTATCCTCGCCCAAGAAAGGGTTGAGCTCCTGCTGGTAAATTAAGTATGATTATCCGAGCCCCGAAAGGTTGAAGGTGACCTATTCAGCTCCTAAGCTACAGACGAAAGCCAGAACCCAGAACCTCAGCCCCGTAAGCCAAGAAGTGTGTACTCCTTGATTGCAATCCTGCTGACGCCTCGAAAAGCCTGACCGGACTCTTCATTCCTGCCTAGGGTACGGTTTAGGTTTTTTGTTTTCTGTTGATATGGGCTCTTTGTCAACTGCAGAGCAGCTAGGGTTTAGAGTTTAGAGCTTTTAGGGTCTACCTTAACCCCACGTAACCTAGCTTTTTAAGGACTTATATAAAGAAATCAACCCTAAAAAAGGTAGGTTCCTTAGGGTCCAGGTAGGGCTTGGGGTATTCATAACCTACCTGGACCTTGAATAACCTAACTCTCCAATGACTCATATATAAGGAAACCAGGTAGATGTTCAATTAGGGCGATGAAAGGAAATAGCCCCCAGACCTTTACTACAAAAATATGTGGAAAAATCCAACACCCGACACTCCAGAATGATTACAAATACAACTAAGCTGATTAGTCTTCTTATTGTGAGTATTACTAATACATTGCTGCCATGGATGCTTTTTACATCATTTGGGAGTGAACCTAATATAGTACCCTAAATACCAGGGTCCCTATTACAAGGACACCCAAATAAGGCACACCTAATTTCGGAAACTCGAATTAGGGCCTTCCCTAAACGATGCAGCAAACCCAGCTGGGCCCTCCAGCGCGGGACCACACGGAGGGACCACCCTGTGGTGGAAGGCTTCTGGGTTCAGGGTTTCTAGGATGCCCAGTAAGCTAATTGGGAATAAAAAGGGCCCCCTTTTGGCAATCGGTAACTTTACAAGGAAGCTAAGACTACAAAAAGGGGATAATGGTACTACTGGGCATCCTAGGTTTTTTTCCACTGATGGCTTGCAATTAAGAGCTTGGGGTTCAGAGTTTAGCCTTTAGGGTGCAACGGCCTCGGCATGAGGGCTATTGTCCTGATCCTGTGTTCAAGTTACCCCAAGGGTCCAAGTACCTAATAATCATCTTATACTCTCCAAAATGCTAACCTGACATTTCTCCTATCCGAAAACCGAGTACCTTATTATTGGGTCCTTTGGATCCTTGGGGTTAGGGTTTGGGGTCTTGTAGATTTCAGGGCCATTAAGTTGTGAAATTGCCAGGGTTTGGGTTTCAAAGTGTTTAGGGTTTCAGGGATCTTGGGTAGGGCGTCGGGTCACGAAGAAAATGGCTGTAAGGCTGACTTGGAGATGAGACGACTTGCGAAGTACTCTTCAGACAAGGCGTGTAAGTACTCGTACTCTGTCTGTTTCTGGGGCTACCATATGTCTGACCCTAATACCCTAAGGGTCCATGTATGCAACTAGAACATACGTTGGCCCCACAGTACCTCAGTAGGGGCTACTTGAAAGCCAGAGTCCATATGGGAGTTTCCGAAAATAGGGGACCCCCTAAATAGTAGGATCCTTATTATCAGGACCCCCAATATAAGGTACCCCTAATTTTCGGAAACTCCCATATTATTTGGATACATGGACTCCCTAAACCCTAAACCGTCATGGACCAAGGCAGTCACAGAGTGGCTTGCTGCTCAGGTCTTCGTGGACATGCATGAGCGAGTGCACCCCAGAGGTTCAGACATCATGTCAAAAACAATTCATGGACCCATTAATATTGGGATAAACCCCAAGGGTCCAAAGGACCCAATAACTAGGTATTCGGTTTTAGAATAGTAGTTCTGTAGGTTAGGATTTCGGAGAGTATATGCTTATTGGGTAATTGGACCCTTGGGATAAACACTTATGGCCAGGTCCCGGAGTAATCAGATCAGCCTTGCTGTCGCACTGTCGATTTCTGTGATTGGCGTTTAGGGTTAAACCCCAAGAGTCCAAGTACCTAATAATCATATACTCTCCGAAATCCTAACCTACATAGCTACTATTCTAAAAACCGAGTACCTAGTTATCGGGTCCTTTGGACCCTTGGGAAAGGCCAAGGGTTTCGAGTTTAGGGCTTTCTGTAATCGGGGTTGAAGGCTCATGGTTCAGAGTTCTTTTTTCTTTTTTTTTGAACCCTCTTTTCCGTCTGCCCAAGGGGAGTCTGGAATGCCCGTTACGACTGAGGGGTCAGAGTTCAGGGTTTAGGGTTTGGGTTTGGCAGTCAGGGTTGAGATGCCAAGGTTAGGTAGTACTATGAGGGAGACCCCTCAAAGGGTACCCCTTCTGAACCCTACTTCTGGCTCTCTTAAAAGGGGCCTTATTGAGAGGGTCTATATCCCCAAGGGTCCCCCTAATCCTAACTCCCACATGTCCATAATACGCGAACCAGGGTTGCTTGGGTTTGGCCTTTCAGGTTCGGGCGGTTCAAGAAAAGAAGCTTGCGGGATTTCGGTTGTGGGGTTGTGGCAAATCTTAAGCTTGAATTCCTCCAACCCAACACAACCCTACACTACACCCTCAAACCCAATATGCTACGTCCAAAACCACAACTTACGCACCGGACCAAATCCTAAACCCGAAACGCTCAACCCTACTTCTGAAGCCGTAATATACTTGTACAAGAACCACAAGGACACGCTATTTCTGCTCATTCTCCGACGGAAAAAGCACACATAAGACAAGAACGACTGCGAACCCCAAACAGTGGGCCACAGCGATTATTATTCTAATACTTTTGATATCAGCATTATTAATAATATTGCAACTTCCCATTTCTGCAATCCTGAACCCCACTGGGCCCCCTGGCAGCGGGATGCTTCAGCATCTCGAGCTCAAGCTTAAAGGGGCGCGGCTCAATGCCTCAGGACATTGGGGGTTGCTGTAGGGCCTAATTTTAATAGGGTTTGGGGTTGATTTTACTATAGTCATCGTAAGGAACCCCCAAAACCCTGTTCTAATTATTAAGGCCCCTACAGTATAAGAATGAGGCTCTTTCAGGGGCTCATGTAAAGAAAGGGAGGTTCCTCGAGCTCGAACAGTTTCTATGGGGTCTACTATACAGGTTCCATCGCATCGGGACCTCAATGGTTAAGAGTTATATGGGTGGTTGTCAAAATTATGGTCCCTTTTTGGGTCCCAATATAGTACGGCACCTAATATTTTGGGTTCCCAAAAAGGGACCTTACTTTTGACAAGCACCCATTTGAGGCTTCGTGCTTGCCAGGTTCGAACAGTTTGCTCTTTGCTTCATCGGGCCTTTCTGGGGTATGGAGTGTCCTTCGGTTGATGATATAAATCCTGCATTACCCTAAGGACCCTAAACTATGGGAATTATGGTATATTCCTTTTATTATGGGTCATGCAGGATTTATGTCCATCAATCGTTTCGACATGGGCTTGTAGGGCTCTTACTTGGGATTGAAGAAAAGGGCCTGGAGACATAGGTTTGAGTAGGGCGCAAGGGCTCTGAAGCCCGAAACCCTAAACTTAAAGCCTAAACCCCAAGCCGTCTGTAAGGATCGGACTCTGAAACCCTAAACCCTATACTCTTTATAGACCCTAAACCCCAAACTGGCTATAAGGGTCTCGACGGCTGCAAGGCTTGGAGTTACGACTTGGGGACCTAGGGGAGTGGCTCACATCGGGGTGTACTATCACGTCTACTTGGAGGTTTATCGGTAGCTATAAGTGGGGTTATAAGTAGGGTCACTATAGTTATAACCCATGGGGGTATAAGTCCCTTGAAATATGGGTTATAACTATAGCTACCCAGTTACCCTACTTAGTATCGAAATTCGAGTTGCACATAACTCAACCAGACAGAGGGCACTTGGATCCAATAAAACCGAGTTTCTTAAACAACCCCTAAACCCGATAAACTCTAAACCCCTATTTCCCAAACCCCAAACCTGGGCCTAAAACCTTCGAAGGCACATCTGGCACGTCGAAGTCCTACTTTCCAGCCGCACCGTGCAGGCCTGAATATTCAGAACTGAGCTTGCGGGTATATTATACTCATAAGGAACCCGAGAAATAAGATAGGAAATTATTTAACCCCCCCAAACACTAAACCCTAGTAGTAGACCCAACTCCTAGACAGGTGTTAGGGGTTGGGTCCAGTGGCATGTCGGCTCAGGTTTCGAGCTTTAGGGCTTTAGGGTTTAGGGTGCCTTGGGGTTCTTGGGTCAGAGCTTAGGGTTTAAAGCTGTTGTTGGATTTAAGGCTCCTGGCTTTAAGGTGTAGCGTTTGGGGTCTTAAGATTTACCTGTAACACCAAACCCTACAAAATAGTAGGTTATGACCCCTTAATTAGAGGGTCTAACCCTCAAAACAGTAGGTTTGGGAATCCACAGGTAGGCTTTGCGGGTTGAAAGCTTAGCATTGAGTAGGTTCAGGGCGATGACCGGGGTTCAGGGCTTATGGTTTAGGGCTTGCAGGTTTCAGGCTTAGGGCTCAAGCAGTGCGTCGAAGGCTGAAGGTGAGGGCTCAAGCAGCTGCTTCGGTTTAACCTCTGAGCCGTGCTTTGCGCAGGGAGCTCCATATCGGTACGGGGATGCCCTGCAGCTCCATCTGCCGGAGCAGTGCCGCAAGTCGGAGGTCTTGCTCCAGATTCATAGCTTCTCTTCTGATGACCTCAATGCAGGTAGAACTTGCAAATCTTGCGGTACCACATGTCTCCCAACATCAACAGTTCGGAGCATTTGCCCTCGGCTCGGGAAGAGTCCTTGGGGCGGCTCTTCCTCGCTGAAGGTGTTTCCCATGAGCGTGAACCCGAAGCGACACGCCTTTCCTGTGCAGGGCAACTGTACAAAAGCGTAGTGCTAGATGGGTTCTCTTACTTCCCATGACGGGGCTGTTAAGCCAGTTTTTTAAGCTGTGCCGGATTGAACACACGCTGGCTTGGAACGGTCGCCATTTAAGAAGTCAGTCACATATAGAAGAAGCCCTACTAGGATGCCCAGTAACCTGGGAAAAAAAGGGCTCCGTTTTGGGTATTGAGCAGCTTCATAAGGAACCTGGGACGACAAAAAGGGAAAAAGGGCCCATTGGGAGGCCTCGCCTAAGAGTGCCTCAGAGAACCAGGCCCTCACGGATCGTTGTTTCCAAACGGGACGCCTCAAGCCCTCAAGCCCTGACCCCAGACACCCCGAAAGGGAACCTTACTTAGAAGATCAGGGAAAGTGCAAGCAGGTTGCAAGCGGGGTAAACCCCGATGAGGGCACACCGCATAACTCTACTTTTTGCATGCTGAGTGTGAGTTTTCTGATCCTCTATGTAAGGCCTAAAGTCACTAGAGCTATTTCGGGCATTCCGGCAAGTGCATACTGCGCCATAGAACAGGCTTTGGGCGGATACTTGGGCAGAATGTTATATAGATGGACTCTAAGGGAAAGCTACTCCCATACCCAGACCCCTAAACTAAACTCCAACCCTAAACCCCTTAACCCCCGAACCCCTAACCCCTAAACCCAAGGCCTACACCCCGAAAGGCCTAAATCCCTAACCCCTAAACCCCCAACCCCTATAAACCCTAAACCCTAAACCCCTACCCCTAAATCCGAGACCCCTTTTCCTAGCCACAAGATGCCATACGCTCCCGGGGCCGCAGCCGTGGACGATGTCGCCTTTTACCTGCGGTCACGCTGCTACGGTTGTGAAAGGGCTTCAAAGGTGGGATGAAGGTAGGTAGGATACTGGTGGGATAATCTCCGAGAAAAATCCTTAGATAACGGATCCGTGATGCTGCCTGCCTTCATCCCACCTTTTGAAACCTCTGAGGTTTAGGGTCTCCGGTCTTGGCAGCGGCTCCCAGCACGATAGGCAGAAGACAGCTGCGGCTCAGAACAGCAACATCCCCAGCAGTCGTCATGGTAGCTCCTAAGCCCTATCCCTAAGCCCCTAAACCCTCTAAACGCCTAAGCCCCTGGACCCTAAACCCCTAAGCAGCAGCATCAGTAGTAGGAGCAGCCGCCGTCGTCAAGGTAAGCTTAACTTAACAGAAACCGGGGAGAGTGGAGCAGGTTGGCCGGGTTCCCATCCAGCATGTACCGCTGAGGCCAAGGGTCCCGTTCTGTAGAGTTTCGGGTTTAAGGTTTAGGGTTAGGGAGTTTAGGGTTTATATAGGGTTTAGGGGGGTCCCTTTCACAGAAGTGCCGCAATTAATAATTTTTTGAGGACCTAGAACGGGACCCTGATTTAGAGAACTGTCCATGTACCTTTGAGGCCACGGTATATACACTGAACACCAAACTCTCGACCCACTTCCGTAGGGATATTAGGATGCTAGTAGAGTATGGGAGTTTCGCGAAGTCCGGCCGACAAGTCAGTAACTTGCGTAACACAGGGGCCTTCAACATTAATGTCGGCAACAAATTCAACAAATATGTGACAACCTAGGCACAGAATCCTCAACAACACAACTTAAGCTCCAAAGGAATCCGCAAGCCCTAACTCGGAACCCTAAGAACAAAACAAACACAGGAACGGTAGGCACCAAAAGAACGTCAAAACAATACACTCAGTTCAAGTTTCAGTGAAATTGAAGCTTTAATCTATACCCTAACCTGGCCCTAAACCATTCGAGACACTATCGCCTAGTTAGAAACTATGACAACCCGCGCGGCTCCTTGAGTCGCGCGTTTCCTCTACCATTCTTCGGGTAGACGCTCATGTTGTAGCTTAAGTCGGCATGCATGTTACTTTCGAAGCTTGTCTTCAGACACGTGTGTTTTCTTGAGGTAAAATATTGCGTGCGCCGTTCTGCGGCTCTGGGGCATGAGGGGGGCAGAGGATACTTCCCAGAGACTCCAAAACCCCTTAATTAAGGAATATACCTTAAATCCTATATTAGTTTAAGGAATATTCCCTAATTAAGGGGTTTTGGAGGCTCTGGGTTCTACAAAAGAACCCTAAACCCTAAACCCTAACCCCCAGAACAGTATTGGTACTCATTCAGGGCGGCCTCTGTAAAGTAGGGAACCCCTATTCACTGTAGTACCCTAACGAGTAGGATCTTTATTATAAGGACCACAAAATAAGGTACCTCTCATTTTCGGAAACCCCCATCTAGAAAACTAAGAAATACATCTTTACTATTTCTGCAGACCCTGGAGTTGAGGTTTAGGTTTTAGGATAGCATACCCAGAGCCTCCAAAACCCCTTAATTAAGGAATATTCCTTAAATTATAGAAGGATCTCTAATATGATTTAAGGTACATTCCTTAATTAACCGTCTTTGGAGTCTTGGGTACCCGGGCCCCACCCCAAACCCGACACCCTAGACCGTAGTCCCCACTAGCCCTTGAACCCTGACCCCTAAACCCTATGTTCTGAACCATAAACCCGACAAGCCCTAAACCTGAAACCTGACCTTAAATCAGATAGACCCGGCGGTCGAAAACAGTTTAAGGGTTTAGGGTTCTGGGTACTAGATGTTGGGGGCGGAATACGATCTGGAGGCTCTATGGCGTCCCCGGCGCCTGTCGCCCGAAGAAATCCGACAGTGACTTGGCCTGATGCTTGAAGCTTGAGACGTACTTTGAAATTTGAATGGGCTTAGCAAGAGTAGGCAGGCTATGATTAGATTAGAGGTTTGTGGCTTTATGCAGAAGCTTCCGAGGTTTGTATAGGGTGATTTTGAAAATCGGGCTATCTTATTCTGCAAAACTGGGCTAAGACGGCTAAGGTTCGGGAGCCCCGCTTCCTGCAACATGTTTCCCAGAGCCTCCAAAACCCCTGAATTAAGGAATATTCCTCAAATTATAAAAGGATCCCTGATAGGATTTAAGGTATATTCCTTAATTAAGGGGTTTTGGAGTCTCTGGGTTCGTCTTGGGGTGTTGACTGTAGGGTCTGAGGTTTCTAGGTTCCTGAGTAGCCCTTTCCTATTATGCGGTGTTGATACATGAAAGGGCAAAAGGTTACTGCTCAGGAACCTAGTTATCGACTCAACTATAGACCTAAACCCTAAACCCTAAACCCTGAACCCTAAACCCTAAACCCTAAACCCTAAACCCTAAACCCTAAACCCTAAACCCTAAACCGAACTGGCCCTCTGGCCCTCCAAACTCCCTGCAGCTAAGGATAAGTTTGACGCCATTAGGCAGTAGCGTTGAGGGGTTCAGGCTTTAGTACGACCATCCTGGCCCCCATGTTTAGGAACTTAGTTCAAGTTGCTCCTCGTATGTTAAAACCATCTTACTCACTCTATATACCCGCTGTGGTACCTTAGAGTAAGTTCTTCAACAAGAACCGTAAACCCAAAGCCCTAAACCCTGAGCTTGTGATGATTGGTGGCTCGGGCCGTGGCTTCCCCCCTTTTATTCTTACAGGGAACTCCAGAAAGTTGGAATATGGTTTCAGGGTAGGATACCTTATGATTTACCATAAAGGGCTTAGGATAATCATATTCCAACTTTCTGGCTTTTACTGTATTGTTACATTGATTGTTATGATTATCATGCTTATTCGCTGTAAGACTTTTACCATCTGTTGCGGTGATGACGCTGGCTATGACAATGTTTATGACGATTAGTGTTGTTAAACTTGATTATCATTACTCCGAAAAACACTGCGACTATTATTACTGTTTTGGTATGTGATAAAAAAACAGCAACAACAGTCGTAGTATTTGTAGGAGTAGTGATAATAAAGTGACAACAATAATCGTCATACTCATTGTCATAGTCATAGTCATCATCGTAACAGATGGCAAAGCCGTTAGTTTTCATATTATTATGGCTAAATGTGTTAAAGTCATTACAGTTCTACTTCCTCGGCTCCGGCAGTGGCCTCAATATACCCTTTCTCGACACGTAGGAAAGGTGAACTTCTTTGTAATGCCGGCATTGGGATCATTGGACGCAGACTGTTGACACCGGCTGCTGCGTTATGGGTGTAACCGGGCCAGACACTAGAAGTGTGGGTTGTTGCTGTGGTGCCACTGGGTGACACTGAGGTGCCCACCCAGGGTTGGGGCTTGTGCCTTTGAGGCTTTGGGCTCATCAATGCTTTCGAAGGGATAAGAATGGTTACAAGATTTTACAGGGGTTGCGACAAAAATTGCAGGCCACGAAGTAGCAAGTCAACGTTGACCTGTTCCGCATCGGCTTGTAGTAATGATGGGCCCCTGGGGGATGCGAGTAAATCGAGTCATCGGGACCTCGGAAGCTGAAAGTTCCACAGGGTGGCATCGTGTACTCAGTCACATCTCCCCATTCTGTTTCAATGGTCTTGCCCGTCAAGAGATCGCTGGGGACGTCGTCAATGCCGCGCGTGCTGTTGTCTTGCAGCCGCTCCCACTCCGCCAAGTCTCTCACAAGACGAGAACGAAACTCTTGTGGCCTTTCCTTGATCCACCTCAAGCACTGTTGGTACTCGGCCTCTGCGTCGCACGGGACCAGAAAATCATCTTTCAAAGCGTTTCTTGTGTTGATTGTCGAAAACTGTGAAGCGGCCATGACAGAGCGGCAGTCAAGACATTCCAAGATGACGCTCCAGTCACGTTCGAACTATGGCTTGGGGAATAGGACCTCTCTGGGTTTTGTTTACTTGTTTCGAAGTTGCTGTAGCACCATTAGCCTCGTTGCCATGCCTGTAAGGGCCTCCACACTCAAACCCTATACCCTAAAGCCCCACCCTCAAATGATAAATCGGGATCCTGCACGGTTTAGGGTTTAGGGTCTCAACCCTAAATCCTAAAGGGTTCAAGATTTCCGACCTCGGGTTTCATATCTTGAGCCCAGGATCTTGCAAGACGGCAGTTTACTCTCTAGATTCTGCACCTTGAAGCCCTAAGTTCCTGATTTATAACAAGGGTACCCCTTTTCCTACAAGTAATATTCCAGGTTAATCGGGAAAGCCGAAAAAGGGCAAACGGGTACTGCCCAGGAACCTAACCCTCATCCTTATATGCCCTGAACCCGAAAATACGAAGGGCAAATGGGTACTACCCAGGAACCTAAACCCTTATCCTGATATGCCCTAAACTCCCTTCCAACCCTGAACCAGACCGCCCCCATGTCTTAGGGGCCAGGGTGTACGGTTTACGGAATTAGAATACTGGGTTGGCCTTTAAACATCGTGAAAAATATTTATATATAGGGCCCCTTACAAACCCAAATAAGGAAAATAAAAAATGTACCAAAATCCAACCTAGAATATGAATCCTGACCCCTGTAGGTGTAGCTCCCGTCCGAAACATGATGAGGTCCGGACACGTGGCCGCTCCTCATTGGCATGTACGAGCGAGTGGTTGGTGTTGAGTGTTCAGCATACGGTTTCGGGGCTTGGGATTACGACGTCTGCCATCGTTTACACCTTATGCACTTCCAACCCGGCCTGAAACCATGAATAAGCCTCCAAACCTGCAAACAACGCTGCGAGAAATGTGTCTTTCTAAGACCTAGTTCATAATTTTAAGGCCTTCGACCGAAACCCTGACGGTCCACCAAAACTAGAACCACCAAAGGTATTCCCCCTGGCGGATGCCACCAAGCTGAATATAATAAACCCTACCTGACAAAACCTTACAAGCACTAAACCCTATCCCCAAGGGTCAAAGTAGCTAATTATCATATACTCTCCAATAAAGGAACCTACATAACTACTATCCCAAACCCGAATACCTGATTATTGGGTGCTGTGGACCCTTCGGGTATTACAGCGAATCCCAGAAAGTTGGAACATGGGATTAGGAGGATTCGTGCTAGAATCCCTTATACTTTACCTTAAGGGCAGGAGGAGAATGATGTCCACAATAATTATTGGGGTTAAGGCATGTTGAGATGCTTGGAGGTTCATGGGGTAGTTGTAAGGGTTCAGCCTTTAAGAGCCCCGTTAAGGGGATCTATAGGGATTCTATAAGGGTATAGGGTTCAGGGCCGTTTAGGGGCTACTTGGAGGTTCATGGGTTGTTATAAGTGAGGTTACAAGTCCTCGAACATGGGTTATAGCTATAGCTACCCTACTTATAACCCTACTTATGAACCTCCAAGCAGAGTCTTGTTGGAGTCCCCATAGAAGTTCCTTTTTGGGATCACCTTACAGAGGCACTACTATGGGGCCTATGGGTAAGGCACGTCGAGATACTAGACCCATGAGTAACCTATAGGAACAGAAAGGGTGCCCTTTTGGGTTTAAAGGGGCTTATAGCGGAACCTGAACCCTTCAAAAGGGAATAAGGGCCTACTCCAGGTTCTACGGTTGATGATATAAATCTTGCATTGCTCAAAATACGCAATATACCATAATTCCCATAGTCTAGGGTCATTAAGGTAATGCAGGCTTTATACCATCAACCGTAGGAAAGAGTCTTGTTGGAATCCCTTTTGGGTTCCTCTAAGCGGTCTGGGAAGGTCGTCGTTCGAAGTGCCTCCTGGCCTGTTGATGTTCCCTTCCGCTGTGTTTTGGGCTTTAGTAGTTTAGGGGTTTAGGGTTTTAGGGTTGGGGGGTTTAGAGGTTTAGGCTTTGGGGATTAGGGGTTTAGGGTTAAGGGGTTTAGGGGTTTAGGGGTTTAGGGTTTGGGGTTTAGGGAAGGATAGTAAGTTTAGCTTTCTGGGGGTTTGGAGGTTCAGGATTTCATGGTACGGGCTGTGTTGTTCTCATTATCCACTGTGAACCCTCCCACTTTAGGGGTTTAGGGACTCTGAATCCTCATAGTGCTAAACCGAATTCCTGCGCACTGGCTTGAATATCTTTCAAGAGGGCGTGAGCCTCGGGGCATCGTGCAAAGGCCGACGGAATGCATGTTCATGCATTTGCATCGTGCTTTATACCCTTCGTCCACAACAGCACGCAGTTCCATGAGCTTGGCCCGGGTAAAATAGCGCGGGAACTCTTCCACCAGCTCGGTCCGCCGAAAGGTCACTAGTGTTCGGAGGTCCCGAAGTGTAGCTGGGAGGCTCCCAGAGCCTCCAAAACCCCTTAATTAAGGAATATACCTTAAATTATAATAGGATCCCTTATATGATTTAAGGTATATTCCTTAATTAAGCGGTTTTGGAGGCTCTGGGCTGTCCTCCTTGGCGTGCTCCTGGGTCGGAGAGCCATCGCTGGGCTCCATAGTGCCCATGTCCCTTTGCAGAAGTCGCTGATGAGAGAGTTCGTTGCCACTTTCTCTAGCACTCACCTTAGAGCCCAAACTTGGAACGCTAAACCGCTAAACCCAAAACCCTAGCCCAAACTCAAAAAGCCTGACAGCTCAATGCTCGGAATTCCTGGCGGGGGGGGGGTTCGGAATCATTCGTAATAAACTGTCATTCCTGGGAATTCTTGGGCTGGGGTATCGGATGGACATGCCGCATGAAGCTGCAAGGCAAGATGTTCTGGGGATGTTCTAGGTCGGGGCAGAGTACACTAAATTCAACGCACAACCCCACAAGCCCTAAGTCCCAAACATCCAATACAGTAAACCCCATAAAGTTGGAAATCGGATTAAGGCCGAATAGTGCTGGGATTCCCTATACATTACTCGTAGGGGTTGAGGCTACTGGGTTTCCATTTTTTGGGCTTCTACCATAAACAAAACGATGGCCCGACTGGTGATCTGCTTGCCATCACACGTCTGTAAACCCTACCTTAACCCTGAATAACCTACCTGTTTAGGGTTTCTTATTACGATTTCCTTATTATATATATATATATAGATAGTAGGTCCTTAAAAAATGATAGGCTCTTCCGGGCTAAGGTAAGCCCTACACAGACCGCAAAACCAATCAGCCTTTACAAACTCGTAAACCTAAACCCTTAAACCTAGTTCGTTGGGATAGGATTAGAAATGCTCATGTTTATTCCTTATTGGGTTTACGTATCCATAAACATGCAAAATGTTGCCCAACTATGACACAGAAACCCTATCAGCCATGAGCGGGCAAGGCCCCGCACTCTCCGGGTGAAGATCTCATCGAGAACCTCAGCCGCCAACTTCGCCGCTGCGACCTGCGGTGGAAGCTCAGGGCGCTTCAAGGTTTAGGGTTTCGAAGGACCAAATGACCCTTAAAAGTAGGGGCCTTATGCCTATATACTATGAATTCCCATAATGGTTAATGAGCTTTAAACCCTTTTAGGGTTCATTTCGTCTTTAAGGGTGTTGTTTTGTTGCTTAAAGCGCCTCTTTTCCTTAAAAAAGGGTTTAGGGTTTTTTAAGATTCAGGGTTTACGAGGCTTTAGGGCTTTAGGGTTCAGGGTTAAGGGCTTAGGGTCTTGGTGTTAAGGATATAGGGCTTGGGGTTTAAGATTTAGGGGCATAGGGCCGTTGGGGTCTACGGGTTATGGCGGTTTCTTTAGGCAAAGGGTCCTGTTCTGACGCTTCATCATGGAGAGACTGGAGTGTTAGAAGTTCAGAGTTGTTTGGGGCTTCAGAGTCTAATGTCTATAGTAGGAGTCTGTAGCGTTTCTTGCATGTGCGGATGCTTACGGCTGCCATGTGCGCGAGAGTTTGCGAACACCACTATCTGGTTCGCTGGTCCCTGCTTTGGCTTGGCTCCGAGAGCTTCTCATCTGTTGGGCGGACTTCAATATCATGCAAGGCAAGTCCTTGAGCGATCAACTTGTAGCAAGTTGGGCAGCATCCGCGTGCCCAAGATCATCGAAGCGCCCTGCCCGATGCCTCGTCGGTTGACAAGTCTTGGTCCGCGCGATGTGAACTCACAGCCAGAAACGCCTTCGGAAAAGAGGCGCCCTCGTCCCCTAACTTGTGCGCATTTCACAGTCGCCAAAAATCAGCATGCTTTCGTCTGATGCAGCCCCAGCTCGATTAGGGCGAGGCAAACGGCCAGTGGAAGCTTAAAATCCATGACTGGTTGTAGACAGCGCCAAACAGGGACAAGTTGTCCCGCTCATTCGGCAGCGGGTCGCGGCGAGTTGTACTTGTTCTGGTGTCATGCCAGATTCCTGAGTGCCTCGGGTTAAGACAATCATGCCGTTCGTGTAGGAACAAACGAAGACGCAAGCATCCCGTTGATCGGAACTCCAGAAGGCATTAACGCATATGCGACTTGTAACTGTAAGTGGCAATTTCAGCCCTTTGCGGAGCCCACGCAAAAAACTTTGGAACGTTGTACAATACGTGGGTCCTTGTGGGAAGTATAGTTAATTACACCAAGCCGTGTTGTCTGGTAGGCAGGCTGCATGCTACATCATGACTTGCAACGCTTTCTTGCAGACATGCCACTCTCAGCAGCACCCTTATCAAGGCTTTCGGGTTGCAGGGTTTTGCGTGAGGTTTTACGACTTCACGGCTTAGACGGTAGCAGTGCCTATGGTTTCAAAAAATATATGAATCAGGATTTGCGGGTTTGGGGTGCAGCGTCCTTTTTGGGAAGACAAATACCTCCTTTTCAAGGTTCGCAGTTCGCTGTGCGGACAGAGACACAGTTAAAGTAATCCCAACAGTAACCCCAAACACCTACCGGCATAAACGCTTCAACACCGACTTGCAACAGACCACCCCAAAAACCCA